AGATCTCTGCTGAGCCGGTAACGATGATCTCAGATCATTACAAAGGCTTACGCGAAGCAGAAGCTGTGCTAGGAGGTTTACTAGCAGTGGCTTGGTGCTGCCATCACCTCCGTGAGAACTTTACTGAAAAGTTTGGCAGAGGGCTAACGCCGCTGTTCTGGCAGGTTGCTCGAAGTAGCAACCAATTGCATATGATGCTGCGCTAGCAGAGTTATGCAAGCAGAAGGCTGAAGCAGCAGAATACTTACTTGCTGCTGAGCCTGAGAAGTGGGTACACTTTTTGTTCCAAGGCCGACAGTACGGCCACGACACTAGTAACGTTGTTGAGAGCGTTAATCAAGTTCTCAAAATCGACAGAGAATTGCCAGTAGTTGAGCTGCTTGACAGTCTCTGGCATCGGGTAATGGAAAAGTGCTTTGAGCGCAAGGCATTAGCGCATATAGTCATTGCTGCAGGCCGACATACGACGCCTTGGGTAGATAAGCAGGTTGACGAGGCAAGAGCCTATGCTCAGAGCAATTGAGTCCAGATCTCATCACCTGTTGAAGGACGAGTGGTGCAGCCTGACGAACGTATCCACATTGTTAACCTCAACGATAAGACGTGCTCCTGCCTTATATTCCAAGAGAATGGCATACCCTGCGGTCATGCCATGACCCTAATCCTCGCCACTGGGGCGCACGTTACCCCTTACCTCCCTGAAGACCTTTCTGCTGTTATATGGGCACAGATGTATGAAGACACTCTGCCGCCAGTTAGCATTAACGACCTTGACACAGATGCTGAAGCACTCAATCTTTTGTGCGACCCGACTGTAACTCGAGTCCCTCGTGGACGACCTAAAAAAGAGCGGGTTCGCCGACAAGACACCCGGAATCCGCGTGGCCGTAGAGATATCTGCGATCATGGCAGCATGCTGCCGCTTGGCGCCGTCGTTGCGCCTGTACCCGACATGGTCCGTAGCCGCTGTAGCACATGTCGTGAAGCCAGTCACAATGCTCGGCGATGCCATCATCCCCATCAATGATGAGGTCATTAACTACATGCTTACGGGGGCTACTATGGGAGCACAAGAGCGACAGTGCAGTGGTGACGGTGACCTGTTCAATACAGTTTCGAATGCCAATGGGCGATGAGTGGGTAGGTGGGGCAGACAAGGACGTTGGCATGGTACAGTAAAAATACGATAAGTCGATATGCTTTTAGCCGATATTTACGTTATCTCGATATCTTTTTCTGTACGGAAGCTTTTTACATACAAAACACAATACATCTGATATCGTGAGATCCTCCTTGAATATCGACTTATGCTAATCTTTTGAATCTTATAGAATGCCTTCGAGAAAGCTCAATTCGATGACGATTGAACAGCGTCGTGCTCTTCGACAATGGACCGTCAACAAAACACCTCGACCTTCCCTGTAAGGACACAGGGCACCCAGCTCACAGTAATAGCATATGAGAGTGCGAGTCGGAGGCTAAACGGATGCTATCCTATAGGTCTACTATGAAGGATACAAAAAAGATGATGAGGAACCCCGTTGGGTCAATCCCCTTAAGTACCCGAAACGGGTCCGACTCGGCTAACCTGCCCTAACTCTCCCCACGTGGCCGTAACCTGCCCGACTCCAATGCTTTCCATCACTGAGGGCTTGGCATCCTTACATTCCCAAAAAGATTGTATCGCCTGGTTTTTTGAGAAGTACAACATTCAAATTAGTCAATCTACAGTCTCGGAATCCCTTAGCAGCCGATTTATCAACCTTGATGATCCGATTAATACACCAACAATAGGGAAGAGGAACGATACAAATATACGTTGACAGGAAGTGGCTTGGCCAGATATTGAGGCTATTCTTTTTGAGTGGCAAGAACGAATCGATTCAAAAGGAGGTTTTACAACTGCGGAGATCTTACAAGAGAAGGTAAAGCCAATTTGGTCACAACTACCACAATATCAAGGGAAGCCTTCTGTAATGGTGGGTGCACCAGATATGAGAATCTAGCCACCCAAGGAAGGGATGATTTTACTAAGACAACACACTGTCTTAGGAAACAGAGCCAAAGGGTTGTAGCTTAGACTATTCCACAACGCAGCAATCAGGTGTATGATGTGGTGAAGTGGTTTAGACAAGTTGCAACAAATGTTGAGTCTGAGAACTCAGGGGTAAGTCAGAGGTTAGCACCTCACTGACTTTTCAAAAACAGAGAATAACAATATGAATGCTTGGAAGCTTGGAAAAGACGTAGAAGTATGTGCTAGTCGATTTACTGTATTGCCTGCTTGCCCTTTCTTAAGGAAAGGGCAATCCTATTTATGCCAAGGAGTGTAGTTCTCTCATTTTCCATGACTTTCCATGACTAACCAGGCTTGGTAAATGTATTAGAAATCAAGTGCGACCCACAACTAGCTTGCTAATCATGTAGTGAACGTAAGAGAATCCCATAGAACCATCTCTTGGGTTCCTAGCCTATAGGAAGTGAAAAGGAGGTCCAAGGTCAGAGTACCTATAGATAAATTATGTCATAACTTAACCAATCTTGTGGGTAACTAAGGAGCGATGACGTGTAATGAATCATAGAGGGTTGTAGAAGCTTCTAGAGCTATCGTTCATCTTCCTAGGCCTCTAGTTGGTAGAGATATGCCATGTGGTAGTATTGGCCCACCCCCTTAAGGAGGAGATTTTCTTAATAACTTGTTCAATGAGTGTTCAAATGATATGCCGTGATGTATGTAGCATAAACAGATGTAGTAGAAGAGTTTGCAGCAATTGTTGAGTAGTATTGCTTCTGTTGTTGGTGTGATAAGCCAAGATATGTATGGTGACTTGTAGGTTTGAGGAGGAGATTTCTAAGTTTGCTCTTGAGTTTGATAGCAAACTGAGTGCAACGAATGTCAGTATGACACCTTCGCCAGAGTTTAGCATTGCTTGGATACAGAAATTTTGACTACGTCACAACATCCGGAATAGAAAGAGGCAAGGAGAAGGGGCATCAGTCAGTGAGACAGCAGAGGACGAGATGAGGGCTATTCAGACAGTGGCTGGGGAGTATTTAGAGGACAACATTTATAACATGGATGAGACGGGTTTATACTGGAAGATGATGCCATCTCGTGGGCTTTCTACAATGGAGGCTCGAGTAGGAAGGAAGATGGACAAGGCAAGGATGTCTGTCGTATTCTGTTGTAACGCTGCTGGTATTGATCGATGTCCTCCTTGGTTTATTGGCAAGGCGAAAACGCCTCGAGCTTTACGAAACATCGACGTCATAGCAATGGGAGGGGTTTGGAGGTGGAATAAGAAGGCTTGGATGAATCAGTTTATTATGGCAGAATGGTTAAGGGCTTTTTATGCTCGTATTGGTACAACACGGGAGGTTCTTCTCACCATGGACAACTTTTCAGCACATATCAAGGCCCTCGAATCGACACCACCCCCTGCGAATATCTGAGTTATCTGGCTTCCTCCAAATGCAACAAGTCGATTTCAAGCCCTAGATCAAGGTATCATTGCCTCTGTCAAAGCTCATTACCGTCGACAATGGCTCCTTTACATCCTTGACACTTTTGAAAGGAATGAAGATCCTGTGCAAACGATGAATATACGACTTGCTATTCGATGGCTTCTTCAATCCTGGAATCACGACCTTACAAACTCGACAATCTATAACTGTTTTCGAAAGAGTATGATTGTTCAAAAGCCAGTTCAACTATCCTCACAACCTCTTCCTGATATTACCAATCTCTATCAACAAGTACAACAAGCTGGGAATGTACACGACTCTATGGATCTTTTGAGCTTTTTAAATCCAGTCGATGAGGATATACAAGAGTTAGAGGGGTGGGAGGATTTTCAGGGGGGGGATGCTATTCTTGAGGATATCATGTCACAATACGTCCCAGATACCACTCAAGATGATGAGGAAGAGGATGAGCCTTCTTCACAGCCTGTGCCAACTATGTAAGGATGCCTGTCCCTCAGTGACGGAAAGGATCTGAGTCGGGCAGGTTACGGTCACGTGGTGAGGGTGAAGGCAGGTTAGCCGAGTCGGACGTTTCAGGTACTTAAGGAGATTGACCCAACGGGGGTTCCTCTCTTCATCTTTTTTGTATCCTTCATAGTAGACCTATAGGATAGCATCTGTTTAGCCTCCGACTCGCACTCTCATATGCTATTACTGTGAGCTGGGTGCCCTGTGTCCTTACAAACTACACATGCTGCGATTAACGCCATTCAAGTTCTGATTGAGTTTACAGAATCTGGGAATAGTGACACCTCAGAAGCACCAACGTTCTTACGTTCTTTTGAACGTTTTGAGAGACAGTTAAGGCTCCTTGAAGCCAATTCACAAAGGCAGGGGACATTAGACTCATGGTTTATGTAAATAGCTTCAATTTTTAATTTAATCACATGTAATACATGTACGTTATATGCATTAAGTCGATATATTTTTGTGGATCTGAGGCATCGACTTATCGTATTTTTACTGTATATACTCCGTAGTTCTTATTTCAAAATGCATGGTATATAGTTCTTTACAGGGGTCGTGCATGGTATATGGTTTTTTTGCCCTATGATTATTTGTGCTAACCCTGGCTGGTTACACCATGTAGCCGGTTACACGCATCCGGCGAATCTACTATGGCTGACCTTCGCGCTGCCAGTCCCACCAACCACTCACAGCACGCACTAGGATGCGCTGCACATACCCTTCCCCATGCCTACAAGTCAATTATCTGCCAATTATCTGCTCGTGCCCTTGGTTTTCAGTCGGATAGATCTGACCTGGCGCCCTCTAACGCGCCTGTTTGGTCACACCCTGGCTAACTAATGACACATATGCTCTATACGTGAGGCACATATGCTCTATGCCTGATACTCCTGCTTTCCCCTGCCACGCCAGGCCCGAAGCGGGTCCTATCGCATTCGCTATGCTATACACGGAGTTTGATGATGGCACCACCGAAGCCTTGGGACTAGCTACGAGGCTATATAAGGATGTGCAATTTCTGCAATTTCTGCAACGCCATCTTGATCGATATAGTTAAAATGGTTCGCGTTTCTCTCTCAGTTTCTGCTCTCATTGGTGCTGTTGCGCTTGCTTCGGCGGCGCCGGCGCCGTTGCCAACGGTAGATCTGGGATACGGGTTGTGGAGTGCCTCGATTAACGTGAGTTATTTCTCTCCGTTGCGGGCTACTCGGGGTTGCCTGGGCCTACTTTTATAGACGTGAGACAATTGCCGCCTCAAGGTTCAAGTCATGGGTTATGGATAGCTTCAACGATTTACAGTAGCTGACTACCGCCATAGGACACTGGGAAGCACCCTTACTACACGTTCAGTAACATCAGATACGCTGTCCCGCCAGTTGGCGATCTGCGCTTCAGAGCCCCCGTCCCGCCGAAACACAGGAACACGACTGTCAACAATGGATCGGGCAATCCCATCTGCCCTCAAGCCAACCCAGGTACTTAGATCTGCCGCCTTCATTAAGATCTTGCTAACGATTATAGCATGGCTCTTGACTGCCCAGGCGTTTCTGACGGGAACGCCCATTGAGAACCTAACCAGGCCCGGCTCGGGCTCTGGCTCCGGCGGCGGCTTCAGTTTGGATGACATTCCAAAGCCAGCCGCAGGGACGACTGAAGACTGCTTGTTTTTGGACGTTTATGCACCAAAGTCGATCTACGATGCTCCAAAAGTGGAGAACAAGCAGAGCGGTGGTAAGTTTATTCCACTCCTAACCGTATTCATTGCTGATAAATAGTAGCCCCAGTACTTGTCTGGATCTACGGTGGCGGATACACTGCAGGTTCCAAGACGGGAAGCGGCAATCCCGCCACTCTCCTTGACAGTGCCAGAGATGGTGATGAGAAGGGAATCATCTTTGTAGCTCTGAACTACCGATTAGGCATGTTCGGATGGCTGTCCGGACCTACGTACCAGGCGAGCGGTACTGCCAATATCGGCCTGCACGATCAGCGTTTGGCGCTCGAGTGGGTTCAAAAGAACATCCACCTCTTCGGCGGTGACCCAAACCGTGTCACAGTAATCGGTGAAAGCGCCGGCGGCGGATCTATTATGCACCAGATCACCGCCTACGGTGGGCTGAAGGGCAAGGTCCCATTCCAACAGGCCATCGTGCAGAGCCCCGGATGGGTCCCAAGCCCGAGCAACTACCAGAACGAGGCCGTCTTTCAGAAGACCCTCAGCTTCGCATCTCTCATCGCCCAGAAGCAGGTCGCCACGGTCGATGATCTTCGCAATCTAACGACTGAGCAACTGTACTACACCAACTACGCCGTGACGGGTCTTTCCAACTACGGTACATTCACCTACGGCCCAACCGTCGACGAAGACTTCGCCCCCAAGCTCCCCGGCGAACTGCTCCTCCAGGGCCAATTCGATAAGAGCCTCAATGTCATGCTGGGCCACAACTCCGAAGAGGGCTTCCTCTTCGCCTCCCCCTTCGTCACCAGCGACACCACCCTCAAGGAGTACCTCCAAGGCTCCGTCCCAGCCATCCTCCCCACGGCCCTCGACACCATAGTCACGGACCTCTACCCCCCCAACTTCGACGGCTCCCTCCCCTATACCACGCAGCTCTCCCGCACCTCCGTCCTCGTCTCCGAATCAGTCTTCACCTGCAACACGCGCGCCCTCAACCTCGCCTACGGCAACAACACGTACAGCTACTACTTCCGCGTCCCTCCCGGACTACACGGCGAGGACGTCGCATACACTTTCTTCAACGGGGACACATCGACGTTGAACCAGGGGTTTCCGGTTGATAGGACGGTGGCGGAGGCGTTGCAGGATTATATTACGAGTTTTGCGATGAATGGGAATCCGAATGAGAAGGGCGTGCCGTTTTTCCCGCTGTATGGGGGGAATTCGAGTACCCAGGTCATTGATATTGGGAAGTTGGGAACGCAGATAACGGATACGACAGCGAATAAGAGGTGTGCATGGTGGCAGGAGGGGTTGTATTATTGAGTAATGAGTAGTGATTATGGATGAGGGGTGATGATGATGTGGTAGAGGGCCAGAGGTAAATGCAATATATGAGTTTATCGACATTTTCTGGCCCATGTTCATTGGAGCACTGGCTCTGCTTCTAGATCGCCCAGACGGCTCCATTGATATGAGTTGGCATAGCTTCAGGTGCTCGAGATAATTTCGCCTGAGCGATGGGTGCTGAAGGTTGGAACAAGACAGCCCATAGCTGATAGAATCGTGCCTGGAGGTTAGGCTGTGAAGGATTCAGTAAAAGCTGCTCTTCACGTACTTGAAATGTGAATAAACACTTACTACTATATCTATTGCTAGAAGAAGCTGGTCAGATGTGACGGTCTGCTCGCTGCCATCCCCTGTTAGGCTGTTGACTAACGCCTCAGTCAACTCTTTGTCTGCCGGACTGGCATCTACGAAATCGCCCAAGTGGCAAAACGACCTCCATTTCTCTTTGTTCAATCTTATTCTCAGCAACAAATACTTCAAGGTCGATACAACTTCCCGCTTCACCTCTCTTTGCGTCAAGGTAGTCTCCCTAGCAAACAGGTTCCATGCCACAACCTCGAGCTGTTCTGGTGACGGAGCCGCGTGCATAAATTGAGGCACAACCATGATCAAAACATCCATAGCATCACTCAAGGCAGAAGTCATACCATTTTGCTGATTTAATAGCTGAGTTGTAGTCTCTGGGACCCCAATGCTTCGGAACATGCGTTCAAAATTGGCTCTGCGGAAGAATGCTGCATCGTTGCGCCAGAACCACTCAAGTAACAGGGTGCCAAGGAGGCCGTCACATTGGAAGGCTGTGAGCAAGACTGCGCGTTGGAAGGCTTCAAAATCGACCTGTCCATGTTGAGAGTCCCGGGGAAATGGATGATAGGCGTAAAAATGGAAACTTCTCCAAAGAAGCTGGAGCGCGGCGTCGGAGATTACAGATTCGGAATGGGTGCTTCGTACATGTCTTGTGAGGCTTTCTTCATTCTAGTCTGATATCCCATAAGCAGTTGCTTTACCAGATGAGAAGACAAAACTTGCATTTCTGCTGGGATGGGCCCTCGGTGCAGTACTTATAAAATGTAGTTTGCAGATGCTCTCGCTCCTTGAACCCGCTCAGTTACGGCGAAAGTACCTTGCTAAGGTCTCGAGCAACCGACTCTATTCTGAGTTAGATACATCTCGCAATAGACTAGATATCTGCAACTATTAACCTACCGCATGTAGCGTCATCGAGATATTTCTTCACCTTTCGATTCTCTGGTCCTAGGGCAACATCATTGATGATGTTGACTAATGCTGCAAACATTGTATTAATTGCAGTATAGACAAGAAGCAGTAAGCTTTATTGAAGTAGACGCTGACCCTGATGAGCGAGGGAAGCTAAAGTGATTTAGGCAAGGCAGAAGGGGGCGGGTGCAGGAGTTGAAATAGGCAAGGACTGCACTAGTCGCTTAGAAGTCAATCAGCGGGTCCTTAGAGTCAACCTGCATATTGAACTTCGGGAAGAAGCATTTCTCAATCCAACTTCTCTCAACTTGGCCGGCTTTACTACCACGAGCATACATTTCGCAAATGTTCTTCTTGGGTGTCTAGGACATAGATGTATGCAGCCAGTAGCTAAAACCTAGTGTGTCCCATTCTCATCTACCTAAAAAAGCCCCTCATCGATCTTTGTAGGAAGTTGCAAAATGAAGGGTTGTGTAAGCAGAGCAGGCAAGTTGAGTCCCTTAAGAATATGAGGACTGCATAAAGGTCTCCAAATGCCTGTTTGATATATTCCCTTAGAAGGCGCAATAGCCTACTTAGTAAAGATGTAGAAAGATGAAATGGATTTGGCAAAGCTAGCGTTACCTTTACAGTAAGTTAAATTAATCCTCAGGTGGTTCAACCCTTTGAATGAAAGGTTAGGGTGCCTCATGGGGGCCGACCCCATTGCCCCTGATATAGGACCTATAGTAGCCCCCTCCATCACATCTTCCGTCGCGGCCGGACCTACAACCCAAAAGGATAAGTCTCCTCCAACCCCGCTGGCGTCTTCAACTGCCTCTTCTCCAACGGCCTCACCGCTTCCTTCCTATCAAACCACAACCACGCATCAAACTGCTTCCCCAGCGCCGCCCTACTATAATGACTCTGCCTCTCTGTCTCCGGCCTATAAATAACCCCAATAAACCGCTCCAGCTTCTGCTCCTCCAACGCCCTCTTTAGTCGCTCATCATGCAAACCCGCCTCGCGGATATTAAGCACAAAACTCGCCATCCCCGTATTATGCGCGACTCTTTCCCAGCTATCCTCGCGCGAAGGCACAACGCTCATAGTCTGCATATCCCCGTCCCAGGAGTGCGCGGCCGCAACAGTCCCATCATGGCTCCCGCACCCCAAAATCGCCACCCCTGGCCCCCATTTCTCTCTACACAACTGTCCCAGATTCAACTCCCCCCTCCTCGTCATATCCGTATATCTCGCGTCCCCAAGATGGCTGTTATGCGCCCACACCACCACTCCCCCCCTTCTGAACTTCATCAAGCGATTCAACGTATCGAACATATGCCGATCCCTCAGATTCCAACTCTTGTCGTCAGCGTAGAACATCGACCTATAATACCTCTCTGCGTCAACGACGAGCCGAGCATTCTGCTCCGCGCTGTGGAATTCCTCGCCATCCCCCCTCGCAGCCGCGTACTCGAGGCGCCGCTTTAGAAGGTCCATGAGGACGGAGGAGATGTTCTCCTCGCACGATTTGAAAGCGGGGGACATCATAGACGCAATCCCGTATTCCGACGGGTCGTCAACCCAGGGGTCGAGGCAGGCGTACCGCTGCCTAGCCGTCTCGGCCAGGACAGAATCCACGGAGTTGAGGTACTTGACCACTGCATTCAGCGAGCTGCCCATGCTGTACAGGTCCAGCCCGAAGACCCCCGCGCAATCAAAGCCGCGCTGCGAGGAATTGTAGTTCCGCAACCAGTGCGTGAAATCCTGTACTTCCTTATTACGCCACATCCACGTCGGGAAACGCTCGAACGGCGCATCGGGGGGTTCATTCTTCCTCAGCTCTGTCCGCGGCCCGGGACGCTCGCGGATATACCGATCGATGCATTCTGCGTCCGGCCAGTCGGCTTCGAGGGCGATGGTTGTGAAGCCGTGGTACTGGATTAAGCGTTTAGTGATTTCGGCGCGGGCGTGGTAGAACTCTGAGGTCCCGTGGGATGAGTCCCCGAGGAGTACGAGGTGGTGGCGGGAGAGGAAGTCGAAGTGGGATGCGAATGACTTGTCTGTTATGGGAGGGAGGCAGGTCGCGGTGGCGCGGATGATTTCAGGGAGGCCTGGTCGCATGGCGGATTGTAATTGTATGGGGGTGTGAGAAGGGAAGGGGAAAGGGAAGTAAGTAGGAATAATTGTAGGGGATAGAATAAACGTATAAACTTTAGACGGACGATGTGATGTGAACAGGGAGAAAATGAGATGAGCTTACAGAACTTACAATAGGGCTCTATGGAGTTGGTAACGGCTTGGTATACTTTGTGTGAAATGGACTAAAGAAATCACTTATACAGCGCATCATCATACTTAATAGCGCGGTCATATAACGTATTTCACGTACGAGTTGCCCACACGAACGAGTTGCCCACCCCATTTTACACCCAAACCATGAATTTTGTAACTAACTATCTCAACAACTATTTAGTAGTAAAACTATAAAAATGTATATTTAGCCTTTTATAGGCATTTAAAGTGTCTTCTTTGAATTTGAAGGCAATTAGGCTTATAACTAGTCATTAAGATATTAAGACTTAGGTCTAAAGTGGGGGCCAAAACTTAGTATCTTAATGACTATAAGCCTAATTGCTTTAAAATTCAAATAAGACACTTTAAATGCCTATGAAAGGCTAAATATACATTTTTATAGTTTTACTACTAAATAGTTGTTGATATATTTAGTTACAAAATTCATGGTTTGGGTGTAAATAGCACCACGCTATATATCTCAGGGCCGCGCACCAAAGTAGCCACCATCGTGATGACCGCAGCCATCTGTGTCTCTTGTCGAATTGCAGCTCATCCGTTTTGGTCGAATGGAATTTGAAATTCAATGGGGTATAGTTCAACACCAAACGCTACTACACAAGCTCGCTCTGCCAAGTCCATTTGCGGTAGTTGGAAGTACGCGTCATAGACTCTATCCGCGTAGTACAGAAGATTGGGCAATCACTTGACTATATGATCTGTCTTCAAGTGGGTCGAATGGCGAGGTCTAGTGCTCCCTAAGGCGGGGGGGAGGTATGCATTCAGGTCGTCGACGGCTTCTAATTTGATCAACGTCCGCGTAATCCGTAGAGTCGCTGACCGGGGTTAATTGTTCGTCCTCTTCATCAATCCGCACATACGGAAGCTTCCCCTTCGGAGACTCTGTTGAAGCCCCCGTGTGTACAGAATAAGGCAGGTAGGAGACTCGCAGGCAGGCTTCGAGTTTGGCAACGAAAGGAGATCAAGTGTGTTGGAGTCTCAATAGAGGGTCAGGCTTGGCACTTTCAAAGTCATGGCGTATGTGTAGACTAGAAAAGATGTCTCAGTGCTATAAAGCTATAGATGTCTACTTAAGATAACTTTATAGCTTTAGTAATTACACTTCATATTATTAAGGATTCCGCATCACGGGCAGATTTGGGGTTGTTGTCACCAAAGGCACTCCCGCATTTGATAGATGTCGTGCGTTTTGCCCGCCCGCGCTAGGTGAGCAGCTGCACGATCTGCGGCAGCGTGTTTTCCTCTCAACCATTTGTTTCTTCCTCCTGCCCCTGAACCTCCCCCATACCGAGACGTGTTCTCTGAACCGACAGCTGCTATTATGCAGTTCGGCAGTGCTATTGGCACAGCATGTCTTACGTTCGTCCTGACCAACATCGACGACGCGTTTGTTCTCGTGACCTTCTTCGCCGAGTCGTCAACCTCTAGGAATCTCACTCCCCTTAAGATCACTCTTGGGCAATACATCGGTTTCACCGTCATTGTAGTTGTCAGTCTAATCGGGTTTGCCGTTGCGGTGGCACTCCCGTCTGAACCTATTGGCTTTTTAGGCCTATTACCCATTCTGCTTGGTGTATGGAAACTCTTTGACCTGCTCTTCCCCAAAAAGGATGATACGGAGGAAGAAGAATCGGAATCCCAGTGCATCGCCAAATCAGTCTTCAAGGTTGCCCTCATTACGATCCTGAATGGGGGCGACAATATCGGCACCTATATACCTCTCTTCTCCCAAGCGAAGGGCGCCGAGGTCGCCGTCTACGTCGTGCTCTACTACATTCTACTCGGCATCTGGTGCTTTATCGCCTTTCTTATTATGAAGCAGAGGCATATCGTACGCCTGGCCGAAAAATATGCTTCATTCATAATACCATTCCTCTATCTCGGCCTCGGTATCTACATTGTCGTGAAGTCAAACTGCTACCCTTGGTCTGTCAAGGAGATCGATGATGAGTTCCTCGGTGACCCCGGCAAGATAGTTATGGGCGTTGTGACTGCATTTTTGCTGTTGTCTATCATGGGAATGATGGTGTGGTTTAAGATGCGGAAAATGAAGACTAAAACGAGGAACGAGGAAATCTCGCTCACTGAAAATACTCCGGCTGTTGCAAAAAGCGAGAATGACGGCCCTGCGGATGCCTCTAATAATTACAAAGAAGCTAATAATGCCAATACCATTAGCACTGAGCAGCCCAGGAAGGATTGTGAAGAGACTGAGACAAGGTCGGTTGAGGCAGGACCGAATGCAGAGCAGTTACGGTCTGACAATAAGGTGCAGCCGAAGGCTACACCATGAGATGGCGAAATACAGGCGGCAAGCTAAAATATCGAAGATACAGAAGACATGGCAATATATACAGTACATGTGCTTGTTGGCTGTTTCCCATTCCCGTTCTTCTGTCCTGTCGAAGCAGACGGCGGTGCTCTAACGCCCCTGAAGGAGGCATCTGGAGAAAATCAGGTCTGGTGTCGACTCAAAGTAGCAGCCGGGCCACCTGTTGGATAATGAGCTCAGTTGGTGGTTGGGTGATAACCCATGTAATAATCGTAGTTGCTAGGAATCGCTAATCTTCAGAATCCAACATAAGGCCTACGGCCTAGTCCTCGGACTGTTTTCCGTAATAAGTGCTGAGCCAGACCTGATTTTCTCCAGATGCCTCCTTCAGGGGCGTTAGAGCACCGCCGTCTGCTTCGACAGGACTGATATTTTGCAGAATAATGCGATTCAGTTTAGGAGCAACTATCGACTTTCTCTTAACCAACTCTAGTACTGAGTACCTCCTGCTGGGCGAAGGCCAACACCACTTCATTTTCGAGTCCACCTATAAGCAGATACTCAGGACACCTAGAAACAAGCTTCCACAGTTCTAGATTCCATGGGCCAGTGCCTGCTACCATGCCAACTAGAAACTCCACGGGGAGAACGAGGTGGGTGAGAACTTTAAAACCAGCAAAAGATCATAGCCTAGAATTTCTCGCGGAGTTCGACTCGATGACCAAAGGACTACCCCGTGCAAGACGCAGCTGCCTCAATGAACCCGTCAAGCACAACAGGCCTTCCATCTTCAACAGTGGGTCAAACTTGTTAATAGTAGCATCTTTGTGTCCATGCACGTACGAGAAAAACTCTAGCCGTACACATGCCTGGAGAATACTCCCGGCCACTCTTGCCTCACAAACACATTGTTCCATGATGAGTGTCTTCAGGCCCGACGGGAAGTCAAGCCTGGCCTGGGTAAGTTGTACGAAGCCGTTGAGATGTAGTGACTCGACTGATGGCGCCGTATGAACAGAAGGAGCTCTAACTTTACCCCGTCGCTGGGTTGTCCCCATTCCGGTTTGAATGCAAACTTTCCGTGCCAAATGTAAGGAAGCAGCGGTGTCATGCTCTTCGGGCCTTGTTCCTCTAACAAAGCCGGCGGATCTATTCGTACGGCTCCGTCCCGCATTTCTTGGTGGCTGCGTCTGACGACTCTAAAGAACCACTCGATATAGTTTTCTTCCCCATCGCTTGGGAGAACACTATTCGCCTCTTACAGCGTATTTGTCTTAAGCCCGGGCACAAAAAGATAATAATTGTAATTATAGGGTACAATTCCCTTCCCTCGTTTGCTCCCACCACCTTATGCCACCTATCAATCGGCGGTGTCGCGCTAAAGCCATAATGTTGCTTAAAATAACCAATCTCTACAATTTCTGTTAGCACCTTTGGTATCAGTATCTTGTCCTCGTAGATGAAGGAGTGGCCAAGAAACTCGCAGCTTCTAGGCGAAATATCCAGCTCCTGGACAAACCCTCCTAATGCCCGGTCACGTAGGAGTGATCTTAGAAGCATGGAACCAGACGACGATCCGATAAATTATCATCGCGACAAAAGAGTTTTCGGTACAGAATTGGCGTTGCGAGGCTACGTAGGTGTCGCGACGAAAGGCACAACGCAGCCAGATCGCTTTCACTCTGTGCAACGTGGCTGATGATGTTAAGGATAATGTCGCCAGGGAGACCATGTAGCAAATGTTTTCTAAAATCTACCGGCGAGGGACTGAGGATGAGATGAGAGATCGAGGATGGGAAACCGCCGGTGGCAGATGGAAAGATAGTGCGTGCCTATGCGCGCGCATGACTTCACTTCCATGCGTTGGGTTGCAAGGAAGATGCCATGCATGACAGCCACCTATGCACATCACCCCCAGTCTTTTGAGCGGCGCGAGGCTCTGAATAAAAATAACACGCAGGAGCAAAAGCCTCACCATTGTGTTTATGACAGGAGCTATGCCAAAATTAGATTTGTCAGGCCCTTCGAGATATGCGCCTTTAATCGCGTCATTTCCGGCAACACCAATAGCTGTGTTCTCTTGAATATCTTCATTGTTTTATTGTTGTCATCCACGATTCCTTGAGGCGCAGTTCCAATTATAGAACTGACAAAGAAGCCGTGAACGTCATATTTGCTGTCGTCTTTGTTGCCGTGTCTTCTCCCTTTCACTTTCTTTAAACCCATTGTTGGAGACAAGGAGAAAAACATCATAAGGAACCAAAGTTGCTCAATACCGCACTGTGAATGTCAAAGACTCATAATCCCATTTACTCTCAGCGATTCTCCAGAGTTATACCTCTTGGCGAGAAGAAAATGGGTTTATTCCTTTCTTCACTTCCCGGACAATGCTCTCGCCATGTCTTTGTCCCTTCTGTGTATAATATTCATGTGAACAGCCAGGTTTTCCAAATGCTAAATCTCGTTCTTATTCCTGATCATCATCAATATTCAGTACAACATCCATCTCTTTTTCCGGGGTGATAAAGTGCCCCTTTCTTCACTATTCTCTATTGTTACCATCCGATGGACATCATCATCAGGATTCTCCGTGGCGATAGTAGGAAAGCCGCTGTCTTTTTGACAGATATTGTCCGGGACTTCGAGTGCCAGTATGCAGGACAGCCATTTCCTCAGGCCAACTCGGCGCTTGCTGATGCCATCGTTTTCAGCGACAGGACAAACACCCGGTTCACCCAGTTTCTAAATAACTCACAGCCACCCCAACCGCGTCTCCATAGGCTCATGTACCTCGGCGCGCTTTCCACTTCTAATACGTTCATCGAGGTATTTAAAAACGAGAGAGATGGTTTATGGAAGGCCCTACTAATAGAGCTAGATAAGCACATGGCTGTCATCAATTTCTTTGCCCGCTCGCGCCAGCTCCCATGGAAAGAAGCTATCATAAGCTATTTCGACGATATTAGTGATACGGGCCCGGATTCAGCACCATTCCGCAGCGGGGTTTGGCCTGTTGATGTCCCTGCCCATCCCTTGGGCCTAGAAGACGATATATTCGAAGGTGTGCATCCCCATGCTTTCTACTTTTGTTTAAACGGTGGAACAGATCGAAACATGGTTATGAGTGGCTCCCGTAAAGACAAACCTATGGAAAACATAAAAGAGTCCGCCTTCGACCGGAGATACTGGCCCAGAACCGCGCCTCCTTCGTGGCCAGCCAATCGAACATACCTCGACCATCCGCAGAACGTCCGCAACGCGACAGCCGGCATCCCTGCTAACCAAGCAGATGATTTTTTGATCTGTAGCGATTGCGATGAAACTTTTGTTGACACCACCACGGACGATACAGGCTGCACATGCGTCTCATGGCATGTTGACCATCCATGTGTCCAGGTTCACGAGTACCCCCCTTATCCCAGTGCTCCTAGCCAAGTCAACAAGGGCGTTATAACTATGCAAGCATTCGCAAAAGACGAAATTATCGGAGAGTACGTCGGCCTGTTGTTACCGCCAGGCAGAGCAGATCCATCGATAAGAAAAAACGTCTTTGCAGATGACGTCTATACGATAGACCTCAACGCAGCAGTGATTGTCACCGTAGAAGGTGAGGAGGCGTCGATGCTGGGCGACAAGATAGCCGATGTTTCGGCAGGGTGGAAAGGGAACTGGACGCGGTTTATTAACACGTCCCCACGGAAGGGTGACTGGAATATTGAGCTCGAGCAGAGACTAGTTGCTGACCGGATCAGGATTCTGGTGCGCACGATTCGGCTATTGCGTTTGGAGAGGAGCTGATAGCATCGTATGGGACCGACTATATGAAGACTCTTTTCGGGAACAGCTGGAAACCCTGATATGAATGAATATGGAAGGGACTGACGGGAAACAGCTGGCTGTTTTAACCGACTTGTATAATAAGACAGATGGTATTGGTGTTTTAGAATCTTGTACACTTTAATAACACATATTTTGTATATTTTAGCTGTAAATAACGTCGCATTATATTTCGAGTTATTCCGAGATTCTCATATTTACTTTCGTTGACATAAACTATGACCTGAAAGGGGCAGGCGCAGAAGATAGTAATGCACCAGCAACTCGCATCATACGAACCGCAACTTTACAATCCAAATTATTCCATTCCATTTTACGTAGCCATATCTTCACTTATCTACGCGAGTGCTTCCTACAACAAATCCAGTACATTTACTGAATGCATAGACCCGTCCCCATTCCATAAGTATCATGCATTCATATCATACAAATAACGCCCATCTACTTCCAATTTCAACGATCCACATCTCCCTCCCGTTCCTCAGCATAATCTTCCCCATCATGCATCTCATCCGCATCCTCCATAGGTACATCGCCTGCATCACGGTCGCCTCCCAGACCAGGCGCGTCAGTCTCCCCAACCTCCATGTCACGGCCCATGCCAACACCTTCCTCAGGCTCTGCCGCATCCTCCGCCACATCCTCATCCTCATCATCACTTTCTACCATCCGACGTCTCGTGGTGCGTTTGGCAGGCGCACGCTCCACCTCTTCGTCGTCGTCGTCGTCGTCATGTTTCGGCGGGCTGCCAACAGGGCTGGACACATCCCGGCCTCTATCGCTCCCAGATCCATCGTCATCGCCTCCTCCACCACCCTCGCCCTCATCACTCGAATCCACCACCACCTCCGCAGACTTGAACTTCGAGTTCGGCTTCTCCTTCTTCGCCAACCTGCGCTTCTTCTTAGGCTTCTCCTCATCCCCATCCGCATCCCTTCTCCTCGCTCTCCGGTCCTTCTTCGGCGTCCCCGTCTCGCTCTCCTCCCCACTCTCATCCCCCTCCTTCTTCTTCCTCTTCCCGCCCGCCTTACCCACCTTCCTCTTCCTCTTCACCCTCTCCCCTGTCTCGCTATCAACTGTCATCTCCGCCTCCTCCCTCGCCTCCGCCTCCCTCGCCCTCGACTCCGCCAACGCACGATCATGCTCTGCGATCTTCGCACGCTCCTCCGCAATCACACGCTTGCGCTCCCGCTGCTCCTCCTCGGCCTTCAAACGCGCCTCCTCGCGCTCCTTCAGCTCGCGCTGGCGCACCTCCATCGCTTCGCGCACCTTCTCCTTGTTCTTCTCCTCGTACTCGCGTTGTGATTGGATGCTACGCTCAAGCTGCTTGCGCATGGTGTTACGCGCCATGTTTGCGCGTCCCTCGACCAGGGCCTTCGGGTACGGCGTCTGTGGGTGCTGTGCGATTTCCTCGAGGGATACGATGGCGTCTTCGAGTCCGGCGGCTGCGGCTTCGACTTCGGCGAGCGTGCGCGCGGACTCTGCTGTGGTGTAGATGGTCTGCGCAAGCTGGATCTGCACAAATGCAACATTGAACTTGAAATGGATCTGTTCTGGCGCGGTTTCAAGTGCCTGTGACGGGTGTTAGCTCCACCCAAGCCAGTTAAAACGAATAACATACCTTCTGTGCATACTCCAATGCATTCTTGTAGCTCTTCAGATCCTTCTCCGCTCTCCCCCTAGCTAACCAAGTCCTGCCCAAACAGGCCAAAATCTGCGCGTCGCTACCACTGTTCTTGCTCAGCGCGGCCTCGTAGTGTTCAATAGCCTTGCTATACTGTCTCAACTCGGCAAACAGGTGTCCGAGGTTGATATAGACGTTGGGGTCCTTGACAGTCTCCCGGACCTGCATGAAAATGGACAGGGCACCCTTGAAGTCTTTCTTATCCTCAATCATAGCGATAGCGATTCCCTGTGCTGCAAACGCGCTCTTAGGGTCAAGCTGCAGCGCCTTCTCGAAGAACTCGGCGGCTTTGGAGTACATGCTGCTGCGCTTGGCCCTCTCAGAGTCCGAGTTACGCGGCATCTCGCGAGCGGTCTGGAGGTACAGGTTCCCCATGCCGATGAGTGCGTATCGGTCATGCTTGTCGTGGTGCTGAAGGGTGTGCTTGTAGTGGCGCAGCTCAGGGTCTTCATGAATATGGGAAGCGGATGCGCGCTTGCGAGAGTGGACGCGGCCAAGGTACCAACCATAAAGTGCTCGGACTTCAAGGTCGTTGCTAGCGTCCTGGTAGAGCTTGCCAATTGCCCTTGGGCCTTCATCGGTAGGACTCTCCTTCAGTGCAATGTATGCCAGTCGAGTGCGTGCATCAGTGTAATCAGCGTGTCTGCCCAACAAGCCCTCGTAGACTGTTTTGGCTTCATCAAACATCCCACTGGCCTCATATGTCCTGCCAAGATTGAAGCTGATACTGGTCACCAGAGCATCGGTGTCCATGGCCTCCTCCCTTTCCCCTGCCTTCACGCAGGCACTGAGCGCGGCCTGGAAGAAATCCCGGGACAGGTCGAATTTCTCGGCCTGATAGTGGAAGCAGCCCATGTTGTTCAGGAGCTGCGGAGGCAAGTTCTCACGGATCTTAAGCTTCATGGCTTCTTCAGCTTCAGTATCCGTCGCCTTGTCCTCATCCAAGGCCTGCGCCTGAGCTTGTGCCTGTGCCAGTTCTATCTGCTCGATTTGCTGAAGACATAACACACTCTTTTCCGGGTTATCGACTTCGTACAAGCGTGCGAGATTGAGCAGCACAGATGCATCAGGAATCAAGTTCTTCTTCGGGTCCTTCCATGCAGCACGAACAGACTCGAGGAGACTCACAGCCTTCTTGAATTCCTGCGTCTTGTCCTCGTTCGAAGCGCCGTATTGGTTCGCGAAGACCTCCTCAGAGTAGATTGTGCCAAGCAAACTCATGGCTTCCACATTCTTCGAGTGCTGAACTATCTTCTCCAGCCTAAATTTCGCTTCGCCAAAGTCGCTCTTCAGCACCGATATCTGAGCGGACCCAAACTTCGCTGGAACATATCCACGGTCTGCACCGCCTCGCGCCTCATCAGAGCGTCTGTAGTAATCCGCCGCCCGGTCAACATTATCTTCATAATGCTCTTTCCGCGCCAGCAGATACCACCCATCACTGGCAATAGCATTAACATCCGTGTATTGGATCGCCTTGTGTGCCAAAGCATCCGTATTTGCAAGCGATTTCCTTGACAAAAAGTACCCAGCAAATGTAGAGCAAGTAAGCGGCAGGTCTTTGTCGAGCTTGAACGCCTTCTGCGTATAAACCGTCATGGCCTTCTTGTACGTCTCAATAAAGTCCTTGCTATTCGTCGGCACATGCCCACTAGCATCCAGGTGATACAGCCCTAGGAGGATATTCGCAATCTTCGAATTCTCGTTGACCTCGAGCGCTCTCTCCCAGGCCACCTTCGCGTCACCCTTGTGCCCCAGCATCCACAAACACGCTCCAATACCAATACGTGGATCCGGATCCGTCAGCTCCGGCATCCGCGACAGAGCCAACTGGTATCCCTCAAGCGCCTCGGCGTACTTGCCCAGCGAAAACTGGACCCTGCATTTCCCGAGCACAGCGAGCATATTACGGCCCTGCGAAACGCGGATTGCGTCATCGAAGCTCTTAAGCGCATGGCGCAGGATATCCAGTTTCTCTGGGTCGATCGTCCCCGCCGCCGGCGCCTTCGACGGCGGCTGCAGCGACGCGCGGAGTAGGTATAGAACACCGCGCGCCATAAACAGCGGGGGAAAGCTGGGGTTGATTCGCGTCGCATCGTTGAGCGCCGTGGTGCTCAGCTGCAAATAGAACTCCTTTGTCTTCGCTTCGGAAACCATCTGGCCCTCCGGCGCAACGCGAGGCGCCTCGCGGCTCTTCCACAGATACAGCCAGCACAGACAGGTGAGCATGCTCAGTTTCTCCTTCGGGCCGCCGGTGACGGCCGCGAGGCCCTTGCCGAGCATCTCGATCGCGGTGTCGATTTTCTTTTGCTTGGCGTAGGCGAGCGAGACGGTCATCCAGAAGTTGCGGCTCACGCGTTCGTTCTCGAGGAGGGTGCACAGCTCGGTCGGGTCGTCGAGGAGGTCTTCCAGGTCGACTTCGACGGCTTGCTGGTCGTCTTCATCCATGCCTTGGACGGGGATGTCGAGGGATGAGGGGACGTCGGAGAAGCGAAGGACGGAGCGTGTGGCGATGGAGTCGGGGAGGTCTCTGGGCCCGATCGTGCTGAGGCCGTTGGTCGAGCCATTGGCGAATGATGTTCTGGACGCCATGGCGAAAGCTTAATGTCGTCTGCAAGTCAATTGGGTGTATATAAGAGTGCCTTTGAAGCCGGCGATAGCTTCAAGTTCGAAAGGCCAAGCCTGGCTTCGCGACTTGACTCGAGACGTGTAGAGCCTCGAGGAGCTTGGTGAACCCTTCAACACAGGGCAACCATAACAGGGTGAAGCGCTGGTGGCAGTGATATCTGTTGGCAAATTTCAAAATATAAAGAAGGCGAATTATCGTCGAAATGGGGGTTGTTGGAGGTTGGTGCGCAAGACCAATGCGCGAGGTGAGGTTATTGTGATCCAAAATTATTGAGGGCACCACCAGAATGGACTGGCAGGGGTCGATGCGGCTGGATTGCTGCTCCACCATCGGTTTTCGGATTTCTCCGCGCCGGCCCACGCTAACCCCGATCCGTGAGGACAACCACCAGCGTTCTCTTATCAATGAAAAACACACACAAAGCATCTACCAAAGGTCAGCATGAGATCACCTCCAGATAGAACACCAATGTACATACCACAGCAATTCAGGGCATGATTTTTTGAACCACGCGTAGATTATTTACTAAGCCTATTTTCACAGCAATAACTGTGATGTTAGCAAACGGAGGGTTTTACATCCTGCATCTGAATTATGCACTATCTAATAAAGTACAAATCTAGCCTTCCTTCTCCAAAGTTGAAGCTATCTCCCCCAGCTGTACTTATCAGCTCGCCCGCCACCCAAATTCCCAGCCCAACTCCACTATCATAACACCAGCCATAAAAAACACACAACCCTCCATGATTCTCCCATCCGCCAAAAAAAAACCACTCCACCGGTCCTAGGAACCATTATAGCAGAGTAGGCAGTCTAGCTTTTTAATCCTCATCGTCGCTCTGCGCCGCACTGCTCCCCCCATTCACGTAGTTGCTGAAGTTGAGCTTCAGCCTTGGCGCCGGGGTTCCCGTATTAGTCGTCGGTGCCGTGGACCCGCCGTCCCTCGACGAGCCGTCCTGATCCCCAAGTTCAGGGTGGTCGCTGATCTCATCTTGGATCTTAGATTTGCAAGCCGCCTGCGTCCGTTAATAATCGTGTTTCTAATCCACATAGCCAGCGGATGTGTCTTACCTGAATCGTATTCGCGTCCAAAAATAGAAAGCTCCCATCCTCATTATACTGCCGTGCGTTATTGCATAGCAGCTCGATGTCCTTGTACAAATCGTTGAGGTTACTGTAGTCTTCCTTCTTGATCTTCGTGTCAATCTGCTTCATCGCAATCGGTTTCGCGATGAGCTCGTAGTAGTCAGGGAACACCTTCTTCGGCGGTAGCACCATGAACGGTCCGATGACGGCACGCTTGGCCTCCTCCTCACCCTCGCTGCCGGACTCGGAGGTCTCGAGTTCAAGCAAAGACTTGTAGACGCTGCGAAGGCTGGTCTGCAGGGTGCGGCGATGATCACCGGAAACTCCGCCACCACCGCCCATCGACTTCGGGCGACCTTGACCGCCTCGCTTCGGTTTCTTAGGCGCTGGTTTCTCCTCCTCCTCAAAGTCCTCTGCCTTCCTCTTGTCAATCTTGCCAGCGGATTTGCGTCCACGTGGTTTCTTGACAACTGGTTCGGGCTCTGGCTCTGGCTCATCATCATCACTGTCCTTAGTGCCATCGGTGTCGGAATCACCAGCGGCGGAAATTCCCTGCTCCTTCCTCATCTTCTTTAGGCGACGGCGCTCCTTCCTCTCAGCCTTCCGCAGCGCAGCGGCTTCTGGGGTGTCATCGTCGGCATCGACAGCGTTCAGCCACTGCTCTTCCGTAAGTCCATCATCATAATGGAGAGTCTTGCGCTCTCTGGCACCGCGACCTCTAATCTCCTCAGGCTCGTCATCAATTGGATTACCCTCAGACAGATAGATCTCTGGTAACTCGTTGTCAGCCATGAGGCGGGGCATTCGCTTAGAACCAGCCGCAGTGCCGTAGATAGGATCCCTGGAACGTTCCTCGTCCATCTTCTTGAAGATTTCGACTTCCTCTTCGCTACGTGCCAGCATCAGATTCAGATCATCATCGTCCATCTCTTCTTGCTCGAGGCTCTCCGCTGATTCGGCCGTGTCCAACATGACACGAAGCATAGCGTCACGATCAGTCTCGGAAGATTTGTTATCGAAACGACCAGCCTGAATAACCTTGCCATCCATATCAAGCTTGTACTTGGCACGCTCGAGGATCTTCTCCTCAACGGAGTTCGAACTGATGAGTCGCAAGATACGGACCTCGTTCTTTTGACCGATACGATGGGCACGATCCTGAGCTTGCAAATCCTGATGAGGATTCCAATCCGAATCGTAGATGATAACGGTATCGGCGGTTTGCAAGTTAAGACCGAGACCACCAGCACGAGTGGACAACAAGAACATGAAGTATGGCGAATCGGGACGGTTGAACTCCTTGAGCAAGTCTGAACGATCATCGGACTTCGTAGTTCCGTCCAGACGCAAGTACATGATGCCGCGGAGACGTAAGAAATCCTCCATAATATCCATAATTGCCGTCATTTGGAAGAACATAAGCACTCTGTGACCGGTACGCTGATACTTTGGCAGAATCCGGTCGAGCAGCTCGAACTTTCCAGACGTACGCCACAGAAGATCGTTGCTGGTGTTCTTGGGGTTCATCTGGTTCTCAACCTCGTCGAAGACGAAAGGATGGTTACACAGCTTCCTCAGCTGCATGATCATGTTGCTAAGACCACGAGCGCCAGTCTTGCCTCCCTTGCCATCGCTGACAACCAACTTATTATGGGTAACCATCTGCTTGTACAGGCGTGCCTGGAGAGCAGAGAATCGAGTTTTGATGACCTTCTCGCTCTTCTCAGGCAGATCCTTCTCGACATCCTTCTTGAGACGTCTAAGCAAGAAGGGCCTCAGGACCTTGTGCAGACGGCGAATGACGAGAATCTGTTCTTCTTCAGTGAGCTCCATCTTATCTTGGCCTCCGGTGTTGGCGAAGGGAGTATTGAACCATTCATCGAACGATTTGACGGACTTGAAGATAGTAGGCAGGACGAAATTTAGCAGGGCCCAAAGTTCGGGCAAGTTGTTTTGCAACGGGGTACCAGTGAGAATGAGACGATAGCGCGTAGAGTAGTACTGTGATAGTGTGCCACTCAACTTCGACTTGGCGTTCTTCATACGGTGACCCTCATCAATAATCATGTGAATCCACTTGATCTTGCTGAGAACTGGTCTATCCTTGATAATGTACTCGTAGGTGGTGAGAAGAACCTGGAAATGACCATATCTGATCTCTTGCTGTTGCTCCTTTCTGGCAAGCGGCGATCCCTTGTACACAATTCTCTTGACCGAAGGGGCCCACTTCTCGAATTCCAGGTTCCAGTTAGTCAAGGTACTGAGAGGGACGATGACAAGGAACGGTCCGTTCTGCTTCTTCGCCTCAATCAGGTAGGTGATCAAACTGATGGTTTGGATAGTTTTTCCAAGACCCATTTCGTCGGCAAGGATACCATTCAGGTTATTGTTGTAAAGCGAAATCATCCACTGGAGACCCTTGATCTGATATTCCTTAAGTGTGCCACCAACCAGAATACTTGATTGCTTCGTAACTTCTTCCTTGATGCGATGAGCAACAGCATAGTAGTCGATCTTCTTAACGTCGCTGTTCATTTCCTCGTCTTCCGACTCAGACTCCTCCTCATCCTCAAAGGCACCGGCATCACCGTATCTCTCGGCAGCCTTCCTCTGCTGCGCCTTCACGGACTGAGCAAGCTGGGTCAAGAAGCCATCCGTCTGCTTCAGCAGATGCGTAATACGCGTATCCTTCGCCTGGTCGAGCAGTGCCAAGTAAGCCTCCTCATCGTTAGACTTCAAGGCCGCGAGACGCTGCTTAGCAGTCCTCTCGATACGCTTCTGCTCTTCTTTCTCGATGGTCTGGTGCTGGACTTGCATCAGGCGACCCAGCTTCTGCATCTTGGCCTTCTGCACACTGGCCGCAATAGCAATCTCGCAGCCGTGTTGCAGGACAGTCTGGAGGTAATCAGTGTGCTTCTTCTTCTCCCTCGTCTCTCTCGCGTCACGTTGCTCCTTCTCGAGCTTCTCGGTGATGCGCGCTTCGCGGAGCGACTGCTTCTTCATGCGGCGGTACATGCTCCTGTTTGCGGTCATGGCCAGGTTGTCATATTGGATCATTTGGCGTGCAATACGGTCTCTCATTGTGCGTTGTTTGGAGTACTGCTCAAGCATCTTCAACTCAATGAGTGCCTTGCGCTTCAGGCTGTCATCCGCTGAGAGGTCATCCGCGTTTCCTGTTTCCCAGTGCTGCAGGTTAGCAGGAATCGCTTTGAGTTCCTGATATCTCGACGACATGCGGTTGTAGATGACGCGTTCCCGATCCTCGCGCAATTTGTCAACATCGATGCCAGAAGGCATGATACTGGGGATCAAAAAGCGCCCTTGCCTCAGCGAGTGCTTAAAGTAGCTCATCTTGCTAGGAATCAGGGAGTATGGGTCAATCGTTGTAGACATCTCTTTCTCCTCCTCAGCTGGTTCTGGGGCCGCCGACAGGTCTTTCGGCTTGCCATTCGCGCTTGGCTGTGCATCTTCCAAGGTCTTCGCAGCAGATGCAATCAGTCCATCTGTGGTGGCCTCCTTCTTCTGGTGCGGTGCAAATAATTGCTGTTGTGTGGTTTGTGGGATGCCGAGGTTCTTCGACAGGCACTTGAACGCGAAGATCTGATGCTTCAGTATGCCGAGCTGATCTGCTGTGAACAACCCACTGCCAGCCGTCGATGAACGCTGCGCTGCTTGTGCAGACTGTGCAGCGTTCGGCTTTGATGCCGCTACCGGTGGTGCTGTTGCTGACGTAGGCTGGCTTGGTGGTGTAGGCACGGTAGCCGAATTCTGTTGTGGAGGTCGAACAGCATTGCTCCCATTTGTCGTGGCATTATTTGCATTCTGTTGTTGTTGCTGCTGCTGTTGGAACTGGCGCTGTTTGTTGTACATGCGCTGTTGTTGGATGGCCATCAGCATGTTGTGGACCTTTTGGTATTCGGGATCTTGGTCGGACACGCCCGATTCTTTCATCTGCTTAAATTTCTGTGGCGGTATTAGCATCTATCCATGTTGTTGCGACAAGTGGCGACGGTTTTGTGCGCCAACCCACCATATATATCTCCTGGACCGCCTGCTGGGACAGTCCCGATGGAAGGGCGGCACCCATTTGTTGTTGTTGGGCTGCAGGAGCAGCCTGGACGGTAGCCATGATGGGCGAGCCGGTGGCCTGGACCTCAATGCTCGATGGGACTATGGTCTATTAAGAGCCAGAGCGCATATCAAGATGCAGCCTTGCGCGTAAGGTGTCGGCTGGCGTTGGTCGTGATGCCAAAGGAAGCGACTGGTTTGTCGGGGGCGTCGAGCAAACGGGCCTCCGGTATCGAAGTCGGGGTGTGGGAAGGTCGCAAAGGCTCCAGTCAGGAGTTGTCGCGCCTCAAGTCGCCCGTCGCGTCGGCGTGGTCGTTGGGGATAACTTTTTGGAGGTTCGCGAAGGCTTGGCGCGACCTTGTGCGGGCGGAAGGGGCAAAAGTAGTTGAAGTCGTGAGGCAAATGGGGTGAAGTCGGGGGGTATCCCTATTCGACAATTCCCCGCGCGGCGAACAAAGGTGTTTGTCGAAGGGAGTATTGTCGTTGATATCAAACTAGGTTGAGGGGCGGGGGGTGATTGGCGCGAAGGGGATTGACGGTACTTCCATCGACGACGCGGATTTTGATGGATGGGGGTGGGTGAGATGGAGCTGGATGAGTTGCGAGGTCGCGCACGCTTCGGGACCGACTGAAACGGCGCAAAATCATGCTTAACGAGCACGCTAGGTAGATTACAGCACGCTAGTTGATGTATGTGTCACGTGATGATAGGGATTGCATAATGTGATTCTGGCCCCAAGAATCAGGCCGAATCAGGCAGAATAGGGCAGAATCAGGCAACAACATCCTGACTGAAAACCTAGGACGCAAGGAGGTTAATAGAGCAAACATATATGTGCAAGTTACATTTCCGTTGAAAGGGTATATAATATAAATTTTGACATATTGACATTCTTTGAGCCATACATTTTGACGTAAATAGTTGTTCGGCGCATACAAAGTAGGATCTCATTCAACATCACATTCTTGACTTCGGCAGCAATTCTAGGGATCACAGGTTCTATCTAGAGGGCTTGCTGTATATATGATGTCTATAATATGTTATACACTGCACTCGGACGGAATTACTGTCTCTGTTTGACCTCAACGTGCGATCTGTTCTTGGATTTATTTATTAAAATCACAAATAAGTCAAAAATATAATCGCATTATGCAGCCTCACTTCAAACTTCTCGGCGGCGCGAGTACAAATATCTGGAAAATATATCATTCATAAAGTTCTATATATTCGAACCATCCCACAAATACCCCAAACTCCTAACCCCCTCCTCAAAACCATGTACCAAATCATATGTACAGTAGTACTATAAAGGTCAGTCACCACCATCTCAAAACTCCACTCCCGGCCACTCGAACCGACCAACACCAGCCTCAAAAAGGGACAGCCATCAGTATTTCAGAATTTTATCGCCATCAGACAGTTTCTAGCTGCCCTCCGACTAGTTTGACATAATATCTGGTTCATCATATGCGCCGTCCCTCCCCGTCCCCAAACGTGAAAGCGAAAAAAACAACTTACTTACTGTTATAGATCCCTGCCCATAGCTGCAACCCCCCATCCACCCGCCCAACACCCTCTAGACGAGCAGCGACGCGCTTCGCCCCATCTCCGGCTTCTCAGCATCCCAATTACCAAGCGACAACGCACCACTCCCAGTCCAGAAATCGAGACTCAACGTCGTCGTCATGGCGATCCTAGTCGGCCGCTCCGTAACCACCGCCGCCGCAGCAATAAACCCACTATAAACGCCATTAGCCCAATTCCACACTCCCCAAAGCCGCAGCTGTTGGGAAGGAAATAGAGGGAGGACTCACCAAGCAATCCAGCCCACGATGCAAGCCCCTGTATTCGACACCAAAATAGTACTGCTTATTAACGACGAAGGCGCCGCCTATGGACCCTGCGATGCCAGCAACGAGGGCGAAATTGACAGCGAGGTTGACGCCGCGCCGGCCGCGCCAGAGAGCGCCGCGCGGGGTGTGGACGATGAAGACAATGAGGATGCGGAGGAAGGCGAGGGAAATGAAAACGAGTGCTGGGACGGCGCGGATGGCGCCCTTGGCGGCGAATAGTGAGAGGGAGACGATGAGGAGGATGGCAGCGATGAGGCGGAGGATGGTGGTGGGGTAGATGGTTAAAGTGATCGGTATGCTGTTGCCTATATATTGATATCTGTTGTCGTCGAAACGGAGTGCGCTAGGATCAGGCTAATATGCATCCTTCACACGTGACTGTCGTGTTTCTGAAATGGAAGCCCTGATTTTGGAGTCGATATATAACACGAGTAAGTTTTGAAAACGAGCTGTCGATTGGTTGGGTTGTTATGTCTTGCAGCACAGCAACAACCTTCCTCCTCGCGTTAGTGGTGGGAAGGGGGAGGAGAGCATGACGGCGACGACTTTGAAGGAACGCAGGACAAATTGAGACTCGAGAAAATAAAGGAAAATAATAGCTAGACAAGGCAATCGCCTTGGCAGCTTCACTGGCTATAACAGCAAGAAACCGAGAAGAGAAAATTGCTCAACTTGCGCGGAATTGATAACCCTTTCGCTCAGCTATAATTATGAAAGGAAGATGGTGCGAAGAATCTTTGCCAATAACCCTATATACCTCGGCGAGACGCACAAACCACCTCCATCTCCCACCTCCACCTCCACCTCCAAACCCACTTCACCCCTTTCAACGCGTCAACCAGTCACCGTCCTCGCCCGCCCCCGCCGCCCCTCATCTCCATGGCCATACTACTCCACGGCCAGACGAACACCCGTCAGACCGCGTCTTCACAGCAATCTCCAGCCCAGCGAGAACAACCGAGCCCGGCACGCGACACCTCAGCCTCGCCGCCAATCCTCCACATCAACCTCCACCACCAACCACCACCAACCAACACCAAAATGGCGACCCCACCGACCCCCTTTCCCGCCGCACCCTCACCACCACCGAATCCGCCCACTTCCGGCGTCCCCGCCTCGCCTCTCTCCCCGAATCCCCCCTCCGCGCCCACACTCCCCCGCCCGCTCCCCCTCCCCCTTGTCCGACCACCCTCCCGCCCCACGGCGTCGAAGCTCCTTAATCTCCTTAATCTCCATCGACTCCCTCTCCTCGCTCTCCTCAGCGCGGCGGACGTTACATTCCGACTCCGCCTCCCTCCTGCACCCGCCGCCGGTGGATGCGCATGATGGGTTATCGGCGTGGCATAGTCTTCCGCTGGCGTTTGCGTTGTTGCCGGCGTTGGGGGGGTTGATGTTTAAGGATGGGAGTCGGTTTGTTAGTGATGTGCTTTTGTTGGGGTTGGCGGCTGTGTTTTTGAATTGGAGTGTGAGGTTGCCTTGGTTCGTCCTGCCATCCTCCCATCCCACCCTCCCTCCCAACCCTGCCTTACCCTCTCCTCTCCCTACGACAGCGAATAGCTAATCGAAGCGCACAGGGACTGGTACCGCTCCGCCCAAGAAATCCGCACCACCACCTCCCCCAGCCCCCCCCCACAAAATCAGATACTCCCCGCTCCCCCCAACACGCCCGCGAAATAGCCACCTACACCTCCGCAACCAACGAACTCCGCACCCACGAGCTCCTCGCTCTCCTCTCCTGCGTGATCCTCCCCCTCCTCTCCGCCGGGCTACTGCATATCCTGCGCAACTACCTGCGCGCTGGTGCATCGGGGTTAGTTTCCGATTTTAATTTAGTCGCGTTCATGCTCGCCGCCGAGATCCGCCCGGTGGGTCAGTTATTGCGGTTGGTGAGGGCGAGGACGCTCTGGCTCCAACGCGTCGTCAAGGTTGATCCGCGCACCGGGGTGGATGAGCGACAGGATGGGGAAATCGAAATGCTGCGCCGCCGCGTGGAGGTTCTGGAACAGCAGCAGCAGCAGCAGCAGGGATCCGCAGCGGGAGGAGAGGGCGAGGAAGAAGTCATCGCCAGAGTGAGAGAGGAGGTCCGGAAAGCCACGAGACAGGAGGTCGAGGCGTTGAGTAGGGCGGTGAGGAGGTATGAGAAAAGGGCAGCGGTTTTGGCGGGGAGGGTGGAGGGGAGGTTGGGGGAGGTGGAGGGACGGTTGGGGGAGGTGGGGAGGAGGGTGAGGGAGGAGGGGGGGGAGGAGGGGAGGGAGCAGGGGAGGGAGCAGGGGAGGGAGGGGTGGTTGGGGGAGGGGGGGCGGTTGAGGTGGGGAGTGGGTGTGCCGGGACGGGTTGTGGTAGGGGTGGTGGGGTGGCCGTTGGGGGTGGTGAGGGGGATTGTGGGGTGGGTTTTTGGGGCGAGGGGGGGGTGAAGAAGGGAGGGGGAAGGTGATGTGATGTGATGTGGTGGTGGATATACCCAGTTATGTAGGAATCAAAGTTTGTTAATATATCCCTCTCTCTACCACACGCACTAACCCCAACCCGACCAGTCCTAGCCGTCTTGTCGATGGGATGGATCGTGGGGATAGTTATAGTATGGAGATGATGGTATTGTAAGAGGGGAGGCTAATCACAATCTCTCACTCACCACCACCAACCTCACATCAACGTCATATCAGCCTCATATCAGCCTCATATCAGCCTCATATCAGCCTCATATCAGCCTCACAAACAGCAGCATCACCACCACCATCACCACCACCACCATCCCATAACCACCATCCCATAACCACCAGCCGATCTCCATACCATAACCACCAGCCGATCTCGATCCCATAACTACCAGCCGATCTCGATCCCATAACTACCAGCCGATCTCGATCCCATATGAGATAAAAAAGTACATGTCTCTCTCTCTCCTGCCCCCGTCTCTCCCTCGCCGCCGACCCCCCCACTCAGCCCTCTCAACGATCCCTTCTCACATCCCGCGCTAGTCCTAAAACGGGTCCCAATAGAGATGCGGGTGAGAAGACGGGGGATTTATTTTTTAACGTCTTGTCTGTTTTTTTGTCTGTTTCTTTGTCTGACTGTCTGTCTCGACCAGTCGGGGCTTTACTTCCTCTTTCTATTGGGGTCGGTATTGGGGTTGATTGGGGGTCAATCACCGAATACACACCGTCATCTCCGTCCGCGGGCGGAGATGAGAACGGGGGTGGCTATCCAGATATCAGAGACGGCTTCACTCATACTCGCCGCACTTTTCTACTCGAACTCCTGCTCGCAATCACTCGCTCATCTTCTTCCAGTCTCGTCTCATATTACTATATCGGCGTTCCACCATCTCGCCATCTTGCTATCCCATCCATCCATCCCATCTCAGCTCATCTCACACAGCTCCAGATAGAGCCATCTCATCTCATCTCATCTCATCTCATCTCACACGGCAGCAGCATCTGGTATCATGTCATCTCTTCCAATGCATCCAATGCTACCCTTTTCGTGCATCTGCTCCCATATCCCACATCCTCTCATGCATAACACATACCACAACCCCAACGCACACCCTCAATCACACCGTCTCACCCCAATCCCCCAATCCCCCATCCCCCAATCACCAATCCCCCCCTCCTCCCATGTCCTCGACTCCCGTTCCCGTCCATCTGAACCTGCAGCTAGACACTGCCCTGCAACTATCAGCTACGCACCGCAACCACAACCGCAACCGCAGCCGGCCCCAGCAGCTTCCCGATCGATCGAGGGCCCATGATCGACATACACACACGCCTCTAAATTTACAACCGCCTCAGACAGACCAGACCCTCCCCCCACACAAACCCTCCACGCAGACGAGCCAAGACATACATGTTGCATGTTGCAATGCTCCCCATCATATCTCCCTTAGCTATCTATCACATTTCCTGCCCTCTTCCCTCTTCCCTCTGCAATGGCCGTCCATAGACGCCGGGCACGGCGCCATCGGGAGGGCTCCTTGATCCAACTTCGTTAGACAGTCCCGAACACGCCGGAGACACACATATCGTCGAGACCTCCCTCCATGCCCCGTCGCCGAGAAATGTAAAAAGGGCCCTGCTCGCCCCCCATCGACGAAAGAAGAAGAAGAAAAAGAAGCAATCCAACGATCCCACAATCCCCTCACCTCACCTCCAAAATGGCATCCCCAGCCAGCACAACCACCCCCCTCCCCCCTCCCTCTCGGGAACCAACAACAGCACACGCCTACATCCTCCCCATCCTCTCCCTCCTCGCAATCTTCATCCTCATCGTGCCCTTAATCTTCCACCTGCGCGCGCGCAACACCGGCGCCTGCGCCCTCATCGCCTACCTCTCCCTCTTCAACCTCATGGTCTTCATCAACGTCCTCATCTGGCCCGACAACAACTTCGCCACCTGGTGGGACGGCAAGGTCCTCTGCGATATCGAGGTCAAGATCCTCTGGCCCATCACTGTTGGCGTCGCTGCTTCGACGATGACTATCACGCGCTCCCTGGCTAAGGTGCTCGATGTCGAGAATATGGAGTTGAATCCGAGTAGGGCGCAGAGGAGGAGGAAGGTGTGGGTGGATCTGGCGATCTGCTTTGCGGTTCCGCTGCTGATTGTGGGGTTGCATCATGTTGTGCATAATCGCCGCTACCTCATCGTGGCGATTGGGGGGTGCACGGATAGCTATAGTGGGAGTTGGCCTACTATTGTTATTATCTTCATCTGGCCCCTCATCTTCACCCTCCTCAACGTTTTTTACGCCGGTTCGTCCCTCCTCCCCCCTTTATTACACCCCCCCCTTTTTACCTCCACTAACACCGCCCCCACAGCCGTAGTAATAACCCGCCTCCACCGCCACCGCTCCAACATAACCACAATCCTCACCTCCCACTCCCTCAACTCCTCCCGCTTCCTCCGCCTCTTCCTCCTCTCCCTCCTCCTCCTCTTCATCTACCTCCCTCTCAACATCTACTGGTTCTACACCAACCTGACCCAGCTCCCCTTCGAGCCCTACTCGTGGTCCGCCATCCACGACCCGACGAGGTGGGAGAGCATCCCGTATGTGCCGGCGATGGGGGTGTTTACGTTCGATCGATATGTTCCGGCTGCGATGGCGCTTTTCGTGTTTGCGTTCTTTGGGGTGGGGACGGAGGCGAGGAGGATTTATGCGGCGATGGCGATGGGGCTGGGGCTGGGGAAGTGTTTCCCGAGGTTGTTGCAGGAGAGGAGACCTAGTGTGGATGGGGGGAACGGGGGGTGGTTGGATAAACTCAGTCTTGTGGCGTTTGGGAAGAGGTATGTTGCCAAGTTCAGCAGCAGCAGCAGTCGAGGAGGGACTCAGGCTGCTACAGAGATGTATGTCCCCCCCCCCCCCCCAACTTTTATATTATTTTTTATCATTGTTGTTACGTATACACCACTGACACCCACGTGCAGGGTATCAACAACAACGCGAACCTCCTCCCGCAAACCCTCCGCTGTGGCGCTGGAAGATATATCCGCACCCTCATTCACCTTCAAAACAACATCCCACTCGCACTCCCACACCTCCTCCCCGCGCGCCTCCATCTCCCCCTCCACCCACGCCTCCCCCTTCCCTCCACATACAGCCTCTCTCCTCACCCGTCTCCACACCTTCCTCCACCTTTCCCCAACCACCAACACCACAACCACAACCACCTCCCGCACCAACGGCGGTGGCGTCTCAGCCACCTCCACGCGCAGGGGAGATATGGAGATGGATATAGGCACAGACACGGAAACCCACGACCTCGTACAGCGGCAGGGGAGTAGGACGCATGTATGGAGTCCGCGATCTCTTGGGCCGCAGGTTGAAGGGGGTGGGGGGGAACCGGGCGGGAGGTTCGAAAGGTTGGGGAGTGTAGGGAGTGAGGGGACTGATGGGTTGGGGGTGGGAGAGGGGGAGGTGAAGGTTGTGAAGGTTAGGATTAGGGTTGGGGTTGGGGTTGAGAGGGTGTAGGGAGTCTGTCTTGGGGTGAGGTGGACGGGGAGGGGGGGAAGGGAGAGTGGGGGTAGTATTTTGTTAAAGGGTGGGAAGGGGTGATACCAAGTCTGTCTTTTTGGGTTGCGATGATGACGATGATGATGGGGCGAAGAGGGTTTTATGATATGGGACAGGAGGAAAGGAGAGGAGAACGGGGCAAGGGGCAAGGGGGGAGGGGGTGGAAAGTAAATGATAATCTTATATTTATGTACTCACATAGGATAGCCTCATACCGATATATGGCAAAAATATATATGTATATGAATGCACACCGCCATCCTAATATTTATAGACCCTTCATTTTCTTCTGGTGAGTGGCGCCCGGTGAGTTGGGAGAGGCGCGTGGGAGGCGACGCCAACCCAAAGGCCGCAGCCGACCCGTAGGTAAAGGCGGTCATGGGGAAGAACGCGATCGCGCGGTTGGGGGGGTATATAGATACTTAACTTGAGGAGGGGTATGGGTGATATGGCAGATACAAAGAAGTTTACCTATGGTCTGGGTGCGGTGTGGAGAAGAGTGGGGTATGGATTGTTCTTGGCGTGGGGATGAGAGGGGAGGTGTGAGGACTGGCTGTGGGGGATGCGGATGGCGGTGGTGGGGGAGGCAGATCAGTGGGGAGAAGGTGGTGGTGACGAGAAGCAAAGCGTTGACAACGAGAAAGGAGGCTGATGGTGAGAAGTGAAAAAGACAGGCGCAGCAGCTCGGGTTGAACATACACGCTATGCGCATATCGGCACTTACCCGCACGCAGCTAGGACGAGGTGAGAAGGGTTGGGATAGCTTGGGAGAGTTTGGGCTGGTGGGCGAGGGTTTAGAAAATGTTGATTGATATTAGGGAAGGGAGGAAGGAAGGGAGGAGTGTTCTTGGGTTGAAATAGGGGGGGTGTAGTCGTGGGGTTGCTTTTGAAGGAGTTGATATTCGTTAGGTTGATATCGTGTTGCCTCAAACTCTCTCCACACCCTTACCTGGACGGACGCCGGAATGTATCGAACGGCTTTCTACGCAATTTGATGTCATCTGGAAGTGTGCCGAATATATATTATTTGGTGTCGAAGACGGGCGGAAGGACGGCGCGGACAGAAGAGCTCAAAGAAGAAATAATCCATATGTCCTGCTCTATAGAGGGGCGTGTGTATAGTATTCTTGATGGGCGTATTGAAGAGATGGCCGGAGGTCATCGAGGGAGGGAGGGGATGGTGGTGGGGAAGGAGGATCGCTGGGGAGAATGGGGTGGTGATGAGAAGGTGGTGATGAGAAGGTGGTGATGAGAAGCATCGGTGATGAGAGAGAGAGTGGTAGTGGGGATTGATAGACTTTTGAGAATTTCTGCTCCTCTCCTCGATGTAGGAACTGAGCCCCGGATACGTAGCTAGGGGCCTCTGTAAAGCTAACAGCTATGAATTGGTCGCTGTATTGATTATAAACCTGTTTAGCACATCGTGGACGAAATATATTCAGGGCGAGATACGCCGACTTCCCCAGCGAGTATCCTTCATTAACCATCTATATATCCAAATCCAATCGTGATGCCCGCCTCCCCACTTTTTCGGGGGTGTTTGGGAAACTGCTCTTTAGACCTCATTCCTGGCCCTCTACGATAACGGCCGAAGAATACCTTCACGGCCGAGCAGTGGCCGAGTTTGCGGATATTATTGATGGTAAACCCGAAAAGAATAGATAGCTCTAAATACTTGCTCATACCCTTGGTACCCGGCGACGATCTTCTAGCAATGACAGTTATTCTAGGCATTGTGCTGGGCAGATTCATGGAGTTAAAGCGCAGGGTGAGAATGGAAAATAGCGAAGGATCTGTGCGATTGAAAATACTGATAAGAGGATTAATATGCCTCTGATTGCGTAATTTAATATAGTGCCTGATATAATATGGTTATAAGCTTCACCTGCAGCTCCCCTTACAGCTTCTTCCTTTATGAGACTTTTATTTTATGCCGTCTACTTTCTCTCTTTCTCTTCTATTCAAGTAAATAATTGTAAGTTAAATTTGGGTTTTGTTCTTATAGAGTAAATGTATATTTCATATTACATCGTAGGAAGTAGTGTTTTTTTGTGGTACATGTAAAGGTAGAGTACAGCATCTCCTTCCGTTTCTCATAAGCTGCATCTTTTTGTAAGAAATCGTTAACCACTTAAAATCCATATATTCTAGCATGGACTAAGAGTTGTCAGGGGTCGTACCCCACTAAATGATCCTACGGAGTAGCAGCGGGGTTGTCGTGCTCCTTCACGAGCTCGAGTCACTTATAAATTCCGTTCCCTCCTTATAAAAGCATTTCCTATAAAGCCCGAAGACTCTGAAGGACAATATACTACCTAATATCCAGAGCATTAATTATCGACAACCTCCTCCATCTATTGACAACCATTTGAAGCAACCCCTCCTAACCTACGCCAACCACCCACACCGCCGCAATAATGTCCTCACCAATCTCCAATGAAACATTCACCACCCCCCCCGTTGACCGCACCGAAGTCGCAACTCTAATCACCAACTCCCTCGCCGCCCGCTCCCCCGCCCCCTTCCCCAAAGCCAGCACCCTCGCCGCCCTCACCCCAACCCTCCTCACCCACCTCCCACCCCACGGCACCCCCCCCAACACCCTAACCCACCTTCTCACCCTCCCCCCCGCCTTCTCCTCCCCCTCCCTCACCCCCGCCTTCTACGCCTTCGTCACCGGCTCCACCCTCCCCATCGCCGCCGCAGCCGACAACCTCGCCACCGCCATCGACTGCAGCGTCGCCGTCCACGACTCCCGCGCCTCCCTCGCCACCACACTCGAAGCGCACACCCTCATCATGCTAACCGAGCTGCTGCGCCTCTCCCCCTCCGTCTGGGGCGGCCGCGTCATCACCCCCGGCGCGACGGGGAGTAACATCCTCGCCATCGCGACGGCGCGGGACGCGCTGCTGGATCGTCGGCTCAAGGCGCGGGGACGCGCGGAGACGGTCGCGAGTGCGGGGGTTGTGGGAGCGTGCGTGCAGGCTGGGGTGAGGGGTATGCAGATCCTGGGCGCGGCGGCGCATAGTAGTGTGCATAAGGCTGCGGGGGTGTTGGGGTTGGGGCGGGGGAATGTGAGGGATGTGGGGGTGAAGGGGGAGCCGTGGAGGTTGGATTTGGAGAAGGTGAGGAGGGAGGCGGGGAGGGAGGGGTGGGTGAGTGTTGTGGTTGTGGGGATGGGGGAGGTGAATACGGGGAGGTATTTTGGGGGGGAGGAGGAGATGGCGAAGTTGAAGGGGTGTTTAGAGGAGTGTGCGCCGGGGGCTGCTTGGATTCATGTTGATGGTGGTATGTACGGTCTTTATCTGCAGTGCCTGCGTTCGCTGGGTGTTATGCTTTTTGTGGGAATTGGTAACCGATAACTAATGATCCACAGCTTTCGGGATATTCGCTCGCTCGCTCCCCGAAACAGAAGAGTTCGCCTCCCTTCGAGCACAGTCCGAAGGGCTGCAATATGCCGACTCCATAACCGCAGACTGCCACAAAGCCCTCAACGTGGTGAGTACCACCCATTCTATGCACATATCCAGCTAACCCACGAAGCCATACGCATCCGCCGTCCTCCTCACCCGCTCTGAAACCAATCTGAACAATGTCTGTAACAACGGCGCAGCCGCCTATCTCAAGACTTCCGCCACAGACCCCATCCCTTCCCCCCTCAACCACGGCTTGGAGAACTCGCGCCGCTTCAGCGCTCTGCCTATCTATGCCGTGCTCCACGCGCATGGGCGCGAGGGTCTGGCCCTGTTGTTTGCTACGCAGGTGCGTCTCGCGAGGGCGGTGGCAAGTATGATTCGGGAGCTAGAGGCGTATGAATTACTTCCCACGGCAGAGGTGGCGGAGGTGGGTACGATCGTGCTCTTCCGCCTGAGAGACCAGGAGCGGAATGAGGAGCTCCTGGGACGGATGAACGCTCAGAATCGGATCTATGTTAGTGGAACCAGTTGGGAAGGGAGACCGGCAGTGCGGGTTGCGGTTTCGGGGTGGGAGATTGATATTGAGAAGGATACGAGTGTTATTCGAGAGGTGCTGAAGGCAGCTGAGTAGTTAATGATGTGGGAAGGCCGTAGGCTTATAGGTTTATTACCCATGGTGAAAATGTTCGCGGGATTTAATGACAAAGAAAAAAATTCAACATATAAAAGATAGCGGAATATAATTGGTCTAGTGGTTTGCTAAAGGAACAGTCTGAGCCTTGTTATTACTGGACAGTTTTGTAATACGAGCGCAAAGAGCGTTTGTTGGATTTTGGACGGGGGATCTTCAGGCACCAACCGAACATCGGTCTACCCCCCCTCACTTAAAACGACTCTTGCTCAACGTCCAAGCCTAGTCCCATGTGATGGACCAAGAGCAGGACCTTACGATGGAACCAGAAAATCTCGACGACGAGTATGACCGCAAGCGTACCTCTGAATTCTACGAGCCCTTCGTTGTCGACCCGTAAAGGAACACAAACAAACCTTCATCGTCCTCCACGGCCGAGGCGGAACCCGCGAGAGCTTCGCGGCCAGCTTCCTAGACCACCCCATCTCCCCCACAAAAGACCTGGGATGTCGGCCTACTCAGCATCCGAACCTGTTTCCCCCATGCCAAATTCATTTTCCCCACCGCCTGTCCCGGTAGAGCAACAGCCTATGGACAATTAACCCACCAATGGTTCGACAAATGGTCGCCTCTCATATATCCCGAGGCCAAGGAAGAGCTTATGATAGAGGGACTCGCGGAGACGTCTTCTTTCGTCCACTCCCTTTTGCAGGCGGAAATCGATGTCGTAGGCGCTAAGAATGTGGTTTTGATGGGCTTGAGTCAGGGATGCGCGGCGTCTATCATATCGCTTTTGACGTGGCAGGGAGAACCGCTTGGAGCTGCTGTGGGGATGTGTGGGTGGCTACCATTTAGGAAGCAGATGCTGGATAGGGGCGACGATGAACGTCAAGAGAATGGGAATGGCGAAGTCGGTGATCGCGAAGATGGGAAAGCAGTTGATAACGACAAGACCCCACAAGCGGAAGCAGCCAAATTACAGCGGATTGCGGATTGGTTAAGAAACAAACTTGGAATCACCGGCGCCAACTCCGCTGCTGTGCCGTTCCAGCAATTCCCGATGTTCCTCGGCCATGGCGTTGATGATGCAACGGTGCGGTGTGAACTTGGGCGGCTCGCGGCGCAGTTTCTGGAGCATGTGGGCATAGATGCGCGCTGGAACGAGTATACGGGGCTTGATCACTCGTTTTCGGGGAATATGCTGCGCGATATTGTTTTATTCCTGGGTTTTCTGGAAGGATGGGAGATTCATGGTTAATGCAGCTGGGGGAGCTATCCTATGAGAAATATTTGAAATGAAGAACTGAAGGGGCTCCTTTTTAGTTTGATAGTGCGTTCGAGAAGTAATTTGCTTTTGGGATCGCTGGTAAAAATGAAATGATAATGCATTTGTGGCATTGCTTGTTAGAAACTGATGGTATTTTTGCTGAGTGCTTACGATTATTTCCTCGGAAAGGGCCCCTACCATCAGAAGAGAGGGCACGGATACTAGTGAGATAGAGACATGCCAGAATATCCAATGCTCGTGCATTAATTCGCCTGCAAAGCTTAATTAAGTAGACATACGATATGTATGCACAGCTGCATCTGCTATCACCTCAGATCGGCGAAGAAAATATGACAATAACCTTGTTTTCCACACCAACACCGCCATTTTTCATTGCCTATGGCGCAGTTGCACGCCATAGAGGCCGATTTGAAAATCACGCTCTGATTTCCTTGGTTTTAAAAAAATGGCCGACTTAGGCCGGCCAAGTTGCGTTATGGACGAGGCGCAGCCGCCCGGTCACCAACTCTCGAGCCGCAAACCCTTATGAAGCCTACCAACACAGACTTCCTATTTCTTCCATAGCATGCTTTTGACTCACTGTCGTTTTCCAAGGCATCCTCATTTTATATGTGTCCAACAACCGCTGCCTTGATATCCAACTTTCCAACCTCATCACGAGGCCCGCTCACCGAGAACCCCCAACGGCAACTACATCATTTACATCTTCAGCAAATCAGAAGACTCCTTTTTGTGGTTTGCACCCAGCCTGGCGATCGACTTTGCAATCATGTGAGAGTGGCAGTGATTCGTTTGGGTTGCGGCCATGGCGCATGTGGTGGCCGCACGAGCGGCCCGGCGCACTGCACGATGCGGAGATCATTGTGACGTGCAGGCTGCAGGGGCCATAGAGAAGGAGTATATAAGGAAAAGGGTCCCCCATACAGAAATGAGTTTCTTGATCCAAATCACTCAGCTACTTCGCTACTACAATACTACAAATCAAATCTACCAACCGCCTCAACCACCTCGAGCCTTCGGCTCTACAACCAGTGCCACAGCACCTTAAACCACCTTTCAAACACTCCACCAAACACCCAGAAATCATGTACGGCATCTGCGTCAGAGCCAGATGGAACTGCTCGCCATGCTGCTGCGGGGACGACTACTACACCATCCGCCTCACCACCGGCACAGGCGCATGGAGACGCAACGGCGTGCTACGATCATACGAGGAGGAGGAGTACTACCTCTGCCGCCGAGACCCATGGAGGTCCCCGTCTCTTCCGCCGAGAAGGCGCGTTAGATTCGCTCGCTTCTAATTCCCTGGTTTCGATCCGCTGTCTTGCGGGAGGTTTTTATTTTCAGCATGTTTTTTTCTGACGTTTTGCAAGGATGGGGGGCATTTGCAATTGAAGGATACACCTGTTTGAAGATTGTGCGCTGGGCAATGCATGGAGATATGGATTGGGCGGGATGCAATCGTCAACTTTGGGTGTGCTTTTTATATGGCGCGCTGAGATGGAATTAGAATAGACACAGGTCACAGGGCAGCACGGGGAATATAGTTATTGGTATCGTGGATATAGACTCTAATTGAAAACATCACACATAATTCATGCTCTATTTGCATACAATAGTAAAACAAAGTCCTGCTGCAAGGATTTTTGCTGCCAGGATTTGTCCTCGCCGCCGAGGGTAGATTTACACCGCAACTTTTCGAGCGAGGTCTCTCCACCTTGCTTCTGAATGACGTACGTTCTTGTGGTAGATTCTGAGAGCACTTCACAAACGCACAAGGCGGACTGGCGGGCTGCTTACTCCCTTCAGTTGGCTAGAAAAATCGTCATGGTGGGGGGCAGTGCAACAGGCGGCTGTGTTGTTTCGGCCAGGTTGATCACACAAAGTCATATGATAGAAGCGCACCTTTCTTGATTACACTAGTATCTGAGTTAGAGAAGTGTAATGCAACTAGTATCATTGATGAATATGTAGTAAACAAGAAATGTCGGGGCATTGTGGAAACCATGCGATGGGGCGGCGGTTGTGCCCAGGCCGTTTATTAACAATATGCCGCCTTTTCACTTGGCAGTATGCTTAGCAGGAAATGGGAAGCATCCCGGCTACCTGAGCCATTTCATACTCCTTTCGGCTCCACATCCTTGAATACGCTGCTCGTGTAGTACTCGAATACTGGCATATCGATGGAAGCGCGATCCCTTTGCTCCTAAAACTAAGGCAGATGAGGTGTCCGCGATTAACTAACTTGGCTAAGGGTCCATTAAGAGGGGTCCACAGCATCCGATCGACTGCTAGCCAGCCCGCCTTCAGCCAATGCGCACAGATGGGGCACGGGTAGACGCAGATCAGGGTCATAGCTCAGTCGCAGGTGAGCCATGCACGACATGGGCTGACTGATGTGATTGTGCTACCGTGCTCTGCACAGCACAGCAAATCAGAATTCTTACTGGTACGTGTTGCAATATTTGTGTCAGATCAGTAGATGACTACGTATCTGAGTCACCGAAAAGCATGAAGACTCTTATCACATTCGGTGGTGATCCGCATGGATCGCACAGTATTGTCCCCCAAAGCCGGGGGCTTGATTTCCGCACCTGCGCTTCCTTGCTTCCCGCTGTGAGCACCCAAGGAGCTGCAACCTACAAGAGGTAGAAAACCGTCTGTTTCCTGCAATATGCATGTCGTCAGCAAGGCATCGGAGAGCATTGACGCAGTAGACCATGTGGTTCTAATCCTACAGAAGCTCCCCCTTCGTCAGAGGCGTTGGCAAGGACGCATGGTAGACATGCTTTGGACACATGCACTGTGAACACCCGAGCACAAGAATCATGGATGTGTTGGCTTGTCTTGGTGCTGGAAGTAGACATTGTAACCAATGCGAGAGAGCTTATCCAGTGGTACGAGAGAAGTGATGCGTACAATAGAAAGCCTCTGCGTAGCCTACCTCCCCCCCCACCTTTCCCCCCCTTTTCTCCAAGCTCACAGCGCCGCTGTTAGAGACACCTCGGCACGATAACCCTCAGTGTAAAAGCGGCCCATCCAATACTAATAATAACGCGCTCCCTTCCACTTCCTCGTAACCAACTTCTTCAAACTTCAAACCTCAATGTGTCCAAGCCAAACCGCCTAATACGGCCTGAACGACCGACTCTGCAGCCATTCTCACGGTCTTCCCGGTCGGCGGTGCTGCTACCGAAGATGACGCTTCCAACTTTAAATCAAATCCAAAATTGGATTCAATGGTACAGGAAGCCTTCCTATCAAGATATCCGGGAATTTTCCGCAGCTGTTCGAGATGGAAAGCGTGAGAGCACTCTTAGACGTGGCAGCATAGAAGTGCCTAGTCGCCTAGGCCTCGACCAACTCCTACAAAACTGGACTTGTGAGTTATTCTTCTGCCTCCCATCGTTTGCATCTAACCAACTGCTTCAATCCTGTAGGCAGTCCAATGTCGCTCAGTGATTTTTACAGGTACCTCAAGCATGTCGAGCATTCTCCCGAAAACCTCGAGTTTTACATGTGGTAGGTTACACCACCAGGTTGCCAAGCTTATGTGACACGTTGAATCTGACAGGAGAACAGGTTCATTCAGTACCAGGCCACCTATGTTGCATGTCCTGATGAAGCACTCCCAACCATCCCGTCGTCAGTCTTGTCGGATAGGGGATCGCAGGTTTCGAAGAACACCACTTCATCTCACCATACACTGACTGAGAATGAATGCAAATTTACAGAGTCTCACAGTAATGTCTTTGACTTAGACATAGAATGTGACGTTGCACTTGGATCTGGTAGGCCCCTGGTACCCCCTTGCATACCCTCCGAACCTTTACTGACACTGTATAGGGTCAGATGATATCACGGCTAAGATTGCCGCCTTCATTGATCAGACTAGTAAATGTTCTTCGAAGTCGGAAAAGTCTCGCTCACTCATGAAGACTTTCATGGGGTCCTGTAGCTTCGGTGTATGCAGGAATTCCAAATCCCCACGTTCCGCATTGACGCGTGCCGATCTGCCAAAAGTCGTCGACCTATTTCTCATGCCTGGCTCCGAGAAAGAGTTGAACATCCCCCCCGGGATGAGAAACGCTGTTTTGCTTGCCCTCGAGCACGATGACGGGCCGGCTCGTTTTAGGCCAATCGCCGAGCACTGCTATCAACTACTAAAGAACTGTTCCCACAGGAACTTCGTGCGTATTGGCGTTAGCAATGGGACCTTTGAGACAGTGTGCGCTGCCACTACTTTTGGGGCATTACTCACCTTGGCCGGCTATATTCTGGTCTTAATGCGCGCATACTATCCACACCAAAATGCACACGCACGGTGGGAGGTGCTCTTCTCGTGGCCGATGTGGTGGTTCGGCATGGGTCTGTTGCTCTCTGGCCTTCGCGGCTCATGCTTCTTTATGCTGCTTCTTAGTCGTCGGAATCACCTCCCGTGGGAGAAGCAGGTTACCAAACAACAGCAACAAGCCAGTAGCAGCGCAGATTCGAATATGTCAAGTCTCATCAATATGTATAAGAGGTTGTCTCCTTTCGAGAACAAAGTGCGTATTAAAGACCTCGCACTTCGTGACCTTCAACACCGGATTGTGTTTCAGAGCGTGGTTGTTGGCACTATGTTTGCGACGGCGATGACCTTAGTCTTCATCTTTCTTCCTGTGTGGAAATAGCCACATCAAGACTTTTTGAGTCTTTGAGGGGGGTCTTTCGTGGGGCAGCACAAAAGTCAGGACAGGAGTCTACCGGCTGTTGCCCCTAACTGAAGGTATACTATAGTAAAAAAGCGAGTCAAGGGATCCAGGTGGTCCCGAACATATCATTATATTAAAGTTTAGCTGTAACTACAACAGACAATATGACCAACTGTCTATTTCCAGGCAGTTAGTTGTATTCGTTGCTATTATTGGCTGCTCAAATGAAATAAATAAAGTAGTAGCTTGCATAAGCTCCACTGAAGGTAGGCAATGAAAGGATTGTTATTGAGGTTAAGGTCTTGTTCAGGGGGGTAAATAACGAGGCGTTCATTGTGCAGAGATTAGAAAAGCACTCACCGTATATGAGTACAGCTTGAAAATCAAAGCTGTCGTGATAGAGGTGGACAATGAGAGTATTTTTTTTGAAGATCAGTTTTATTTTCAGAGGGAAGGAGGTAGAGTGGCACTTGAGGTTTAACTATAAGTTGTGAAAAATTAGTTCATTTAGCCCACACCGAGCGCTTTACAGTAAGAAATGCTGATATTGCTTCAACGACCCGAGAAATATCGAAGGAAGATGGGGAGGCACAAGAAGCCAAACTGTTAGGTATCTAGAGGCATGCTATTGAGAAGGTCTGAATGGCTACGGGGCAATATCTGAAGACAGATCCATCATTTGTTGAAAGAACTGAGTAACCAACTCCATCACGCCTCCGGATTCTTGCCCCACTGGAAATAAAGGTCGGCCCTCAAAACGTATTGTAGTTTGTACATGTCTTGGTACACTGAAATATAGGGACTGACACACTCGTCTTAAACATGAACCATACAGCAACAAAACGCTATTTTGCCCACCCATACCCAACTCAAACGCCGTCCGCATTTTCATCCTCCAGTCCATGAATCAACTCGGAATCTACCACCCCAAAACGCCGTCATCCGCTTCCATATATGCAAGTTACAGTCGGCCCTAATAAGCACACGTGGTGGGGACCCTATATACCACCACCCGCCCTTTCCATTACCGTGATCACTCCTTCCCGGTCGATTCAATACTGGTTGCCCTCGCCCCGCCTGCATCACCTGCTGTCCATCTGCTTGCAGAATTGTGCATATGCACATATCCGTGCCCTATAGTATCCCATGGGGCAGCTTCAATCACATGAAAGCTGGCTGCCGATCCCATATAGGAAGGCCTCCCAGAGGTCCATGGCCTCGCTGAAGAGAGCCGTGAAGATGCCTAGCATGGTTGGTTGTTGTGTGATATGGCCGCAGGTGCTGGATATTTGGCTTTGATCTGTGAACTTTGCTCTTGAGTATATTGATTTGAGTGCTTGGTGTTGGATTGATTTGGCTTATTATTTGAAGTCTGTCGCATATGTGATAAATCATGTAAACGACACTAGGCCTCGCCGGGGCGGCAACATATATATACTCTTCACTGCCTTCTCCCTCAGAACTTGATATGCGTCAGAACGGCGATTACTTCGTCTTTCTCCTAAGGCTGAGCAAGGGGTCATGGGTCAGTAGCCCTGGAATTGTTGCCTGGCTGCATGTAGATAAGTGTGGTCACGTGTAGACTTGGATTGGCGGGAGTGTGTCAGCTATATACGCGGGCGACATTGAGAAGAAAGACCGGAGTTGAGCGACAAACAAGGATGGAAATCGGGGATGAGTGATGCTGATGTTTCCTCGGCCAATGTGCCGTGTTAGAATTCTTTTTCCTTGGCTCCCACTCTATGTGCTGTACACTCTCGCTCAAAATCGCAGTCAAGACCACTATCCATCCAACAATGTCCTTCAACGCCGAACTCCCTCGACGAACAACGTAACAACAACCCCCTATGGATTCAACGTTCCCACGACCCTCCCCTCAATCTCCTTCAGCAGCCCAACTAATTCCGCCTCGTTCCCCTCAACCTCCAACCCCCTTCCAACCCACTCCTTAGCCTCCTCCCACCTGCTCATCTCCGCCAGACATCTCCCTCCCCTCCACCACGCCTTTGCATTCCCCACCTTCTTCGCCTCCACACTGGCCTCCGCATCTTTCCATCCCTCCGGCCAGCTGCGCAGCGCCATATGCGCCTGCGCCCTATTCGCCAACAGCCCCGCGACCTCATCGCGCACGAGTCCCGAGGGCTCCCACCGCGGCCGCTTCAGCGCCATATCTAGCCCGAGGGTATACAGCTGTATCGCGGATGGGTAGTTCGCAGAGCGGTATGCAGCATTGGCGCTCTCGCGGAGCTTGGTGATCTGCGCGCTGCGCTTGGGGTTGACGGGGACGGGGGGGAGCGGGGCGGGCGTCTCGAGGGAGAGGAAGGCGGTGTGCAGGGCGTTGAGGGATTCGAGTTCGTCGCGAAGGCGCTTGGAGTTTGAGGTCGTGGAGAGGGCTTTGCTTTTGGGGTCCAAGTGGATGGGGAGGAGCGTGAAGGACTCGGTGTCTTCCATTGTGCTGAGTGGTATTGTTTGGGTAGGGAAATTTCGCCGCTAGTTTGTATAGTTGAGAATCGGTAAGATAAACGTAGACGGTTTATTTTGGTGTAACTTTGTGGGCGTATTGTGAATTCTCAAGCTGTGTAGTTGGTGGTCTCATCACTTCAAGGACAGATAATAGTTATAACTCCAGGCCTTGTTTGCACTCAAAGCAAACATTTCGATATCACGTGATAACTGGATTGATCATTCAGCCCCCCTGTCGATCTACCCATGGCGACTTCAGTTATTTACGAGGCCAACAGGGAATATTTGTTTTAAGAAAGCTGTTTAATACGTGGCCAATATGTAACCCATTGTTTGCATTATTCGTACTATATAGTTGGCTAAACACGTCCGTTCCGAACTTCGCAGGCTCAAGCAAATCCTACCCCTTTCATAAATCATCTTACATCAAAAACTCCTCTAATGGAAACTAAAGACTAAAATGCTGAATAAATACTATTCGCCCGCTATGTCGCATAATTGAAAAGTAACAGAGGCCGCATCGTGCCTCAGCGCGGCCAGACCAAATTTTGAGGGCTTTAATCTTGCTCGCGAGCCAACCGTTCGAGGTCTTCAGCCTCCTGTTCTACTTCGGGTGTGGTGGGTGCTGTTCCTCCCAGACTGCGCAAGAATCCACCCAATCTCTGCCCTAAGCTCTGCGCTCTCCTTCTCCCGCTTCCACCGCTCTCTTCGAAAGGTATTTCCAGGCTTCTCCTGCCATTACCAAAGTCCCCATCCTCAGCATATGAGTGGCGATCGACCACCCGTGAAGCCTTAGTCGAGCTATTCTGTTCACTGGTCAACAACCCCTCCATGCTATCTCGCCTTTCTCTACTCCGCGTCTGCTGGAGGTCAAGACGTGGCCGGCGCCTACTACCGTACATATCGGTACTGCGGCGAACCGTATCTGCCACGACCGAAGACGAGAGGGGAGAGATGAACGGTCCTGAAATCATAGGCTTGCCGGTCGAGTGACGTGCAGGGGTCATGGGGCGCAGGACCGCAGTATCAGATCGTGGCTGTCCAAATTCATTTTGCGATATGAGCCGAGTAATTGGGGGGCGCACAGGCCTGTCGGGAGGGGCTTCAGAGGTAGACGGAAGAGCGGCGAGGGAAGCACTGTCCAGTGGATGTGCGGCCGGTGCTGAGCCGGGCACTAGGGTCTGAGAAGTAGTATAATAACTAGAGCTCATTGGACGAGAGCGGTGTGCGTAAGAGATGCGAGAGGAACGCCGCGAAATGTCGTCCGCTGGGAAACCATCATCAGACTCAACAGCCTCGCCGTTAATGAGAAGTTCATGAGATGGGCGCGCCCGACTCATGGATGCCCTTTGGGTGCTCTCGTTATAATAGCTCGCCCGTCGATCATCATGGTTGGCAAGGGAAATGCTCTCTGCCTCATCCTCGGAGTTGATATCGGAACTCAAGTCGTCGTGGATGACTCTGCCAGAAGTGATGAGAAAAACTCCAAAGAAGGTTAGAAGGCAGCCGCCAACAAATTTTACAGCCCGTCCAGGGCTGGTGGATTCGAAATCTCGGTACAGAACCGCTGAGCCGATGATCACCGAAATTGTAAACAACACGAATTGGACTGGAATGACTTGAGTAGAATCGAAGCGTTGGAGAGCGCGGTTAATATATTTGATTTGCATCACCGCAGTACCAATCAATACAACGGCTAGGGCGTATGTAATTGGGTTGGTGAACGCATCCCAGAATGAGGTCGAGAGCATTGAGGAAACACCCTTTGTCGATAATACCGTGTATGCGCCAAACAAGGCGACGAGCCCGAGATCAATCAGGATAGTTTTGTTTCCATATTTTGGTGATGCCCACGCAAGCATGAACATGACTCCGATAGTCACAGCCATGTAAATCTCAAACTCCATCGTCGTGATGGCACCGATAACCTCGTGAGGACCAAGTTTCTTCTCTTCTTGTTCAGCGCTTAGAACAACCGTAACTGCCCCAAGCACAGAAACCACGATTCCCCAGAAGTCCCGGAGCCTGAATTCTTCCTTGAGCAATATAGGTGCAATAACACAGTTCGAGATGAGCGCAACCACCCCGAGCGGCGACACGATAGAAGCCGGTGCAAATCCATAGGCCAAGAAATTTCCGGTTTCTCCAATTGTCATAAGTACAATCCCAACCCACCAGTATGGCGACTTCAAATATGATTGCTGCTCGACATTGTCGTTGCTATCGCCGCCGGACTCGGACCCTGACTTCGGGGAGTCGAATGAGCCTCTCAGTCGTTCCGTCTCTTCATGTCCGTTGCGACCTGCCCAGGAACCATCTGCTGTTCCATAACGATCGCTAACCTGTCTGTGCTGACGCTTCTTCTCTTCCGCTTCCTTGTGTATTCGTATGTGCGCGTATCTTTGGATATTGAGGGCGAAGCTGATAAGTATATTCCCCACGATCGAACTAATAATCCCGATCAGAGACGACCAGCGCTGTATCGGAGTATCGCCCTCGCCATCCGAGAAGAAACTCCTAGATGCGATGTGATGTAGGACAGCATCTCGATTCAAGAACGGAGTAACAGTGGCGGTGATGGCTGCGACATCTGGATTAGAAATGAACATCGCGGGCTTGTCCCGAAGGATCCGCCTCTAAGACGTATTGGCCAGAGGTTTGTAGGTCAAGCGCATGGGTGTTCTAAATCATCAGAACGATTGAAATAATCGATTATAAGTCATTGCGATGAGTACATGAATCTGACGTTGAATCTGTAACACCAGTTGCAAGAGGAAGCTGCCTAAGTTGGGAAGGGTAACACGAAAGACTAGCACCGCCCATCCTTCCGTCCCTCCCTCGTCATCGCTGTGCTAATCGCCGCGTGGAATTATATTGCCCCATCAACCCGCGTCGCGACAAAATACCGCCACGCTTTGCACCAAATCGACAAAATGAGTGACAGCGATGAATATGAGGTTGAGGGCCCAAAATTGGTGGCTGACGACCCCATGCGGGCCTTTCTTCCAACCTCATTTGGAAAGAAAACCAAGGAAGCAGACGTTGCGGCGCAAATCGACAGGACAAAAAGAAACGTCGAACCAACGAGACCGGCGGGTCAAATCGAAGACAGCAAGTACAAGAAGCATGAGGCAACTGTGAAACAGGATAACTCAGACGATGATTCCGACTCAGAAGACGATGAGGATGACGACGACGAGTTCCCAGTCTCCCACGAGCTGGTGCTCAAAACTCACGACCGCGCCGTTACTACCATATCCCTCGATCCCTCTGGCTCTCGTTTCGTCAGCGGGTCTACCGACTGCACAGTAAAACTTCACGATTTTGCAGCAATGACTCCTACAACTCTCCGGGCATTCAAAAGCGTGGATCCCAGCGCTGGGAAGCCGTCAGATAACACCGAATCCCATCCTATCAACCACATCGAATTCAGTCCCCACTCTGGCAGCCAATTCCTTTGCATATCGGAGCATCCCCAGGCTAAGCTCTTGAGTAGAGATGGCGAGATATTGGCAGAGTTTGTGAAAGGCGATATGTATATTAGAGATATGAACAACACGAAAGGCCATGTCTCGTCGATCACTACTGGGACTTGGAGCCCTACCGACCCCAATATTATTGCCACGGCGGGGACGGATAGTACGATTCGCATATGGGATATAAATCATAAGAGGGCACATAAAGAGGTTTTAGTTCACAAAGATCGAACAGCTGGGTCTGGAGGAAGGACCAAAATGACGGGTGTCGTGTGGGGAAGCCCCAAGCAAGGCGGAAACAATATCCTGGTGGCAACAGCTCTGGATGGGAGTCTGGTGATGTGGAGTGGCAATGGACCTCATGCGCGACCAGCTGGAGAGATCCGTGGCGCCCATAAGCCTAATACGAGAACGGGCGGCGTCGATATTAGCCCGGACGGGCGTATGATTGTCACGCGAGGCGGTGATGACTTGATCAAGTTGTGGGACACTAGGAAATTCAAGACTCCAGTGTTAGAAGTTGCTCACCCGTCAACTTCGGATGTATACTCTCTATCAACCATCAAATACTCACCCACTGGAGCCAACATCATCACCGGCTCCAGCTCCGGCCACCTCTATATCCTAAACTCCGGAAATCTCAAACCCGAACTCGTCACACCCGTCACTCCCGGCTCCTGTCTCATCTCCGCTCTATGGCACGAGAAGCTGAACCAGATCGTTACCTCCTCAGCCAATGCCGAAGTACACGTCCTCTACAACCCCAATACGTCCTTCCGCGGTGCGAAGGATGTCATGTCACGAGCCCCCAAAAAGCGTCATGTCGATGATGACCCCAACTTTACCACAGATCAATCCGCTGGCATTTCAGGCGATACCATCATTAGCCCCAGCGGAATCCTTCAGAGCGGTCCAGCAGCGTCCTCGTTCGCTGCGCGCCATCCCACCATTGGTTTGACAGCGAGCGGGAAGAGCAGGGACCCTCGACGACCGATGAAGCCTGCTGTCACGCCGTTCATGAAGAGTCAGCCAGACGAAGCTCATATCAACTCGACTATCCCACTGAGCAGTATGAGGGATGAGGACCCGAGAGAGGCATTACTGAAATATGCGGAACTAGCTGAGAAGGACCCCTTATTTACGAACGCATGGAAGCAAACGCAGCCAAAAACTATGTATGCCGAATTGAGTGATGATGAGGCGGAGGAGCCGGATAAGAAAAAGGCGAGGAGATAGTGTAGAGTCAGAGCGCAAGTGGATGAATGGGAAGGTGTAAAATAGGGCTACCGCGGTTGGTTGATATTTTGGGAGTTTAGCATATATTTGGCTCATAGATACCACCAGTTTGGCACACTGAAGATAGAATGAACGAACAATGGGCTTGTCATTTAAAACAGAACATTATATCTTGCTGCTCCGTGGTCGATTTGCTCATCGCCTTGGGTGCTGGGCTGCTGGTATGTTAAGCTGCAAGTAGCATAAGTTACGTATCTCTTTTTACAAGGTTACTATATGCGGAGATTCAAACCCACCTCTCAAAAACAAGTATCAGAATCTCCAACCATCCCCATGTGGCAACACATAGCCTTGATGCCGTCTTCCGTGGTTCATCATTCCTCCACCACAGATGCAAAGGGAGCACAATTGAGAACAAATTAGATAGACCAAAGAATATCTGCGCTCCTTTTAGTGGGCGTCCTCAAAATGGCCTGTTAGCTTACCCATGTACACGTCACAAGCCCCCCTTGAACCCGAGTCTAGAAAAACGCCAGCGACAGTGACCATTACGAAGCAAAATAGAGCAGTTACGCCCATAGCCGTGGGCTTCCACATACATGGCCCTACCATATGCAAATAATCAAGACAAACAATATAAGCAGCGCTTGACCCTTTTTGGGCTGAGGAGCTTTGTACAGAGTTTCTCAGCCCAAAAAGGGTCAAGCGCACTGCTCGGAAGGCAGACCCTGGTTTCCGTGTCTGTCATCTTGGCCAAGTGGACTCAGCACATTTCACCAACGCACACCGCAGAATATGGGCATCGAAACATTTCGGGAGTTTGCATTCCGTCTCTGGCAGATATACGGTAGTGCTGAAAATATCTCTCAAGTAGCCGAAGCTCTTCGTAAGGAAGATGTGATTGCATACGCGCCGCTTGGAATGAGGTGCCCAAGGAATTGAGAACGGTCTTTTTGAACTTAACACCCACCACTATGACAATAACCAGGCACTCTTTACAATCAGTATCTAACCCCGAACACACTACCATATACCCCCATACCGTCCGCTCCGTATCCTCTCTCCGATGCTTTTCTCCTCCCAGGCCTTTTCACTGATAGCCGCCTCCCCAGGGTCCGGATCTTTCAAAGATAAAGCCAGGCAATATTCAGCCCCCTGTATCACATCAAATACAACTTGTCGCCTCTGTCCGATTCCGATCTCATCAGCTTAAAAGCTGCGAGTATTGATATATTGAATACATGTGCATTCATTTTCTTGTGTTTGTTGTATATGCGAAGGTGTTTATCTGAAAGCAGCCAGCGAAGGCAGTCTCCTGAATTTTGCCACTATTAACCAAGTTAGCAATTGTTTGCTAGCTTTCTTTAATTTTCTTACCGAGGCAGCTTCCTTCGTGCATCTACAGACGACTTCAACGCCAGGGCATTTGGCATCAAAGAGTATGGCTTCGGGACATTCAAATGTACGGCATTTGTAGCCACATACTACACATATCCCGAGTTTGCACATATTCAATAGACTGTGGTAGAATGGTAGGGGCGGCCTTGGAACATCCCTCGAACTATACGAGGGAGGTGTTCGTAAGGTTATATAAGCTCTATGCTCTATGCTCTATGCGTACCAACAAATAATCACAACATTCTCCCCTGTCCATTGCGCATATTTTATATACCTGTTTAAGACAGGAAGAGTGATAAATGCGATAGTCAGCATGGTTCCGCCAACCACCTATAATTGCACTACTAGGCGCTAACCGGATTTACCTGGTGCAGATCCTTTGCACCAAAATACGTACCCCTGTGTTGATACGTCGTGTTTTGTTGTCCTGAGAGCATCGTCTCTCAACAATAAGCCATCAGTCCGTCCATGGGAGAAGATTTCAGGCCTTGAAAGGCTCAGCAGTCGATCCAGAGGATGGGTTCTTTACTCGCTTCGTGCGAATAGCAGTTTGCAATCGGGGGAAGGCAGTTTTCGGCGAGCTGTCTGAGATGTTGCAATGCCAACGTCCACCCATGTTCTGGCTCCTGGGAACCCTGGTTGCGTTGCCTACCTCTGGCATGCTTGACCAACCAAAAAGGGAGCCGCTTTTACATAGACAAAAACGAGAAAAATGGCGCATAGCAAAAGCGGCGGGAGGAGTACGAGAGATGATGGCGGGCCGAGCAGCCGGGGCCCAACCCATCATATGTGGCAATACGCTATTGACTAACAACAATGCGGCATCAGTGGTTTAGTGGTAAAATCCATCGTTGCCATCGATGGGCCCCGTGTTCGATTCACGGCTGATGCATTACTGTACAACCTCATTACTAGTGGTTGAGATTTTTTTTTGCCTGTCTCCGCAATGCGGATGCGCTAAATAAACGAACATCAGTGGTTTAGTGGTATTAATCCATCGATGCCGCTCGACTTTGGGCCCCCTAATGCCGGTTTACCATTTCCTGATTTCTCCTTTCTGAAGTCTGGGAAAAGCAGCGACACTTTAGCGCTCGGTTGCCTAGAATTGATTTGGATCTAGACATGGGGACACGTGATTCAAGCCTAATAATTGGTTCGGAGCGTCCAGCTCCTTGCCCATATGCGAAAACAGTTGACCGGTTACCTAAATACTGTCGTGCCATATAAGTTCTCTAAACAATTTCATAGAGTTTTACCGCGATTATACAACAATCTACATTGCCCTTCCAAATCCTGAACAGGTAGCTAAGATTCTACACTCCTGACAAAATTCGTTGGACTGTCTCAAAAGGGAGAACTATGTGTGACAACAACATGCCACATACCTCGGTATCAGATACTGAAGGCAACAATCAGACTCGTCCCAAGAGGCTTAGAGGTAAAAATATCATTATTTTCATACAGAGCCAGGCTAATAGTGTATAGAGAGCCCTATCCGGGATGACAGATTACTACCAAAGAAGCAATGCCTGTCGCCACATATGAGTGGCCCTGATAAATTGTCCCTATTAATCGTTGGTTCTCAAACCACCGCCTGGAGGCGGTTGGCGAAAGCGAACTGGGACGCGAAAGCGATTGTGGGACACTTCGGGAGCGGACTCACGACGCGACACGACCGACCATGAACATGACCGACAACGAGCACAACTACAACCACAACTATGCCGGTAGTTGAAGTAAATAAAAATGAAGCTCTTTTAAATGCCATTGAATTTTTAAATGAAAACCCAACAGAGAAGAGTGCTACAGTAGCACGGATGTACAGAGTAAACCCAAGTACGCTCCGGACTATACGACTACGACAACGACGCGCATCACCACAACGCACCGCTGTGCCACGCGGAGGCCAGAACAGAGTACTGTCTGATGTACAAGTTACAGCTATACAAAGATACATCCAACGCTCGTACAAAAATGGGTACGGTGCAACTAAGCCTATGGTGTTCAGTGCCATCTGCCAACTACGTGCAGCAGAAACTCCAACACGTGCACCACCATCACAACGGTGGTTCCAGACATGGATTAAGACACAACAACACAACTTCCATACAATAAAAACCCGGCCAATTGAAGCAGCACGGGTTGCATCTCATGAAGTATCAGCTATTAAAGAATGGTTTTATGAATTTAAAGATGTGTGTAATCAACTAGATATTACTGCAGGTGATATCTACAACTTTGATGAAGTTGGATTCCGTGTAGGAATGAGCACCGGTGAACATGTGTTGGTACCATCTGCAGTAAAGGAGGTAAGTTGTTTCTACTTATCTTACTTTATATTATTCTAATATTTATAGCTTTATATACAAGCTCCAGAGAACAGACAAAGTCTTACAGTTATAGAGACAATTTCAGCTGCTGGCATTGCACTTCCACCGTTCCTTATTATACAAGGAAAATTACACATGGAAAGTTGGTACCATGACAATCTACACGGTGATGAGAAAGTTGCAGTATCCGATTCCGGATATACAAACTCTGAGCTTGCAATGGAATATCTACAGCATTTTATTCAACATACACCGTCTATAAGAACGAAATTGTTAATAATGGACTCTCATGTCTCACATGAAGTTCCAGAGTTTATAATACTTGCACATCAACACAATATACACTTACATGTGTTTCCGTCTCATCTTACGCATATTCTACAACCGCTAGATGTTACTGTGTTTGCACAATATAAACATTGGCACCGACGTGCAATTCAACAAGCAATCCGGAATTTTGATACAGATTATAATGTTATATCTTTCTTTAGAGACTTGTCTACTATCCGTAAGCAGACATTTACAAAGGGTAACTGTATCAAGTCTTTTAGAGATGCAGGTATTTGGCCACCTAACTATGAAAAGATTCAAGAGAAGGTTGCTATATATGCAAAACCAGAAGTTTTAGAAACACCACAACGCGCATTTCAAGCAAGTTATGATCTTTCAACATGGAGTCAAACATTTGATAAGATCCTTAGTTCACCGTCACGGCAAAAGTGGGCATCTTCTTATACTGAAATCCAAACTCAGTTAACAGAGGCTGAGCTGTTCCAGTCAGAGCTTGTACAAATTACTACTATTATGACTGAGCAACGACAGCGGAAGGTTAGAAGTCGGAAATCTATTCAAAAAGGCGGTGCTATTACAGTTGAACATGCACGGCAAAGGATTTATGAGAAGAAGGTAAAGGAGCAACTTTTAGAAGAAGCACGGGAGAAAAGAGAGAGAACACGCATGGTGAACGTTGAGCGTAAGATGCAGCTCCGTGCTGGCATCGATGCACGGAAGGCAGAACGTACACGGAAAAAGGACCTACATGAATTTCAAAAAAGTAACCCAGACACGGAGCCACCAATTGGCTTACGTACAGAAATCATTGACCCGGACGTTACACAGAAGAAACGTGAGGAGGAGGAGGAGGCGGACCGACTGTTAGCCATCGAGGAGAGTGGGTACGTGAACTTTGCAGGCTTGGACTACGACATGATTCACGATGCAAGTGACGGTGGCTGTGATGATCAATCACTGCCTGACAATATTGATCCAAATCTTTTTTAATTATTTAATTCTATAACTTATATATATTTACAGCATTGTTACGTTGTCAGTCGTGTTCATGGTCGGTCGTGTCGCGTCGCGAGTCCGCTCCCGAAGTGTCCCACAATCGCTTTCGCGTCCCAGTTCGCTTTCGCCAACCGCCTCCAGGCGGTGGTTTGAGAACCAACGATTACCTGCTGAATTAAAGTCACAATTTTTTTTATTTATTTTTTTTTATTTTTATTTTTTTTTTATTTTTTTTCGAAATTTTGGACCGAGAAACGCTTGTGAATCTTTCCCGAGTGTCCAAGCCTTTTAGGGCTGTCTTCGGCAGGAGCAGGTTGAAGTTTCTCTGCTCTACCTACGCTGAGGAACTTAGAAGGGGAGAGCCAACGCCTTCTGATGCAAGTGACGCTATCACTAAATATATAAAAGATCATCCAAAAGTGCTCTAATATTTTTGGAAGCTGCTTAGAAAGGCATCTTCTATGCAGGGCGGATGAAAGATACTAAGTTGTTCATAGACAACCTTCACCGCAAATTGGATACTCAAGACTATGATACATTGCTTTTGTCACTATACACTATATACGACCATGTTGTTCTGGAAACTTTATGGGCGGCCTGGGCAGGTGCGATTACAGCAATCGAATACTTAGGATTTCATTCTGATGAAGCTGATGTCCTTTGCAAAAGGATGGAACCATGGATAACAGCTCAACTCGTTTCAGGACAGCAAGAAATAATGGGCCAGCCTGTGATACAACTCCAGAACGAGGGCAACGTCAACTGCGTATTAAAGGAGTTGCGACTCCACTATCAAATACTGCAGTGTCTTGGGGAGAAGGAGCACAACGACAACCTGGCTAAAGTGCTTCTGTTCATGGTCGAACTTGACGTCTACAATTGTCGATGGTCCAACGGCTACCAACGAGTACGAGAGTTCATGGAGATCGAGGGCGGAGGCCGCCACAGCCGCCATGACGATTTTCATGGCGGGGTACGGTACATATGCCATCCCTCGACATGTCGCCATACCGCAGATGCTTACGATTTATTACGTGTACTTAAAGAGATCTGCCGTAATCTCATTTCAGAGGGTCAGCAGGCCAAAGCTTGTAGAGCAATAAGTGTATTCGGGCGTATGCCACGATACTATAAACACATTGCTGCGGAACGACTAGAAAGGGTTCGAAGTATGTGGCATGATAAGTGGCTGGCGATCCGCCTTGTGCCCTTACTCTGCGGTGGGAGTGAGGCGGCGTGAAGTGAGTAGGTCTCTAAGGGCCCAGGTAAACGGGAAACAATCCCCCGATTCTGAGAATCGAAATCGCAAAAACCAAAAGCAGCATTTGCGAAACACACAACCGGATGCACACAGATTGCTAATGGTCTAAATGACCGTTAGACCATCAAAGATGTTGGATTATTGGAGGGAGTTTGGCTATTGTTGATAATGAACCGATGCTACGTGTGTTGCTGGACCATTTTTTTTTAACCCGGAGCTAGTTAAAATAAGCGTTGATGCTTGGGCCAACGCTTAATGTTTGGCCGTGGCCTTCTGATCAACAACTTTACTGTAGACGGAAAGGGGGATAACGGGAACCAAGAATCCCAGTGCGTCAATTTCGTCGAGTTTTCGGAGCCTAGCTTGAAGTTGGTATATTTTGTGTGCCATGTTTATTCGAGGAAGGGACTGCGTATACTACTATTGCTTTGTTATTTATCTGTTATTTAACGATACCCTTTTTATCCGCCATGTTTACTTATTGTGACGCAAAATTATAAAGTGATATTTGCATCGCAACACAAGGAAGCAATATTTATTCCCCAACACCTGAGAAGTTGTCACATACGACTATAGATCTGCCATACACAAATTTGCGTGACACCTAGATGATAGTCTCAATAGTTGTTGACCGAGGTAGGTCACTAATTGGGGCACATATGCATTTAATCGTATCCCATTGATCTCTTTGATTGAAGAGCATCGTAAGGATCTTCTTCTTCTGAAGCTCTCTAGTGATGCAGCTGATGCAGGAGCGACGGCGTTGTGTCGCCTAATCGGGAAACCACGCCCTGGCTGTTTTAGTCCAACACGCCCTTCCAGATTCATCAGTATTGGAAGCAATTTGTGAGAGAAAGTGATGGATCTGTAGGCAATGACTCTACCATGTGCAAGTTGACCGTAGTTTTCCAGCGTCATCGAAATGAGTATCCTGTAGATCCACCAGTCCAAGCTGTCGCACGAATTCTTCATGCTTTTGGCGTGGGAGCTCCTTGGTGAACCCATCAGTTGGCATTTGGCTAGTTGGCACCCATTCAGTCTTGAACGTTCCCTTCTGAACTTCTTGACGCAACCATGACTGGTGCACGTTGTAAGGCGGCCCATCACGTGAGGCCGCCCTGAACTCAGGGGCTGCCCAGCAGTGGGGCCACTAGGGCTCGGTAAACCAGGGCATGTCGGAACGTAGGATATAAGGAGCTGGAAGCCTCAGAAGGAGGCCTCCAGTCAATAGTCGCTGTATCTACGTAGAACTATTGTGCTTACAGAATACGATACCTTCCTGCCTCCTGACCTGGTTCCCTGGACTCCCGTGAGACCCTTAGGCTTACGATCCTTACACACGTCGACATGGCGTAGTTTGGTCATCAGTTTTGGGGTCTCCCGGTTGAGGAGTCGAAGTGTCTGCTGGTTGTCGCAGAAAATAGTGAATGGTTCGTCGAGTTCGAAGTGTATGGCCTTGAAGAACTGCATCCACCACATGAGTTCGCCAGCAGTGAGTTGTAGAGCTAGAAGCTCAGCTTCCGTGCTAGAAGCAGTCACAGTTTTCTGTTTCGTAGCCCTGTAATGGATGATGCTGCCAAATAGGGTTAAGATATAACCTTGGGAGCTGAACCTAGTGAGTAGGTTATCGGTGAATGAAGCATCGCTTGCACACAAGAACAGGCACTTGTAATCCTTGACACTGCCATTATACAGAATAGCATAATATTTTGTGGCGTCTAAGTAAAGAATAGTCTGGTCGACAGCGAAGAGGTGTTCTCTTGAGGGGTTCTGTAGAAATTCGGACAACTTTGAGACTGCCCTATGTAATGGTGGGTGCACCAGATGTGAGAATCTAGCCACCCAAGGAAGGGATGATTTTACTAAGACAACACACTGTCTTAGGAAAAAGAGCCAAAGAGTCGTAGCTTAGACTATTCCACAACGCAGCAATCAGGTGTATGATGTCGTGGAGTGGTTTTAGACAAGTTGTAACAAATGTTGAGTCTGAGAACTCAGGGATAAGTCAGAGGTTAGCACCTCACTGACTTTTCAGAAACAAGGAGTAACAAGATCAATGCTTGGAAGCTTGGAAAAGACGTGGAAGTATGTGATAGTCGATTTACTGTATTGTCTGCTTGCCCTTTCTTAAGGAAAGGGCAAGCCTATTTATGTTAAAGGAGTGTAGTTCTCTCATTTTCCAAGACTTTCCATGACTAATGTCATACTGACATTCGTTGCACTCAGTTTGCTATCAAACTCAAGAGCAAACTTGGAAATCTCCTCCTCAAACCTACAAGTCACTATACATATTTTGGCTTGTCACACCAACAACAAGAGCAATACTACTCAACGATTGCTACAACCATCTATGATTCATTACACGTCATTGCTCCTTAGTTACTGGGCCGATATGGCCACATAGCATATCTCTACAACCCTCTATGATTCATTACATGACATCACTCCTTAGTTACTGGGCTAATACTACACATGACATATCTCTATCAACTAGAGGCCTAGGAACATGAACGATAGCTCCAAAAGCTTCTACAACCATCTATGATTCATTACACGTCATCTCTCCTTAGTTACCCACAAGATTGGTTAAGTTATGACATAATTTGTCTATAGGGGTACTCTGACCTTGGACCTCCTTTCACTTCCTATAGGCTAGGAACCTAGGAGATGGTTCTATGGGATTCTCTTACGTCGACTACAGTTACCAAGCCTGGTTAGTTGTAATGGTGGGTGCACCAGATGTGAGAATCTAGCCACCCAAGGAAGGGATGAATTTACTAAGACAACACACTTGTTACGACGGAACAAGAAGGCTGGCCAACTACAGGACAGGAAGGAGGGAGGTCGCATGAGACCGGCCCTGGTACCTGGAGGGGCAGCGGGGAATAGTAGTTCCGAAAGTATCACGTGACGGACTCGCAGGATGATGAGAAGAGTCCTAAGAGTCCAGGACTCCGAGGACTCGAGTGAGTTTCCAGGAGTCCACTAGGCACGTGACGGACTCGCAGGATGATGAGAAGAATCCTAAGAGTCCAGGACTCCGAGGACTCGAGTGAGTTCCCAGGAGTCCACTAGGCACGACGCCACTATATAAGTAGATAGTTAGTTCTTAGATAGGAGCTTCGTGCTCAACTCAATACAGTATTTGTTATATACTAGTAACGTGTTACTTGAAGCCTTTGTGTCTGATCCCCTGCCTCCTCTGATAAGTAAACCTTTACGCAAGAGAACCTCTGTGTCTTCTATCGTTTAGAAGTCAGCGTTACAACACTGTCTTAGAAAACAGAGCCAAAGGGTCGTAGCTTAGACTATTCCACAACGGAGCAATCAGGTGTGTGATGTAGTGAAGTGGTTCAGACAAGTTGCAACAAATGTTGAGTCTGGGAACTCAGGGATAAGTCAGAGGTTAACACCTCACTGACTTTTCAGAAACAAGGAGTAACAAGATGAATGCTTGGAAGCTTGGAAATGACGTGGAAGTATGTGATAGTCGATTTACTGTATTGTCTGCTTGCCCTTTCTTAAGGAAAGGGCAATCCTATTTATGCTAAAGGAGTGTAGTTCTCTCATTTTCCAAGACTTTCCATGATTACCAGGCTTGGTAACTGTAGTCGACGTAAGAGAATCCCATAGAACCATCTCTTAGGTTCGTAGCCTATAGGAAGTAAAAGGAGGTCCAAGGTCAGAGTACCCCTATAGACAAATTGTCATACTGACATTCGTTGCACTCAGTTTGCTATCAAACTCAAGAGCAAACTTGGAAATCTCCTCCTCAAACCTACAAGTCACTATACATATTTTGGCTTATCACACCAACAACAAGAGCAATACTACTCAACGATTGCTACAACCATCTATGATTCATTACACGTCATTGCTCCTTAGTTACTGGGCCGATATTACCACATAGCATATCTCTACAACCCTCTATGATTCATTACATGTCATCACTCATACTACCACATGACATATCTCTACCAACTAGAGGCCTAGGAGCATGAACGATAGCTCTAAAAGCTCCTACGAACCTCTATGATTCAATACATGTCATCGCTCTTTAGTTACCCACAAGATTGGTTAAGTTATGACATAATTTGTCTATGACATAATTTGTCTATAGGGGTACTCTGACCTTGGACCTCCTTTTACTTCCTATAGGCTACGAACCTAAGAGATGGTTCTATGGGATTCTCTTACGTCGACTACAGTTACCAAGCCTGGTAATCATGGAAAGTCTTGGAAAATGAGAGAACTACACTCCTTTAGCATAAATAGGATTGCCCTTTCCTTAATAAAGGGCAAGCAGACAATACAGTAAATCGACTATCACATACTTCCACGTCTTTTCCACGCTTCCAAGCATTCATCTTGTTACTCCTTGTTTCTGAAAAGTCAGTGAGGTGTTAACCTCTGACTTATCCCTGAGTTCCCAGACTCAACATTTGTTGCAACTTGTCTGAACCACTTCACTACATCACACACCTGATTGCTGCGTTGTGGAATAGTCTAAGCTATGACCCTTTGGCTCTGTTTTCTAAGACAGTGTGTTGTCTTAGTAAATTCATCCCTTCCTTGGGTGGCTAGATTCTCACATCTGGTGCACCCACCATTACACAAATTATGTCATAGACAAATTATGTCATAGACAAATTATGTCATAACTTAACCAATCTTGTGGGTAACTAAAGAGCGATGACATGTATTGAATCATAGAGGTTCGTAGGAGCTTTTAGAGCTATCGTTCATGCTCCTAGGCCTCTAGTTGGTAGAGATATGTCATGTGGTAGTATGAGTGATGACATGTAATGAATCATAGAGGGTTGTAGAGATATGCTATGTGGTAATATCGGCCCAGTAACTAAGGAGCAATGACGTGTAATGAATCATAGATGGTTGTAGCAATCGTTGAGTAGTATTGCTCTTGTTGTTGGTGTGATAAGCCAAAATATGTATAGTGACTTGTAGGTTTGAGGAGGAGATTTCCAAGTTTGCTCTTGAGTTTGATAGCAAACTGAGTGCAACGAATGTCAGTATGACATGGAGGAGCACTCGAGCAGTGGCTCAATCTATATACAGCTATGTTGTTGTGGAGTGAATTCTCTTTAGCGAGACCAGTTCTGAGAATTCACATACCAGGAGAGGAGGTGATATTTGCCCTTAACAATGATATATGGCGGCATTGCCCAGCCATCTGCACATACACCCTGGATTACAGAAACCCATTCCCGATTGCCAGGCTGCTTTGTACGAGGTCTGTCCTGTCGATCAGAGGTTGTTACAACCTTAGCATGCGAGAGCATTCCCATCAAAAACCCAGTCTCATCAAAGTTGTAGATGTCTGAGTTGACAATACCGTATTTTGCAATTGTATTCTGTACAAGTGCAAACCAAGCTTGTATAATCTTAGGATCTTCAGCTAGGGCCCTCTGGTAGTCAATTCGACGTCGAAAACGCATATTAAGGGCTGGTGGCGTCGTACGAAGTTCCCTGCCCATCGTGAGCCAACACGCGTTGCGTCTCGTACCCCAAGGAGGCGATTGGCCATATCTTGTATATCTTCGAGCCGGGGCGGAAATCCTCGCTCAATTAGATCAATAATACGATCAAGAAGCACACTCTCTTCAGTATTGGTCAACTTCCTCCCATTTGCAGTTATATCGCGTCTTGATAGTTTTCCAGCACGTCGGTCGGCCAAAGTCGCCCGGGGAACCTTATAGATACCTGCTGCAGCTCGTTCGGTAAGTTTAGGGTCGTTTTTAAGAGCTTCAATTGCTAGGATTATACGGCTTTCATTTGAAGTAGATTCCATTTTTGTACGTAGAGGGAAATAGTTGCAAAGTAAAAGGTGGTGGAAATGGTGGAAAGTGGCCGACTCGCTTGGGTGGCCGACTCGTTATACATGTACGTTAACTCATAAATTTATTTACATACATTTATAATGGCATTTAAAAGCTACAAAAGGTACTATATTAGTACAAAGTTCACAATATTTTACCAAATTAAAGCGTAAACATTAAACTATGTATAGTAAGTGATATATATTTTAAATATTAGAAAGTTTTACCTACGTGTTGTTGACATATGTTATAGTATTGGTGTTATTCGCGACTGGGCCATTCGTGGTTGGGCTGGAACATATGCTTTATCAATAATCATGATTATGATTAGGACTAAATAATCATGATTATAATTGATTTTCTAACCCTGACAATGGACGGCTTTGGCGCCTCTTCTTCTGCCTCAAAGGCCGTCGAGGACGAAAACGAGGGGCCAGAATATGCGTCAAATACTGGCAAGCCTCCCTCCAAACAAAAAGGCCGCCGCAACATCATGCTCGAGAAGTTTAGAGCTGACGTCGAACCATCTCTCGCTTCATATACACATATGCAAAAGCCATTCTTCTTCTATGGCTTTCGACTCCCGGAGCCACCAGTCCTCGAACCAGCTAGTGTGCAGGGCTACAAAATCATGCTCTGGGGGCAGTATCCTGCTCTCGTTAACGGCCCTATTGACAATCACGTTGATGGCATGTCACTGGCGCAACGGAGTTGGTGGAGGGCACGTGGTCATTGGACGAGTGGAAGAAGGAGATCGAGGAGGAAATGGCATCGCACTTTCGGCTCTGGAGGACTGAGCAGGAAGGAGGAATTATGGCGTATAGCGTCGAACCTGGTAGAGTGAATTCCAAGTTACTATAACCTCTTCAAGTACTGTACTGTGTACCGTACGATATATAATAGTTACTACAAGAACAGAACTCAAAATCTGTGATCAAAACCTATAATAAGAGTCGACTTCTCTTCTCTGTAGGGATTCAGTATACTCGCGATGTTGGTCTCAGATGTGCAGACGTTGAGATCTGCTGACCCCCTGTCAGCTGGAGAGACTTTTAAGAGCTAGAGACGTGTCGGCGCGTCAATGTCTCAGGTAATTTAAACCATTCTATATTTACTATTACATCTCGACGACACGTCGCGACAGCAAAACAATGAACCTTTTCTTCACCTTCATCTTCATTTTTTTTATGATCGCCTCGCCCCGTTTCGGTAGTACTCGTCACCCATTGTCACCTGGCGAACCATATCTTATCAATGGCATCATCCGCATCAACACCAAACATACTGACGGGCCTGTCGCATTGCCGCTCGCTGAGCAACTCCGTTCAGACATCCTCACGGAGCACAGCCCCTCAGGCGTGGAGCGATGAAAACTACGACTCGGGCTCGTTCCAGCAGCATTTCGGAGACGCGCATGGCAACATCATTAGCACGCCAGTAGCCACAACGACAACATTCCCATTTGGACGGAACGTAGCTCAAAGTCACAGCAGCGAAGAGCTAGTTACTCCGCGACAACTAAAGGCACACCTAAGGTCACTGACCCCTCTTCAACGCATCGATACCAATATCACATATTCTGGGCGGACAACCCTGGGGACAGGCTCGCCACAGAAGCAAGAGAACGGGGGCGCCATGCCCACGCTCACTGGGACCAAGGGCCCCGCCCAAACCGCACCCGCACGAGGTCTCACAGGCTGGTTCAGCAACACATGCACCCCCTCCATCGAGTCCTCCGACCTCTCCACCCCAACCACCGTCTCCGCCGCAGGCAAACTTCGCAACATGTCCATCCCCGTCGCCCCCACCGCCTCAGCAACAAAATCCAAATTCTCCTTCTTCTCTCCCAAACCAGCGCAACCTGCCACACCCACCGCATACGACGACGACGACGACATCCTCCTCAACCTCTCCCTCTCGACTGCCCTAACACCAACCCCACACGACCCCTTCTCCCCCGCCTCCTCGAAGAACTTACACACCTCCGCCCTCACCCTCCTCGCGACCTTCCAATCCGCCCTGCGTGCAGGCACAACACAAATCCGCGATCTGCGCGCTGAGGCTGCTGCGCGGGCTGAGGAGCGCGATGCGGCGGATACGCGGACGCAGCATCTCAAGGCGCAGTTGGCGGATATGGCGGCGAGAGTTGCAGAGCAGGAGGGCACGCTGAAGAGTATTCTCGGGGAGCTGGTGGAGGAACGGCGGCGCGGCGCGGAGGAGCGAGAAAGGAGTAGCAAGGGAGAGGCGACGGAGGGTGCGGGGGTTGTGCTGGATCAGAAGGTTCCGGATCGGAGGAGTGGGTCTAGTGAGGATTTAGGGGTGGGAGGGTGGAAAGGAGCAGAGGAGTCGGATGCGGAGAGTGCGGTGGAGAGTGTATGGAGTCGGTGTGGGAGTCCGGATGGAAATCGAACGAGTAGGACGAGTGGTGGGAGTGCGGTTACGTCGGCGAGTTCGGCGAGGGAGCCGTTGCGGAGGGGGGGTGGGAAGGAGGAGGTGGTTGTGGTGAGGCGGTGTGATCATTGCGAGGGGAAGGCGGCTAGTGCGGCGTGGGTGGCTGTGAGGGATTTGAGGGAGGAGAATAAGGAGTTGAAGAGAGAGGCTGGGGTGCTGAGGGAGGCGATGGATGAGGTTATCGAGATGGTTAGCGTGGTGGGATTGAGGTAGAGAAGATGGAGAGAGGATGGTTGCATTTAGGTCTCTTGACCTTGGTGTGGTTTGGGCAATGGTGCTCGCGGCGTCGAGCGGCGGTGTTTGGGTATGATATCAACAGTATAAGGATGCTGTGGCATGCATTGTCGGACAAGGGTGTTTGGGTACAAACTGTAGATTGCTAGATCGGGTATATAGGAGAAGAGCCTACAAATGGGATAGGATAATAGGATATCAGACGCGGTGTCTGTTCACCACATCACTTGAACATGTGGAAGTCTTACAGAAACTTGGTGAGCTGCTATTCTAACAGTTTTCCGTATCATTACTTCTTAAGTCATGGCGTCAGGGGACAATAGGGGACGAAGAACTCGGTGCAACATGTTAAAGGGGGAATGGAAACTTTGATCTTACCTAGATGCTATCATGAAAACGCGAAGAGATTCCCCGGACCCCCCCAGGCATCCCGTCCATATCTGCAAGTCTGTACCCCGCTCCCCATCTGCAGACACCTCTTTTGTTAAGAAGCTCCCATACTCAAAACGCGGCAGCCAAAAAACTGTCATGTTCCTCGCGCCTTCACATGCTGGCTTCCCCAGGTTTAAGCTGCCTGAAGCGGCGGAAGCGACGTGCCTTGTAAGACTCGGGATCCATCACATGTTCAAGGGTTCGGCACGAGAGCGGCTCGAAGCCCCAAGGCAGAACCTCATGTAGAGTAAAGCAAGTTAGTTTAAACCGTAGCCTCCACTAGACTTGAAGTTCAAGTAACTCTACTCGTACTTTGGGTTAATAATATATATGATAATAACAAAAATAATAATCTACATTAAGATTAGCATCAACCACAGCTTCGTACGTTGACCATTTCGCGTCATTATATAAAGTATAAATCCGAAGACGTTCTTGTCGAGTAAGTAATGGCGGCTCAGCATAACATTACTTTGGGGTTTTTATTGGATTATACTTCTACAAGGGGGGAGACGATCATTGCACGTTTAACAATTATTGACCCAAAAGTACGAGTACCTCGCCCCCTCTAACCCTTTTTCTTCGCAACCTCCTCCCAAAGCAGCAAGGCTTCTCCCCCCAACACAGACCAGGCGTTCGGCGCCCTCCCGTTTCAGGTGTCCCGCGCGCTACGTTTCATCAGAAAAGGAAAACAAAAAGTGGGATGTGTGTGAACTGTGGCCGTGGCTGTGACCGTGGCGCTGTTGGTTGGCGAGGACGACACGACCGGAAAAGCGGGCGACCCTCCCGCCCTTCTCACTCCGCCCAAAAACACACAAACGCCGCAACAAGCACCAGCACCAGCACCAGCACATCACATAACAGCCACGCACAATGTCCCAGCACGCTCAGCACTCCGAGTGTCACGCACCCGAGCCCCCTCGCTCCCCTGCGGCGATCCCCGCGGGCAGTGGTCGACCCTCGATCAGCGCTGCGATGAGGGATTCTGGTCTGCGCCGCTCCTGCTGCTCCTGGATGTGCAGCGGCGATCTTGGAGCGCGGTGGAGCGGTGGGTGGGCGCGAGGGCGTTTGTCTGGCCGCGACGGCGGGGCTCGTATAGCGTTTGTCTGGCCGCGACGGCGGGGCTGGTATAGCGTTTGTCTGGCCGCGACGGCGGGGCTGGTATAGCGTTTTGTCTGGCCGCGAGGAGGGTGTGTGGTTTCTACGAGTAGGGGTACGAGGGATTGTGAGGGGGGGGGGGGAGATACGCTCCGTCGGGTCGCGGAGTGGGTTGGATAGGGATGGGATGTATGCATTTTGTTGTGGCTTTTTTTCCCCATTGACTCTTCGTTTGGAGGCATGAGGCATTTTGAGATTGTCAGTCGACGTTGAGGCGGGGATACCTCAGCTCCCTCCACGCTCCACGGACAAGGTCGTGATGCTGCCCATCGACGACTGAGTAAGTGCGTTGAGGAGCAAGTCCCACTGCAAGTAACTAAGGCACCTCGCGGTACCACCCTAGTGCAGTAGTAGGGGTCCAGTCCCCCCAAACCATCCATCACGTGACCAAACCCCAACGCAACTGGCACCCCGCCGGGCAGCAAGGAAAGGCACATTATGCTCTGCTACATATACAACTCGGTATATTGTGAACTCTTAAGGTACGGTGACTACTATATAAGAGTCTAACAGTAGTAGCTTGACGTCGGAGGTAGGAGCGCCTTGTGAAAAATGAAGTGATCAAGCCACTCCGTAGCAAGTTGGTCGTTCGTCTATCGTGATTCTGATAATGGAAATCCGTTCCGTGCCAATAAGACCTGGATGGTACCACGAGTCCATGGGTAGGCCTTTGCAGGATCTACAGCTCTGAACCAGGAAGCAGCAGCAGTAGCAGCAGCAGCAGAAGCAACAGCAGTAGCCAGATGGGGGAGGATGGGATTGGGGGACTCGATGGTGGCTGGTCGAGAACGTCGTCGTCATGCCAGAATAGCAGGGAAGCTCGAAGCTCATAGCATTTCGTCAATCGGGTAGACGGAGACGGAGTGGGGGAGGGGAGGTTGGATGATGTGGGTTGCAGTGCGGAAAGGATGGTGTAGGTTGGGTTGGCTGGGAGGAGGAGGGACTGTAGTGGCTGCTTTTTTTTTTGTCGGGCAGAAGGGGGGAGGGGAGGGGGGAAGGGGGGGGTAGGGGGAGGTAGGGGGGGTAGGGGGGAGTGGAAGGGGTATGGAAGGGATAGGATGGGGCGAATTTGTGCCTGTGCCTGTCCCTGTGCCTATCCCTGTGCCTATCCCTATCCATGTCCCTATCCCTGTACCTGAGGAATGGGTTAGGAATGGGTTAGGAATGGGTTAGGAATGGGTTAGGAATGGGTTAGGAAATAGGAATAGGATTAGGAATAGAGCACCTGGGAGGACCTGTTTCCTTTGGTGGGGCCCATCTCCTCCTCCTTCCTTCTTTTGCCTTCCCACCCCCAAAGCATCCTCCCTCACCTCCCTCACCTCCCTCACTCACCTCCCTCACTCACCTCCCTCACTCACCTCCCTCACCCACCTCCCTCCACCACCATCTCAGCCACCTTGCTTGCACTCCTGCATATACAAATACATTCTTTCTGCACCCCCCCCACTCCCCCCACCGCCCCACCCCACCACCCCCCCACTCCCACTCCCCCCCCCACCCCCCTCCCCCACGCCCGCTCCCGCCTTTCCTATTGTACACCTCCAATTGTACTTTCCCTCCTCCACCTTCTTGTCCTCAAACCCTCAAACCTCCCACCACCTCCCTCCACCCCCTCCACCACCTCCACCACGTCGACAACCCCAAAAAATCATTGACGCCCTCCTCATCATCTATCTTTGTCTCGCTCACATACATTTCCATGCCATCGACCTCCGCCTTTCCTGTCTCGAGCGACATATCTCTGACAATTGACACCTGCTAGCATCCTGGACGAGGAGGAGAATATATATACATACAACGAGTCTGCGTCACCTTCCTGCTGCACAACGACTTCGCGACACCCACAAACTTCTCGCCTGCATACTTCGTCCAACGATCCCACCGCGGCCCTGGAATACTTCACAACGCACAGAGCTATTGACCGACCTTTCTTCCCCCCCCATCTTCATCCTCGGCCTGCGGCAGGTTTCGCAAAAAGGTGAGCACACACACCCCTACGCATACATTCACACATACCTCTCTCTTCGTATGACCGGAGGCCTTTCCCACTTGGCATCCACCATTTTCCCCAGCTTTCCAGCTCTATGGGCTTGGATCCTGCCAAGGCTCCCCTCCCTCTAGCATATATCTCGACTTTTCCGCCCCCAAATCAATATCCATGAAATTAATTTAATCTTGTTCCTCTTGCTGATGGTTCTCTGCAGGCAGCGAATATCTCAGCATCGCCGTTGCTCTCCTTTCGACGTCGTGCCACGGACCAACCTATCCTATGCCTCCTATAAACCCGATTTAATATAACCCCTAATTTATCCGCAATCTATCGTTGCCCGGGACAGCTCCATCCCACGCGACACAGCCCACTCGTCCAACTGTCTACCCTACCCTCTCCCATCTGAGGGAGGGTATCCTGCCGACGGCGCGGCAATCAGTCGACGAAAATGTCTCTACATACGACCTCCCATCTCGGGGAGAGCAACAAACCGATCAGAAGTCCTGCTGGCTCGATATCAACATCCTCGATGACGGATTTCCCGGCGCGGACCATGGAGCCTGCCATGGATGGGCCGCCATCGCCACAGAGAATCAGAGCATACACAGAGCAGATGAAGAGGAGCGTAGCCGCTGGCCACCAAAGGACAAGAACCGGCACCAGCTCAACGTCGTCGTCTGCCTCGGGAGCTGACTCGGGGACAAGGTCTCCGGAAGAATCGCTGTCGAGACAGGCGTCGCGAAAGTCGACCGCGGGCATGTCGGTCAAAGCAGAACGGCCAGACACGTTACAGATGTTTGGGAAGGCATTATTCTCGCGAGGATCGAAGAGGTCCAAGAAGGGAAGGTCGAGGGCATCATCACTGCTGTCGCTAAGCTCGAGGGAATCTACCATGGTCACCCCGCGAAGCGCCGTTGACGAGGAGGTTGCTTTCAAGAAACACCTCATCTCTGGGCCTTACGACTTCCAACACGTCGTCCACACAGGACATGAGCAGGCGCCCAATGTGGATATCGCGAGCAGAGATGACCTCCTCGAGGAGTTTTCCACAGTACGGAGATCAAATGCACCTACAGGAGAGCTTAGGGGCATCAGGGCAGACGACCTTCACTTCCACAACTTCTCTTTGGAAGCCCTCGATGTCTTGGTCGAGAAAGACCCTCCTCAGCCTCCACCTCAATTACCACTAAAGAGCCCAGCAAGAAGGAGCATCATCAGGAAGCCCCCTAGCCCACTCAAGCCGAGCCTGCGCTCGAGCAAGTCCCAAGACAGCGTCCGCGCTGGATTGTCCCCTCCACCGCGGCCGCCACGATCCCCAATGACAGCACAGTGTCCGATATCCCTACCCCCGAGGACCTCATCGAGGACGGCATCCATCATCTCGGATGAATACGACCCTCTACAATCCACGTCACTCGAGAGACCTCACTACTCTGCCGGTTTCCGGAGGCCGCAGGCCTTCCACCTCCCGCGTTCTCCGCCCCTACCGTCTCCCCCATTGCAAAATGTCCATGGCGACCATGAAGTGGATTATTTCCAGGAAAGAACCACCATGTTGCTAAGGTCACCAGAGAATGAGGGCTGGCCGTTCTCTGCTGCTGCCCAGTCACCATCCGATTCAAAGCTGGAGGATGTACCTGAAGAGGAGGAAACAGTGGCGGCCGCACGACGCTCACGCATATCCATCGGCAGCACTGATCTGCGCATCTCCAAGTCCGTCCCTAACCTCCTCCCGTTCCGCGCCAGGCGTGACTCTGACCGCCCGCACACCCCGTCCTCTGACATCGTGCGTGCGCCAGTCCTCGTCATGACCCCTAAGAAATCGGATGCAAAGCTCGACCTTGACACCTCCCGCTCATGGGAGGATGACATCGACTACTGCTACGACCATGAGGTCGAGGCCGACTGCGACTACAACTGGGAGCGCCATTCGATTGACGTCGATACCGTTAGCAACTACTTCCACGACTCCGCCATCTCGACCAACTCGTCCTCGGACGACGTCACGCTTAAGAACTCACCGCCGCTGGCATCCCTGCATTCCGCATCGGCAATGGAGGTGCGCAGAGAGTCGCGTCGACTCTCTGCGCACCTCGATGGCCTGCGTCACCCGCCCGTTTACAACACCCCCTCCATCCTCGCGCCAGCGCACACACCCGATCTCATCCCGCCGTCAACAGCCACAATGGCGGATTCCCCAGCCTCTACCCCGACGCCTCCCACGCGCCCAACACAACTGCGGTCCCCATCCGCAGCGTCATCCTTCAAGGAGTCGTTTGGCTTCACGCTCTCACCCTCGCTACTCATCCCTGCCGACTACGCGGCGCAGATGAACGGCACCGCATCGCCCACTTCAACGTACTCCGCCGGGCCCCTCGACGACGTTTCTCCTACCGAGCGCGAGCCTAGCCCTGCGCCTACGGAGACCCCAGACGTCGTCTCCTCGCCTACTCTGTCGACAAACCCATTCTTGGCGTATATTGTAACGACCGAGAAGTCTGAGAATCTGCTGCTGCAGAGCGCGGAGGAACGCTTGTTACCGCCGTCGAGGGCGCCGAGTGCATTTATCAACGCGCATGACCGGAAGGGGAGCGTGCCGCTGCTTGGGCGGGTAGCGAAGGAAAGTCGTGGGAGGGCGAGCACGATTGGTGGGTCGCTTGGGAGGGGGAAGGGGGGGTACGGGTTGTTCCCCTCGATGCTGAGTGCCGATCCTTGAGAACCTGCTCGGCTCTCAGAAGGCGGAAGAAGGGATAAAGAAAGCTGTTTGGGTATGATACGTGAACGTCGCTTGAGAAAAGATATAAACATTCTTTGCATTTTTTATTTTCTACAATGTTTTTTCTTTGGTTGGGGGTGCTTGTAATTTTTTTGGGAGGGGTGTTTTTAGGAGGTGGTTATCACGGTCACTACAACATTAGATGGGTTTTGGAGGGGCACGGTTGCTACTGTTTGGTTTGGGAATTTTTTATATATACGGTTGCTACTGCGAGGTTGGGGGCCGTCCGGGGGGGGTTGGTTGGCGGCTTTACGACCTTATGGAAACTTTGTTTTGGAGAGAGATGGAAGGGGGGGACGGGTCCGGAAGTGTCTGCCTGCGGCTGGTCGTCCAGTACTACGATATATCTGAGAGTAGGGAAGAGGAGCCGTTTGAGAGACGGAGAGAGCAGAGAGATGTATGATGCTAGTAGACAAAAGTAGGGCTCTTTGGTAGCCGCAGCGGGTTGTAGGTGGTGTGTGGGTGTATAGATCAAAATGTAGACGTGTTGCATCTATCTTCTACGTGTATCCTTTGCTATGTGCTGCATGACGAGGCTTGTGTCGTCATTAAGGGTGTATGGGTAGAGGGGTTCCCCTGATGTTAGGCTTTTAGGCGGCGTCAGTATACAGTATAACCGACGTCATAAAGCTGCCTTTGATGCAGTATTCTGGGTCGCGGCGGATAAGGTTGCGAAGCTTGACCACCATTTCCAGCAGATTTCGTTGGCACTAGGACTTGAAGATTCATCCGAGTGTAAGAGTCAGATTGTCAGCAGAGAAATCGTGAAAGGATGGCTCTCCAATCCCCGAAATCATCTCTCGGGGTCGGATGAGTTTGTTCAACCTGGTGAAGCTAGATCGGAAGCGACCTGGCTGCTTATATTTGACAACGCAGATGAAATGATCCTGGCGGACTACTGGCCCCAAGGCAGTGGATCAATTCTTGTCACTAGCCGCGACCCATTAGCTAAAAACATGTTTACGAGAAGATCTTTAGGACTGGATCTCGGTCCACTTACACAGCAAGACAGCCTTACCCTATTCAATCACCTCACTAGCATTTCCAATGAGCCAGAAGGCGATACAGCGCGACAAATTTCCGATGCACTTGGTGGCGTCCCTCTGGCCATCTCCCAGATGGCAGGTATTATCCGTCGACAGGACCTTACCTTGTCAGAGTTTTTCGAGCTGTATACGGATCATGAAGAACATGCCAGTCTTTACCTTGATAGCTCTCTCAGCTTCTAGCCGTGCCTCAGGATTCTTTTTGTAGATTTCCTCTGCGAACCACCTAATGGCCTTGAGTGGAAAGGCGAGGACAGGCGTAGTTCGAAACATATTTTAGAACGTCTGAAAGACTGATGGCCAAGAGAGGCTGCGGGGAATTGAATGTTCTGCACGGGTAGAATCGTGAGAAGTGGAGTAAGGTTGTGAAGCCAGACGGCTAATTGCTTTAGTTGCGAGAAAAAACAAGGAACCTGTTGAGATGGGTGTGTGAGCACATGAGGATAACTGACGGTTATATAGATGTTTCGTTACATTAGGAGGCACGTATATATGGACAATTATAATTTACGAAGCGCCGAGAATATGAAAGTAAGCATACCCTCAACCCACGTTTACATCCAGCACCTGGCAACGCATCTGAAGTCATTCTCTACGTAACCAATCACAAAACGCAGAAAATATCTAGTAGTATCAGGGGACGTTCATTACAGCCGCGCGCTAAAGCCGGGGTTGCTTTCGTTTCACATCCAAAGCGCGAAAAGTATAATTAACTTTGAGAGCTGGCTTCTATTCGCCTCCCGTCCATCCTTGAAATAAAGTGGATCAACAATCTATATTTTGAAACTCGCACGGTATCGTATTGACATCGTAGAGTTAGACATGTCGAAAACCACACTAAAGTGGTAGAGACTTCTCTAGGGGGCTTGGCAATAAGAGCACCGGCTTCACCGGCAATCACCAAACCGCTCCCCCGACATCGGTGCAAGGATATCAAAAAACCATGTATCATATTAGTAAGATCTCTGTATTATATTAGGATTAGTGGTTAGCATCAATAAAAATCTACACACCCAAATGCATGGTCTACTATTTTGACAGGTTATGAGCCCGGACTGGCGTGATAACACTCTATTTTTTCTGCTTTATCTAAAGCGCAAGCTTGCTGAGCGTAAAGAAATACACGACTAAATCCATACCAGACACTGAATATTATAGTACTCCCAAAAAGAAAGGAGCGCCGCCGCAGTGCGATGAGCGGATCGATGCAAGATACGGGTGCAAATATACAAAAGAAAAAGAGAGGACACATCTCGGATCTTGAAGAAGTGTCCCGAAACATAAGAGAAGCTACAGTGGGAGCCATTAGTGAGTCGTTTGAGCAAAATTACAGACACAAAAGGCAACGAGCCAAGAAGCCAGTGGTGGTATCATCCGACCCTTCGTCTTCATCCTCAGAAGAAGAAAGTGAGAACCGCCTATTGCCAGCTGGAACCAGCACAAGAAGCCAAACCTCAAGGAAGCCGAACACATTTATCACTTCTGGGTTAATCGGTGCAAGAGACCCCACAACAAAGAAAACCGACGCAAAAACCCAAAAACTAGACCAAATTATCAGCGTAGAACTCGAATCAATTCCAACACCACTGACACCAATAATGTCAAGCTACTACACACCCCCTGCCACGGGGAACGGCGCCAGCTTCGTGCCCATCCAAAGGGATTGCATGCTAAACGGCGACGACAACTACAAGGACTGGTCGAAGAGGATGATCAATGCCCTCCAAATCGAGAGGCTCTGGGACCTTGTTGACGGATATGAGAATGAGCCAGAAGAACCGGATCCAAATCAGTCCCCAACGGCCCTTACAAAAGCAACAAAAGAATATGATATCGCATACCGATCATGGAGGGCAAGAAACCAAATGGCATGCGGTGGCATCAAATCGACACTAAACTATGCACCGACGACACTTGTCGAAGGCATCACCAACGCAAAAGAAATATGGGATACCCTCGCCGACAAAATCAGACCACAGGGGGAAAATACGCTATTCTCCCTCATTGCAAGACTTGAGCAGTGTGTCTACGGGGGCGAGGACACCCAGAACGTCAAAACCTATGCACAAGTCTTCCGCCAACTCGACGAAAATATTATGAGAGTGGGAGCCGAATTCAAGCTCCCTGACTACTTCCTAGCGCTCAAATATCCACGGTTTGGGGCCAGAATTCGACGCCTTTGTGGGAAACCTTTTCCAAAATCACTCTATTTGTGGAAAGGGAGTATCACGCACAGGTGCCCTCCCACTCAAGGAAGTCATAACTATGGCTGAAGACCATGAGAAGCTCATGGAGAACCGCAAGACAAATGGTGCAAATGCCCCAGCAGGCTTCCTCGCCCACAAGAGGGGTTTCTCCCAGGCCAACAAGCAATCCTGCTCAATGCACCCTAAGGCAGAGAATCACTCTGACCTCGACTGCTGGCAACAACACCACGAGAAACAACCAGAGTGGCTGGAAAGAAAGAGAGCCAACCAGCGGGGAAAGAGAGGCAGATCCAACGCAATAGCTGCGAATCTAGCTACGGAAATATCCACCACATCTGCCAACAAAGATGTAACACCAACAGCGAACATTGCTACAGCGCCTCACCAAGGAGATGCACCACCAAAAGAGGGCGGCTACTACGCCTTCCACAGCTACACTCCCCTAACGGACAATGATACCAAAAGAGCTATTGTGAAAGATATGGACTGGGTCCTTGACACAGGAGCAAACAGACACATGACCTGCCGACAGGAATCACTCCTCGACTATCGCCAGTATCCGACTCCCATCACAATCAAAGCAGCAGGACCAGGCACGTTCGCCCTTGGAGAGGGAACAGTACGCCTTGGTATTAAAATGGGTGAGCGATCTGACTATCTTAACTGAGAAATGTCATGTTCGTCCCCTCACTCTCCACCAATCTTCTGTCAATATCCACCGTCCAAGATTTTGGTGGTGGATTCCGAACGGTAAAAGGAGGCTGCGAACTCACCTACAATGGGAGAGTCCTAGCCACTGGACTAAAAGTCGGTGGGCTCTATAGACTGAACCAGTCTATTCGCAAACTGCTCAACCAAAAATGACAATCCCAGACAACACCAGCGGAAATCACGGCCTTCTACACGGCCCATATCTCACCGCTCATGCCGATACATACCTGGCACTCTCGTCTTGGACATCTCAATTACGATGCCATACATCAACTTGCTGGAATATCACACGGTCTCATATTAGAATCCGCAACACGAGACAAGGAGCGTGAATTTTGTGAACCCTGCACCTTAGGCAAGCAATTCGCCCACAACAATATGAGAACCCCCCGGCGTGCAACAGAACGACTCGGACTGATACACATGGATCTTGCTGGTCCTATTACACCAAAAACAAATGCTAGGGAATCCTTATATTTAATGATAACAGACGATCTCACACGTTTCTCCTGGATCTATCTCCTCAAAGGCAAAACGAGCGTTGAGGTCCTTTGTTACATCAAATACTGGTATAATATCGTCTGTAACCAGACAAACCTTCGTGTCAAACGTTTTTGAGCAGACGGTGGCGGCGAATTTGCTGCTGAAATATGTCTCGTATGGTACAAACAAATGGGCGCCGAATGGGAGCCCACAAGTCCACATCAACCAAACCAAAATGGCATGTCTGAGCGTGGAAATCGAACCAACTTGATAAATCGCGATCGGTGATGACAGAAGCTAATCTACCAAAGGAACTATGGGGTGAGGTAACCCGAACAATGGTCTACCTAAAGAATCGTTCACCTACATCAGATCTTACAATCACTCCCTATGAAGCATGGTACGGCATCCGACCAGAACTCTCACATCTCTGATGCATTGGCTGTCCAGCGTATAAGCTCATTGCCAAATCGCTCTACCCAAAGAAGCTCGACGACCGAAGCAAACTCACTCTGCTCATCGGCTACGAAGGTGACAACCAATATCGGCTCTGGAACCCTCTAAATGGCACCATAGAACGTGCTAAAGTAGTGGTATTTGATGAGACTGTCCATGTTAAGGATCCATCTCATAGCATTCTCCCTACTATGAGTGGAAATTCAATTGCCGCCCCAGCTGCAGAAATGATACTCCCGCTTCTGTCCATTAACCATCTCCCGCAAAACCCAATGCAACTTGCTACCTTCCAGGACGAGCAGCGCCAGCGGGTAGAGGGGGAAAGAGCCCGAGAGGTCCTACCCGCTCACGCTACAAATCCCTACCAATACAGAGAAACTATCACTTTTCTTACCACGCTAACAGTGCCAATATTCACCCCTACTGCCTACACAGCTAAACGACAATTTCAAAAGGTCCCACTTGCTTGTGGCCTAGCTTCTTTGATGGCCTCTGTGTCTTTATATTTCGAGTTGAAAGCCATACTCTGTCTCCCACTTGATAGCGTGGTGCAGGTTTCCTTTTCTTGTTCGCGAAATGTTCCATTTTTGCTTGCGAGAGCGTGATTTCATCCTGCAGAAACTCCCAAACCTTTGCCATGGTCTGAGCTATGTTCTTGTGCTCTTGCTTGGCTTCGTGATATGCTTGCTGCTCTGTATCGAAGCTCATTCTTGGTTCATAGCCCTTGTTCGCAAAAAACGCACTTGTCTTGGTTGCATCTGATGGCAAACTGTTGGCAGCAAACTCCGCCATGCACAAGTATGAAACCCAATTGTCTTGAAGATAGTTCACATGAGCTCGCAAGTAGCGTTCGAGCTCTGCATTGAATCGCTCAGTCTGTCCATCTGTTTCTGGGTGGAAGGCAGTTGAAAGTTTGGCCGAAATTTTCCAAATTTTGCAGAGACTCAAGACTGAAGGATTGAGGTAATGCACTAGCTGCCGGAATGAGAATTTATCTACCAATCTCATTGGTAGATTATTCATAATGATGAATGCAAGTAACAATTCTCAGAATTTGGTGCCTGGCACTGGAGTTGTACCATGAGGATTTGGCTTGAAGAATCTAGACAAAGATGCATGGTTCTGAGGGCGGATATTGTCTTTATTCTGAAGTTTTCGAGTAGATTTTGAAGACGCTTCAAAGATAGTTGGATGCTTTAGTTCAATATGTCTCCATAAATTGCTTGTTGTATTTTGCGATACCAGTTTAGCTTCAGGCATATATGAACAGCCTTCTTGCGTACAAGCATATTGCATCTTATTAGGATAGCCTCTTAAGATAGTACGAGAATGTAGATTCTTTGTAAAAAGAGCAGAATGAGTGACTGGTAGCTGTAGTGTTGCGGTACTGCTTTGTGGTAATGATAGCGAAGACGATGAGAATAGTCCATCATTACTGTTATCTTCATAAATAACATGATCGTCAAAATCCTCAGGGGCGTCAGACAACTCGGAATCACTCATAATGATGATAATTGTAATGATTGAATGTATTAAATGTCAATCTAAAAAGCTATATATTGAGGACGACAGTAAGTCCTCACCGCTAGACGCTTGGACATCTTAGACATTATGGCAAGTATTCGGATCATTCAAATACTTGCCGAATCATGATTCGAATCATCAAGAAATAGCCCGAATCAGATCATGAATCGAATCTGATTCAGGGTGAATCATGCCGAATCACGATTCACTGCACACTGCTTGGCAAAGATCTGTGACTTTAATCATCTGCTGTGAGTGCACTCCAAGAAGCAGCAGAGATGACTCTTATTAAGGAATTTGAGAGTAAGTAGCCCTACAACTTTATAGTACTTATTATAGTAATCAATATAGTGACCTAACTAAATAAGTATCCTTCCCAGGAAAGCATCCCAAGAGAAGAAAGGGGAACACGAGTGTTAGAAGCACATGAACGCCTATGTCGTGAAGCAGAACAAAGAAGAGAAAGGGTACCAGTTCTACGACCATTAGAATATGGTGAACATGATGGATTTTCCTCAGACGGTTATTCCTCAGACGATTAAAAAAACTAGGAGTCCTCGGCAGTAGGCCACTGGCGAGTGACACAAAGAGGCCTAGTACAAATCAGCTATGTGCCACAACGGGTGGCATGCAGGTATATGTGGTTGCTAAGATACAACAGCAACACCTCCGAGCTATGATAGACTCAGGAGCAACGGGCAACTTTATGACAAAGAAAGTAGCAGACACACACGGGTTCAGGACGCAACTAAAGACCGATCCATACCCATTAATGGTTGTAGATGGGGAGCCCATCTCAACTAACAACGGAATGGTGACCCACGAGACGGTCCCATTAGAAATGTTTTCTCGATCTGTCGTGCCTGAGTTCCTGTAAGGACCCCTCCTTTTTGTAAGACCTTCCGATTCCCTTGAATCCTAGACTTCTGTTGATTTTGAACCCTATTATGAAGGTCTTCATGCTGCCAGTCCCAGACTTCTGCAGTCATAAGGACGTTCTGGACCCTTCGTATTGTAGAGTCGATTTTCTGGCGTGTAGGGCTACTAAATATAGGATAGGGTAATTCAATCGCTGTCACCGTTGCCATCGCCATCGCTGGTATCATATACATCTTCATTTTCTTAAGAGCTTTCTGGCAATTTATTGGCCAGATCCCAGACTTTCGGAAGGCACCTTGAATAGTCTCTTTTTTCATAGTCTTTTCCCTGATTTCTGTAAGTCCCAGAAGAACGATGAAACTGTATATTCAATATCTAGATGCCGGGTTGCATCATGTACAGCCTTCCGGTGCCAGTGTTTATACGGCTAAAAAACACCGACATCAAGAGGTTGAAGAACATGCGTCAAGTGGCTAGGAAAAGGAAATGGGTGTATATTAGCTTCTGTAGCTTTAATAATAAACTCCGGGGTCATATGACTACCGTGTTGATCCATTAATAGAACCCTAGGACGTGCATTTGCCCCAGCTTTGTCATACTGACATTCGTTGCACTCAGTTTGCTATCAAACTCAAGAGCAAACTTAGAAATCTCCTCCTCAAACCTACAAGTCACCATACATATCTTGGCTTATCACACCAACAACAGAAGCAATACTACTCAACAATTGCTGCAAACTCTTCTACTACATCTGTTTATGCTACATACATCACAGCATATCATTTGGACACTCATTGAACAAGTTATTAAGAAAATCTCCTCCTTAAGGGGGTGGGCCAATACTACCACATGGCATATCTCTACCAACTAGAGGCCTAGGAACATGAACGATAGCTCTAGAAGCTTCTACAACCCTCTATGATTCATTACATGTCATCACTCCTTAGTTACCCACAAGATTGGTTAAGTTATGACATAATTTGTCTATAGGTACTCTGACCTTGGACCTCCTTTTCACTTCCTATAGGCTAGGAACCCAAGAGATGGTTTTATGGGATTCTCTTACATTCGCTACATGATTAGCAAGCTAGTTGTGGGTCGCACTTGATTTCTAATACATTTACCAAGCCTGGTTAGTCATGGAAAGTCATGGAAAATGAGAGAACTACACTCCTTTGGCATAAATAGGATTGCCCTTTCCTTAAGAAAGGGCAAGCAGACAATACAGTAAATCGACTATCACATACTTCCACGTCTTTTCCAAGCTTCCAAGCATTCATCTTGTTACTCCTTGTTTCTGAAAAGTCAGTGAGGTGTTAACCTCTGACTTACCCCTGAGTTCCCAGACTCAACATTTGTTGCAACTTGTCTGAACCACTTCACTACATCACACACCTGATTGCTGCGTTATGAAATAGTCTAAGCTATGACCCTTTGGCTCTGTTTTCTAAGACAGTGTGTTGTCTTAGTAAATTCATCCCTTCCTTGGGTGGCTAGATTCTCACATCTGGTGCACCCACCATTACAAGCTTGTATATGAAGAATCAAGTAATCAAGATATTCAAGAGCTAATTGAGAGTTGATATATCCGGAATCAGACATTAATACCCTTGTATTTCCGTCTAATAAGGTATACCAATTCGTCATATGATTCACACCTTGTACAATTAGAACAGGAGGAATAGTTGTTCCATTTGCAATAATCGATTCTATAATGGTAATAGAACGTTGATTTTCAGGGCTAGGTGTATACAATGGCTATAGTTTATTAGCTATACTATATTTTATATTATAACTGGATATACATACATCTACTATCCAGGTAGGGACAAGAATATCTTCTCCAGAAGCTACTCCAATTTGAAACCCAGCTTCATCAAAATTGATAATATCACCAGGCTAAATATGATGGGCTTCGCACCAAGTCATCCAACTATTGAACCAATCCTGTACATCCTTAACATCTTGTGCACTGACTCAGTTTCATGCAATTGTCGCGGTCTGCCTTCTAGATCCTTTAGGTATTCGATTATCGCAAAGACCATCTGTTTCATAGCCCCGAGGCCTGTCCTGTGCATATCGTCTGCATATGTAATAATAGCTTTGTGTTGTGGCCTAGAGAGGATTTGATTCTGGCCTCCGTGTATATATGAGGGCGGTTGTCGCGTTGCTTCTTTCGTCATACCCTCGGTTTGAGGGTTTGAGGATTCACGTGGAAAATACGTGCAGCGGTAGTCTCACTCTCGTCAGGATTGGCAGTAGCCCAGGCAATTGCCTGGGCTATAGCCTCTTCGTATTCGTGGGTTGCAGGTGGTGGAATTGTTCAAGATTCAATTGCAATACAAATTGGGTGGTTGAGAAATCTGGGGCGATGCAACTCGCTTGCGCCCACTGCGTAGCAGTGGGTTATTCGACCCATGATTAAATTCCTTTTAATCAGATTGTCAGCCAACTGTCATGACACTCCTTCGATATTTGTGTCATGACCCTTCAATTCACTTTAGTCTCTAGTACTTATTTCACTATGTCATTCACTTCACCTGCTTCGCTCACTTACGCTTCACTTGCTGACCTAGATCAGCCCAAAATGACTACTGGCTTAGGCTCTCTTGTTATTGGCTCACTTCACTAGGGCTCGCTTAGCTAGGGTTCAGTTAATTAGTGCCTTCACTTATTTGGCACTAGGGATTTTTACTGTTATATAAGCACTTATTGCTCATGTCTCTTATTGATCTTTAGCTAGCAAATTATACACTACTTGGCCTTCTTGCAATTCCTCCTGCTTCGACTTACTTTGCATTCCCTTACTTTGAGTCGAACCACTTGGCCAACCTGTTAGTCTCACCACTTGACCCCTGTGGTATAAAGTATATGCTTTGGAGCCTGAACTACCATACCTTGTCCTACTTCTTCGAGCATTGAAGTCTTCACGTTATACTTCGGATACTTCTGCAGACTCGAAGGTCAGCCTCAGTTCGAACTGTCCTTACACCAACCTCCGTACAGTCAACTCCCGTTAAGTCGATACAATTGGTGACACATGTAAATATCGTAAAAGTGAAAATATCGTTATATTGAAATGCCAAGTATTATGTAATCCACCTATCCAATGTCTCCTGAACCAAGGAATTAAGTTGAATTACCTCAATTTCGCCCTCCAAATGCTCTAATGCCCTGAGGTGATTGGCTTGGAGAGCATCCTGACACTCCGTATACTCAATCAGAACTTTAAGGGCATTGCGAGCATCAGAGGCTGAATAAACAGCCTCTTCAGTCTCAGGCTCCTCTTCTTGCTCACCATTTTGAGTAGGATCACTAAGATGCTCATCCAAAATCTCCTGTAGTATACCCTCCTCATCTGTTGTAACTTCTGTATTGTTGATTTGCTCGTCGATAGGATTTAAAAGTTCGAAATAGCCATTGAATCATGTATATTGCCAGCTTGAATAACTTGTTCGTATAGTTGTGAAAGGTCTGTCGGTGTAATTGAGGTTGGAAGAGTGATTAGAGTTGTAAGAAGTGTTGATTTTCGAAAGCAATTGTATATAGTTGATTGTAAAACTTGTTGATTCCAGCTTCGTAAGATCCAGCGAATTGAAAGTCGTAAGCTTGCTTGCTTAATCGGATCCAGATTCAAATTATAACATTCAAGCATAAAACAGAGCCATTGTCGACGGTAATAAGCTTTAAGAGATTGAATAATGCCTTGATCAAGAGGCTGGAATCGACTAGTACTATTAGCTGGAAGCCAACAGATCCGAATATTAGGAGGTGGGGGACAAAGCTCAACACCAGATATGTGTGCAGAAAAGTTGTCCATTGTAAGAAGGACTTGTCGAGTAAAGCCAATATGTTGATAAAATGCTTGAAGCCAGTCAATCATAATTGTTGAATTCATCCAAGCCTTTTTATTCCACCTCCACTCAGCTCCCATTGTAGATATATTAATATTGCGTAAAGATCGAGGTGTTTTTGCTTTGCCGATAATCCAGAGCCGGTCAGATTCAGAAGCATTTGTACAAAGAGTAAGTGTAATTCGAGCTTTTTCCTTCTTTAATCCAGGTAATGATTGCGATGCTAGTCCTCGAGATGGCATCATCTTCCAGTAGAGCCTAGTTTCGTCCATATTATAGATATTCTCCTCCTCAAACTCGCTAGCAATTGTCCGGAGCCCTTTCATCTCTTCTTCAACTAATTCCGGGATAGATCCTGCTTCGCCGTGACGTGTATGTATCTTAATATTATGTCGTGATTTAAATCGTGTAAGCCAGCCAGAGCTAAAGTCGGGAACTTGCTGATCTGCATACTGTGGAAGCCTTCTCCAGATCTCCCTCGCCTTTTCTTGAAGTATATCACCAGATGTAAAGCCACTGCGGCTATCAATTCGTCGCTGAAAGTCGTAGAGAATTTGTTCAAGTTGAGGCCATTGGCCAGTTCGATTTCGTTGTCCAGTTGTTGTCGAGTTGTCGAGATGTTTAAAGCGGTCACTGAGGCTATCTGATATAGTCAATTGACTGAGCCGATGATTGAATTCGTGAAGGAACCAGTTGATGCAGGCTTTCTGGGAGGGTTTCGGGTGCTGTTTGTGTGCCCAATGTCGAAGGGCACGGCGCTGTTCGAGTGTAATCGTGTTCTTTCGAGGCATAATAGAGTTGGATAAGTCGATAATTAAAGGTCAGAAGGTCAATATCGCGAATATCGAGAATTGAGTGCGAAAATCAATTGGTGCTGAAAAAAATATCGACTTAGCGGTGTTATCGACTTATCCGACATCGTCTTGGCGAGAGTGGACTGTACTCTCACATGCCTCTCTCGGCCCCGTACAAAAAGCTCATTTCCGAGCATGACAAGACCTGCACGCCCTAGTCCCAGTCTCCCCCCTCTGACTGGCTGCAACCTCTGCACCTTGACGCCATAAACGCACGCAGTCAAAGGATCATGTCTAAGGAAATGAAACGTTTAAGGGGCGGTGGTTGGGACACTTGCGGCGCAGCTGGGGCCGGGGCTGCCTGTCAGGCTGGTTGGCGTGGGTATTGGAGTAGTGGCGGCTGGCGGGGGCTCCGATGAGGCTGTGGTGGATGCGAGGTGGTTGCGGTGTGCTGTGGATGGGCGGACGGTATATACGCCGCCTGCCAAATTATCCAAGCTCGGTATGCGTTATGCAAGTGAAGAACCGGTCCCTTGCGTGCGACGCATGAAGATGTCTAAAAGAAGCTTGGAGTAGTACAGCTACGACGACTACGACGTCGTTGACCATCTCGATACTACGCGTACACACTCTGTAGTATGGGATGGGGATGACAACATGCTACTACTAACTGCCAACTACTAACTGCCAACTACTAACTACTAGCCTCAGGCCGCCGTCGGTAGTCGTTACCAGTACTATACAGTCCCATACAGTCCCAGCGAGTCATGTACTAGGGCAGTTGTAAGCCATGGAGAAAGACAATACATACGTACGTACAATACTCCAGATTATCTATACTAAACCATACTAAACCATACTAACCATACTAAACCATACTAAACCATACTAAACCATACTAAACCATACTAAACCATACTAAACCATACTAAACCATACTAAACCATACTTACTGCCGTACTCTACTCACACTACACGCTTTGAAAAATTAATCGAAATAGCAAAATACGATAAACGAGAGTGACTTGCTCTCCCGTACACTATTCGACTACCCTACATGTACATGTCACTCCGTCTGCCTCGGATTATCTTTATCTCCTTTCCCTCCTAATATTACCGTCCCACTCTGCAAAAATGCCTTAACCACGCCCTAGCGAAACGGATTAATTGGCTACTAAATCCTCTGCTGTTCCTACTTCATGTACCGCACCGTCCCTCCCACCATCCCCCCCCCCCAAAAAAAATCTCCAAAACCCTCAATGGGCCGCGCCTCTTGCGTTTATAGTGACGCGTAGTTTCCTAACTCGAGAGAGTAACCACTCCCCTCCCCCAAGTCTCTTACCGCTCTCCCCCATCGCCACCACATTTATTACAACCCACCCCCCTTCCACCAAACCTAGGATACATACCTACGACAATCCGATATCCTTAATGTCCTGCCTTTCCCCACGTCCTACTCTCCTTACCATATGTTACGATGCGAAAAGGAACCAAGGTCTTCATACTCGTTAATTTCGTCGTTATTTGCCTTCTTGTGAATGTCTTCAGCACACTTATCGCCCTCCTCTTCGAAGATGGAACTGTCCACGCCATTCCAGCTGCCGATATCATGAGGCCCAGCGAGGACCACACCGACCGCAATGACAGACAAGTTATCCCTCGAATAATACACCAGACCTATGTCAACGACTCCATTCCCGCGCAATGGGTGCCCAGCCAGAGATCGTGCATCGACCTACACCCAGACTACGAGTACAAGGTGAGCTCCCCCCCACGCCTCATCACCCTCAATTCCCCCAAATGGGACACATACTGACGAACACAATCTACAGCTCTGGACGGACACCCTCTCCCGCGAGTTCATCCGCACGAAATACCCCTGGTTCCTCGACACCTTCGACTCGTACCCCTTCCCCATCCAGCGTGCCGATGCCATCCGCTACTTCATCCTCGACCACTACGGCGGCATCTACCTTGATCTCGACGATGGGTGCGTACGGCGTCTGGACGTGATGCTCGAGTACCCAGCCTGGCTCCGACGCACGCTCCCCACGGGCATCAGCAACGACGCCATGGGCGCCATCCCGCACCACCCCTTCTTCGAGCGCGTGATCCAGAGCCTCGAGCGGTACGCAAACAACTATGGCATGCCCTACATCACGGTGATGTCGTCGACGGGCCCGCTCTTCCTCTCCATCATCTGGAAACAGTACATGTCGGAGGAGCGTCCCGAGCAGGACCACGTGCGCGTGCTGATGCCGCCCGAGTACCGCAACAACGCGTGGAGCATCTTCTACATAGCCAAAGGGAACAGCTGGCACGGCAAGGACGCGCAGACTATCTTCTGGATGGGCAAGCACTGGATGCTGCTCACCTTCGGCGGGTTCGCAGTGGCGGGCGTGGTCTTCGCGGTCATGTTCTATGCATGGACGGCGTGGATCGGGACGAGCAAGAAGGACAAGAACGGCCCCGGTTATATACTGCTGCCGCGGCGAGAGTGTGTGGATCGGATGGCGTGATGACAACTGTTGGATAGAACAAGAGCAAGGAAGTCGCCGGCCACGCCAGACCGCGAGCCGCGACACGGCAAAGCTGGGTCGGCTTATTTATTGCCCACCAGCGGTTTTGGGGAGCGGATGGGCGGCGCGCCTCTGGAACGCCATGTCACACACGATGTATGTCTATAACGACGAATTGCTCTTCAGCGGCCACAGAATCAAAAGCACCAACGCGTGCTGCCGTGAAGGGAAAGACTGCATCGACGGTGCTGCCACGAATGCTGGCCGGGGCATCTCCAGTGTCCGATTGGTTTGGGAATTATGTACATTGGGCGTTCAACGGAGCGGGGGGTTTATCAGCGGATAGAATTGTAAATACACATACATGTAAGACTAGTCTTTTCTTCACCTTCAGACTCGGGGGTTTTCTCCGGAGCGCAGCGCCTCGAAGTGGCTGTCTCGTTGCAAGGAGCACGGTCGGATTAATGGTGGGATGGTAATAGAGGACGCTGGGTTCCTCGTATAACTGGAGTAGAATCCTAATACTGATATCTACACTTCAATTTTTTCATGCTGTGACCTTTTTTGAAACAAACTTGTCTCAGGCCACGAAGACAGGCCTTGGATATCCCTTGGGACACCGATCCCCACAGCAGCTCCTACCCAGCAAACCCGATACTCTCAACCCAACCAAAGCATCCCTAGCACGTCAATTCTCAGACCTAAATCCGTGTCCTCCATCACCACCACTACAACCACAACAGCCTAATCCCGTGACAATCACGTGACCCTTCTAACCAAGCCTCCCCCAGCTCCACAGCCTCCCCAGCGTCATCACCACCCTGACCCTCCACCCCGCCGCCGAAGGCTACAAGGCAGCAAACCCCCACCCCCATGACTCCCTAGCCTCTGACCCAACGCAGACCCAACGCAGATGCTAGGGAGTCATGGGGGTGGGGGTTTGCTGCCTTGTAGCCTTCGGCGGCGGGGTGCAGCATGGTGCATGCATGGCGGGCGATGGAGTGGTAGCTATGAGTCTGTGATGACGCTAGAATCTTCAGCGGCGGCGGGGGGTGGCCGGGCAGAATGGTTGGCGTATCTGTGGCGTTGTGTGGCGGGAGTGGTGATTCGGGCGGGGGGTTGTTGGTGGTCGCGAAGAAGGGGCCTGCACAGCCGTGGAGGGGGAGGCGGAGTGGGCGGGACGGTTGGAAGGGCGAGGGGGATGGTGTTGGATGTGTGGTGGTGCCTGTGGGTTGTTAGGTGGTGAGAGATGTGGATGGCGGAAGTGTTTGGTTGTGTTTTGAGGTTTGGAGGAGGGGGGGGAAGTCTGGGATGGTGAGTACATATGGGGTCGTGAGTGCGGTGTCTTCTTGTGTGTTTAGAAGAGTTATATCGTGAGATTTACTGCGGATATATAAGTTTATTTAAGAAATTATCACGTTACATCTCCAGTATCGTTCTCACGTTAAAAATAAGCAGGAACGCAGAGCAAAAGCGGGCGGGCGGGCTGGTCCTAGGACAGCTCCCAATAACTACGAGCCCGTCATTGTTGGTGAGTCGACCGTTACCATATCACTCGACATATAACTCACCATACCACAGACTCAGCAACCTACAAACCCGCACCCATCGAGGAACCCCCCGAAGAAGACCCCGTTGCATCCGCAATCGAAGCACTCGAGCAGATCACTCCCAGTCGATCACACCTGCGATCTTCATATCCTTGATAATTATATTGTGCTGGGATAGGTCCCCATGCGAAAATACTATCGGTTATCAGATGGATACACTCGCTGAGAACGAGGATTTTGAAGATAGAGAGGATCTTATTACAGCAACAGAGCAATTACTAGCTGACGAGTTACAAGCCCAGACTGCGTATGAAGAATTCAGTTTTCGTCAAAGTACAAGCCAAATTAAGCAGTCGTCAAATGCTGCTTTAGCACCTACAACACATGCTGCATATAATCGGGGGGGGGAAGCGGTTTGCGCCACCTCAACTTGCATACATTCACCGCTACTCCTTACCAAAACCTTCGGCATTCCCCCCCATAGTAATTTATATAGTAATTAAATGTAATTCATTTAATGGAAGGGACTTCTCTATCAGATGCCTGTGAATGGCTTGCAGCAAATCCCTCTGAATCTGTAGCTGTTGCAAGTCGGATTTTTAAGATCCACTACCCAAAATGGGGGTCAGAATAGGGTGCTTTCTACAGCTCAAACAGAAGCCCTAAAGGCCTGGATTCTAGAGCAGTATCACCTAGGATTAGGGGCTAATAGGCATATGGTTTACGGGGCAGTATGCCACCTACGGAGCCCACTGCCTCCACCGTCACAGAGCTGGCTCACTAAATATATACGGAATGAGCTTATAGAGTTTCACTTTGTTACTACAAAGCCTATTGCACAACAGCGTACGAAAGCTCAACAGGAGCCTACTGTTATTAAGTGGTTTCAAGAGTACACAGCATTAGTACTACAGCGTGGTATAAAACCAGAGTCAATCTGGAATATGGACGAAACTGGTTTTAGGATCAGAATTCCAGGAGGTGAGAGAGTTATGGTCCCCCGAGCTGTAAAGCAGCTCTACACTCCAAGCCCTGAGAATCGTATATCTATTACAATTATAGAGGCAGTATCTGCAGTTGGACAGAAGATTGCACCTGTACTTGTTGTACCGGGTAAAATTCATATGGAGGCATGTGTCATACTGACATTCGTTGCACTCAGTTTGCTATCAAACTCAAGAGCAAACTTGGAAATCTCCTCCTCAAACCTACAAGTCACTATACATATTTTGGCTTATCACACCAACAACAAGAGCAATACTACTCAACGATTGCTACAACCATCTATGATTCATTACACGTCATTGCTCCTTAGTTACTGGGCCAATATTACCACATAGCATATCTCTACAACCCTCTATGATTCATTACATGACATCACTCATACTACCACATGACATATCTCTACCAACTAGAGGCCTAGGAGCATGATAGATGTTAACAGTTCTTCCTTCTGCGATGGCATCCTAGATGTCATATTCGCAGAGTTTATTCTTTAGCTAATTAGTGGCTTCCTTTTCTGTGTGTTGTCCACCTTAGGGTTCCTGCTAATGTAGGTACCCTAGGCAACACCTCATAGAACAGACCTTGACTTCCCAATCTTGTTTAGTGCCTGTCCATCGTTCTAGGCATCTTGATACTAGGACCTTTTTGTCCTAGTTCTAGAGGATGCTCTTCTTCATTTTTTAGTCGAGGGGGTCAAAATCCTCCTTGCCTAAAGAGATACACTCTTCCTTATCAAGGACCTCATAATTCTCGTCTAAGCTCTGCCATTTAGGGGTGCTTTCATCATTCATTCCCCTGTCTAACATATCAAATTCTTTAAGATCCTAAGTACTGATACTCTAGATCTTTCCTATAACGTGGCACACAGCTGTCCTTGCAGGGCATCGTACCCGCCCTGATTATTCCAAGTGGTATTAAGCTGCTTGCTAAACTTACGTCCCCTGCTTCCCTTTTTAGGCTGTCTACAGTCCCTAGCCGTGTAGCCGGACTTGTTGCAATTAAAACAGAGCTGTTACTTAAGCTGTCGCTCCTTGTTAGGGTTATGTAGGCGGTTGCCTTGCTTAAAGGTGGCATCAAGTTCCATAGGGTCAAACCATCAGTTGTCTTGAGAATGGTTGTCTCTCTTTTGACCTTCATTACCTCGATACTTGTAACTCTTCTTCGGGTTGTCGTAAGTTCGTTGTTGCTTCTAGATGCGAGTTCTGTATAGACATGGCTCTTTAGTCCATGACGATAGTGGCTAATGAGTGTGTAGGTATCCTAATTGGTTTAGTTGCCATATCTTTGGAATTCTATAGTGTATGTGAGGGCGCTACTAGTCTGCTTCAGTCCATACAGATGTTCTTCTGTAGTTTTAACCTCATTGATAATGCTAAACATATGGCGGATCTCCTTCTTAAATTCCTTCTAAGTACCGAACATAGTTCTAGTGGTCACCATCGTACCATAGGTGTTCTCATGTTAGAAATAGTCCTTAAGGAAGGGTTCTACCCATCGAAGGGTTTCCTCTCTAAGGTAGGATGATGTCTACAAGGCATAACTCTCGTTAATTAGAAACTTGTCATCATTGAAGTGCAAGTATAGCTCGATCTAGAGCAGAAACACTTGAAGTTCCTTGTGGTTGCTAGAGTAAGTGTTAGGCAACTTAACGTGTAGGGTTTCCTAGAGTTCTGTGACGACTGGTTCTGTGTTAGGCATGTATTTGTCTTAAGGCGGGATCGCCTAAGATGGCGTAAGCGTTAGCGTAGCAGGAGTTGGTGTAGCTAGGGCAGCCCTGATCTTTCCTTAGATCCTATAGCTAACATGTTGCTTTGCAGTGTTGCTAGTAGTTCAAACAGTTCAGTTCAGTTCAAATTTGAGGCTGAACTGAACGCCCCACAATATGAAAATGCATGAACTGAATTGAACGCCCCACTTTATGGTATTGAACTGAACTGAACTGAACTGAACTGAACGAACGCCAGTTCATTAAAGCTATTTTGCTGTCATCTAGGAACCTGCAAGCCAAGTAGTGCAATGGCTTCCAAGCCAGCTCTTTAGACATTCTAATGCCTCAATGGTCTCTGTGCCTAGCCTATTTCTTCTCTCTGTAACTGTAATTCCTGCACCTAAAAACAGACGTACTGGCTCTGCTGACATAGCTGGTATTGACAATATATCAAATGCCATAACTGGTAGATTTGGATACGTTGCACGCTGTGTAGGCTCCATCCACCAAGTGATAGAATCCACCTCAACGGGGCAACAAACCCCTTGGCAATATCGTGAATATTCATCAACTATAGGTGCTTGTCTTGCCTTCTCAGCTCTCCACTTTGCAAACCCAGTCTTTGGCGTGAGCGGAGTTATTGGAAGTATAACTTCTGTACTTTTGTACTGAGATTGCCAAAAGTCCTGCACTGTCTTCTTTGCATCCGCTACCCAGATAGGGTCCCAGTTGTCTTCTAAATAGCTCCATTTTTGACTTGGAATGAGAATCATTGCTGCAATGTATACAGGGCTTCGATCTGTAAGGCTATAGTACTTATCCAGCTTTGCCCAGCCAGAGTTAATGCAAGGAATCATAAATGAATCTGAAGCGTAGGTTGTCTTGCCATCTTCAAGCTTCTCTAATATATAATCCATAGATGGTAGGACTCTTTCCAAAGTGGCACTACGGCCTTCTGTAGCTTTTGTAGCTTCATAAAAGTCTCCAAGAAACCCATAATGTTACTTAAATTAGCCCAATCAGAACTAGACAATACATCGCCTACTAAATCACCTCCTTCTTGAAAGCAATATAGGTCGATAGCAGGTTTAACGTCTTCATGAAGAGCTGAAGTTATCATTGAAAACCAAGAGTTCCACCGTGTCGTATTGTCTCGAAGTAATCGACGTCCTTGACTGAGTTTCTGAAAGGCTAATCGCTGTTGTGGAGACCTTTGAATATAAACTACAATGTTATGTAACTTTCCAAGAGGGCCTTTTCGACGCCAAGTCTCCATTTCCAGCTGTGTAGGAATATACGAAGAACTTAGGTTGTTTGTCTCTGAAAGAGCTTCATCTTCAGTTGAGAAAAGAAAAGCCTGAGCTGTAAGATTGATAATGTGGCCATTGCAGTGAAGACAGTATTTCTTTGCATTATATGGAATATGGCGCTCCTCTAAAGCTATACTAGTGTTAATATTAATAGTATAAATATAGGAGAGAGTACTAACTAGCTGAAAGACTCTGCATCATCGTCTCGTTGTTTTCTGCATTATCCATCATAAAATACCCAACTTTACTTGCAATTCCAAACTCATCAATCACTTTTAGAATGAGCTGTGATTGGTTTGCCCCTGTATGCCGACCTTCTAATTCTCGTAGCGCTAGAACTGACTCTCGAAGCTGACCATCTTCTGCAAAGTAATGGGCTATTATTCCAAGTAGAGCGAGGGAGTTTGTTGACGTCCACAAATCAACTGTAAAATGAACCTTTGAAATAGCCCCATGGACAGCTTGTTGTACTTGACGTTTCTCTACACGAAAGGACTCCATAGTCCAGTTACGCACAGTTTCATGGTTAGCTGGAAGTGCACTCTCAGCTTCTGGGTTTAGAAACATAAGAAGCTCTCGGAATTCTGGCCTTTCTGACATTCGTAGAGGAAGAGAACAGCGTGCAATCCATCGTATAAAGAGCTGTTGAAAAGTTGCAATATCAAAAGACGTGTCAAGCTTACGATGCTTCGTGTAAAGCAAGGCCTCTTGACCTCGTTCAAAAGCTTCTGCAATTGACATGGTTTGTGCAAGCAACTTAGTCCCTTCCTTTGGATCCGTAATAAAGTGACACTTTAACAAGTGCTTCTTTGGGCCTCTCGTTCCACCTGCCTCATGATACTCCTTCTTGCAAATCCCACAACGCCAAACAACCACTTGTTGACCATTGAAGTATACTGTATTTGGATCACCTGGCATATGCGACCAGATAAAGGAAGTGCGAGAGCGCTTCTGGTTTGAAGTAATGGAGCCGAGTTGTGATGATGAAGATTGACAATCAAGGCCTGAGCTAGCAACATCTTGGTTTAATAACTTAGATTGTATACTAGGTGGTAGTGATTGCTCAGTTGAAGCCTGTGACGACATTTTGGTAACTTATCAAATGTAACAAAATTGCGCCCGTGAGCATCCAAAAGTCCCGGGGAAAAAAAATTCAGCGCTAAAAGCTATGGTAATATATTATGTCTGGCCCACTATTAACCCCCCAAGAACTGTCAGTTCGTTCAGTTCAAAACAGTCAGTGCGGACAACTTGAACTGAACGCCCCACTATATGAGAACTTGTGAACTGAACTGAACGCCCCACTTATAAAAGCTGAACTGAACTGAACTGAGCCGATTTGAACTGATGAGCCGATGAACTGTTGCTTTGTGTGTAAGCTGGTACCTTGTAGAAATAGTGCTTAAAGTGTAACACTAACTTCTAAACGATAGAAGACACAGAGGTTTTATATGTAAGGTTGACTTAATAGAGGAGGCAGGGGATTAAACACAAAGGCTTTCTAAGTAACACGTTATAGTATTATAAAGCATACTATATTAAGTTAAGCATAAAGCTCCTATCTAAGGGAATACTATCTACTTATATAGTAGTGTCGTGCTAAAGGGAACTGTAGGGAACTATAGGAACTGTATGAGTTCTAACAGTTCCTATAGTTCTACCCTAAGGAACTGTAGGAACTGTAGGAACTGTACAAGTTCTAACAGTTCTCATAGTTCCATTCTAAGGATCACGTGGGGTCATGCGACGTGACTCACTCGGCTAGTAGTTCTCCGAGAGCCGTAACATAAACAGCCTGTCGTTAGAGTGTAGCCTACAGTAATGTTGGCTCTCTCTGTAAGTGTCATCTAAGAGACAAGGGCGCTAGCAAAGAAGTAAGGGAGTTGAAGTCGCACATCCATTAGTCTAGTCTGGCCTGATAGAGTTTAGTCTGATCTTTGGTTGGACGGATCTCTTGGATGAAAAGTCTCTTTATAACTTTATTAAGTTATATGAACAACACCGGATTCTCCCTAGGGGGTTTCTTGTGCACCCGTAAGCCTGATTACAATTGTCAAATTATACAATTGCTCTGTTGAACAATGTTTGTCTCACGATGCATCTTTCTCGTCACTCCTTGGACACCAATCGCTCTTCTTGACTTTATTTCTTGATTCCATACTTTACTACGTACGGATACCTGCGTGGTATCCCGGCCCCTCGTTTTGCAAGCTTCACCAATATCTGGCGACTTCTTCAAGCTAGGCAAGGAAAGCGCTTTTTATCTGTCCATGCTGCCCACAAGAAGTACGGAAAACTTGTCCGTATCGCCCCGAATCATGTCTCCATCGCCGACGACTCCGCCATCCAACCTGTCTACGGCCACGGCAATGGTTTCTTAGAATCTGACTACTATGACGCCTTTGTGTTCATTCAGCGTAGCTTGTTCAACACCCGCAACGGAGCCGAGCACACCCGGAAGCGCAAGACTATTGCTCACACCCTCTACACTAAGTCCATCTCCCAGTTCGAGGAGTACATGACATCAAACCTGGCTGCATTCACGAACAGTGGAACAGCTTCTCTGAACGCTCACATGGAGGGTTCTACAAGCTTAGATGCCCTGCACTGGTTCAACTACCTTGCATTCGATATCATCGCCGATCTAGTTTTCTGGCAACCCTTCCGCATGGTCGAAAAGGGGAAGATATCGCTGAGATCCGTAAAACACCAGATTCTCCAGTTACCTACGCCCCAGCTGTCGAAGTCCTCAACCGTCGCGGCGAAGTAAGCGGCACCATCGGCTGCTTGCCAAGCATCAAGCCATTCGCCAAATATCTCCCTGACCCATTCTTCTACCAAGGTGTTGAAGCTGTTCAGAACCTTGCAGAAATGGCAGTTGCCCGAGTCTCAGCACGCCTCGACTGATTGTGTCGATCTCCTTGCCCGCCTGATGGAGGGTAAAGACGAGACGGGTGCCAAACTCGGCCGTGCAGAATTAACCGCAGAAGCCCTGACCCAGCTGATCGCTGGCAGCGACACCACCAGTAAGACTTCCTGTGCACTCCTCTACTGGGTCCTCAAGACACCAGGTGTCCTCGAAAAGCTGCAAGCCGAGCTTGACGCGGCCCTCCCAGTGGGCACTGTCGTGCCACAGTATATTCAAGTTCGTGACCTCAAGTATATGCAGTGCGTTATCAACCAGACTCTCCAAATCCACTTGACGTAGTCACTTGGGCTGGCCCGTGTTGTGCCTCCTGGCCCGGGTTCCCGCATATTGGATCAGCATTTCCCCGCTGGCAGCGTCGTCAGTGTTCCAGCGTATACTGTGCATCATTGCATTGAGATTTGGGGCCATATGCAGATGAGTTCAGGCCTGAGCGTTGGGAGAAGGCAACTAAGAGACAGAAGGCTGCGTTTATTTCGTTCAGTTATGGTCCTCGAAGCTGTGTGGGCAGGAATGTGACGGAGATGGAGTTGGCGCTGATTGTGGCGACGGTGTTTAGAAGGTACGAGTTTGAGCTGTACCAGAAGGTGTTGGAGACAAGAGAGGGGTTACTGAGGAAGCCATTGGAGTGTATGATTGGCATGAGGAAGAGGGCGAATGTATAAATAGGAAGGTGTTGTCTATCTGCCAGCGATTTATACCATGCGCTAAGCCTGTCGTATCAATGGAGTGTATAGCAAACAATGAGAGTTCATTTTGAACAAGTTGTACAGATGAGATGTTGTGCAATGTAAGAAATAATCTTTCTTGTGGATATATGATATCTCGGTGGACAGTTTGCATGGCGCTGGGGATATATGAAAGGAGTATCTCATCCTCAGGGCAGGTTTATATATATCTCCATGGGAGCTAAGAAACTACATAGATACCTTATATGGCAGTATATGCGTCTAATCTTTAAATTAAAAGGTTGGATGGTCTAACGGTAAGATGTCCGCCTCCGTAAGCAATCGATTTTGGGCCATTCAAGGCGATTTTGGGCTAACCCCTGCATCTCTGCCTTGGATACCAAGAGCGGTTGGGGAACGGTGGGAGATTCCAGTTCAAATCTGGATCCAACCGATTTTTTATTTTTTTTGCTATTTTTTTGGTCTGGTTCGATTCGTCGTGTATGGCGTGATGACAATAGATGTAGGGATCTGTGACGCAAAGGCTTGGGCGCACAACGAGTCGCTGGCCCCCCTTTGGGTTTATATTTCACGCTGAGAATATGATTTTAAGTTCGATTACGTTTTAGATTATCTTAGACATAGACATGGTTCTTTGATAAGAACTGCCGTATTTAGAGTCACTGGGAACATCTATCATCTTCGAATCATAGGGATAAAAGCTTCCTTGGTGGAACGTGAAGGGATCATAACCAAAAATGCCATGACAGAGACCTGAGGAAGTCTGTAGTGATCCAACTTCGAAACACTGCCCGTAAATAAGTCTGGCCATGGTAGCGCTGTTTGTCGGATTTCGGCCTGTGGCATCAACACTGGAATGTACTTGATTCTATGTGGGTTGCCCATGGCGGATATCAAACGTCTTCTCTATCAATATGATGAATATCTTACTTTGGTGTGTAGCACCACATTTACATATGTGTAATACAGTTCATGTCGTGTAAACACTCGTTGCTCCTATGTATACAGGTTTCATAAAACTTCCTGCTATGCTGCTACAGCATTAACGGCCATCTGTAATCTTGCGCAATCAAATTGGATCAGTCTTGCCCTTAAGAATAATTCAAATCAATTGCATATACAACGTTGCATGAGACACTAGAGTTTTAATGCTGTTAAACTGGACCTTGAACCATTCAACTCGTATAGCTCTAATAATTCCAGGACATCAGGTGAATGTACGCGAGTAAGAATGCTGATATAAAGCAAGGGGTGGCGAACGACGCCACCACCATAAATTGGCTCAAGCTATTGCATTGGACATGACCAGCAAGCTAAATCCAAGCAATGTACCATATTGGGCATACCGGTGATAATTTTTATGCCATTGGTCTACTCTTGAGGTGTCACGAAACTTCCCAAAGAGTATAAATGTCCACTAGCTTGGCAAATCAGAACTGTTATTCTAGAATCGCGTTGGCTCCCTCTTTAAATTTTCAGGGCCTTAATAGTGCCGTTTGTAATACACCAGCCCCCTTCCTTCCAGCGACAAGGCCTTTGCATATTGTAACCACATATTGTTTCTTGGCACTGGTACGGGTACAACACATGCCGTGCAGTTGAGAAATGTGCCCTTCCATCCATATGTATGTGAAAAGGCAGGTATGTTGCAATATATTCCAACATGATGTAATCTTAAGGGGACGGCCTGAAGGAACTACTTAACTGCTAGCTTGTGCACATTCCTCTTTGTTGAGATTACCCTACGGTCATTATCAACCATATTCTGATCAGACCTCACTTGCTTAGAACTCTTTAACTGTGGTGATGGGTATCTCGATTGAAGACGAGAAGTCAACAGCTGGAGCTTTGACTGTTGAAGATGAGCGGTTCGACACCCCACCAACTGTTGCCACTGAGAGCATTGATAGCAAAGATCTCGATAGGGCGTTCATCTACCTCGCTGGCCAGGACCAGAGCCGTCTCGATGATAATGTGGATCTTAAAGCTTTGCGACGTAAGATCGATTTGCGGATCATCCCAGTTATGGCTGCTTGCTATGGGTTGCAGTTCCTTGACAAGGTTCTCATCAACGTGAGCATGGCCCCTGAGCATTAGAAACTATCGCAGCTGAATTACGTTCTTGATGACAGTATTCAGGTGTTATGGGTATACGGGAAGAACTTCGCCTTGTTGAGAATGACTTCTCAAATGCGTCTTCTGTATTCTACATATCCTATTTAATTGCGATGGTTCCTAACGGTTAGTCCCTCACCTTCAACTTTATGAGACTTAGGTTCTGAACTTGATACAGGGTATATACTCCAAAAGGTCACTGTGACAAAATGGCTATGTATCCTTGCCTTCCTATGGGGTATTGCAACAGCCTGTACTGCGGCAACATTCAGCTATCACTCCCTCTTGATAACTCGCATATTTGCCGGACTTTTTGAATCGCCCGTCTCGCCTTGCATGATGTTAATAAGCAGCCAATGGTACACTTCACAGGAACAAGCATCGCGCTATAGCTTCTGGTTCTGTGGTGCAGGGGTGGCCCAGATATTAGGTGCCTTCATCTCTTACGGATTCCAACACGTCCGTAGTACGACTTTGATATCATCATGGAGGATTATGTATTTGACCCTCGGGCTTATCACGTCCTTGGTAGGAGTTGTGGGCTTCTTTATTCTTCCCAAATCACCTATGACAGCGAAATTTCTCACCAATTCCGAGAAGGTTGCTCTCCTTAATCACATCGCAGTCAATCAAACTGGCATTGAGAACCGCCACTTCAAGTTGAGTCACTTGAAGGAGACCGTCCTCGACATCCAGATATGGTTGTTAGTGCTAATGACTATCTCGGTATGTACTCACCATTACACACAGTTCGCAACTGACATTGATCTCCAGATAACATGCTCCAGCGGCGTTATCTCCTCCTACTCTTCCATTGTGATCGCGAATCTTGGTTACTCTGCCCCAAAAGCAGCCCTCCTCAATGCCCCGAGTGGCCTCGTCACCATCAGCACTTCGCTCATCGCAGGCTTTGGGGTTCGTTACAGCTCTAACCGCCGCTGGGCCTGGATAGCCACATTCTGCATTCCAGGCATGATCGGCGGCGCCTTGATGTCTTTCATGCCTCACAGCAAACCGGCTGCTATCATCATCGGCACCCACCTCGTCTATGCTATTGTCCCAACGCTGATGCTGACTTTCCAGTGGGCGATGTCAAACTGTGTTGGACAGACAAAGCGAGTCCTTGCTTCTGCATTCGTCACTGCAGGATATGCAATTGGAAGCATAATTGGCCCCCAGACATTCCAGGATAGAGATAAGCCAGAGTATAAGCCAGCAAAAATTGCAATACTTGCTACCCAGGGCGGGGGTGGGTTCTTTGCGATACTGCTGTTTGGGTACTATTATTGGGCCAATAAAAAGAAGGATAGAGTAGAAGTTGCTTTGGGGCCACGCTCTGGGACCGAAGAGGGAAGGCAGGAATGGGGGGGCAAGACGGATAAGGAGAATTTGTCGTTCAGATACGTTTACTAGACGTTGTGAACAGAGTCTGATGGTTTTCCGCAAAGTCATGTGCCATAGAAGTCTGAGTAGCTTAATTCTTGTCGAAGGCTGGCTATGTAACATGAGTCTCAGCATATGGATGGAACCAAGGTGCCTTTATGGCAGCAATAATAAAAAAACTCAAAAGGCTCAAATCTGCCTACCTTGGACGTCCGTTTTCAACCACAACGCTTATTATAGATTCATAACGTCATTCTGCAAATCCAACCTGTCATTTTAGTCACAGTTCGTATTTGCGCCTTGTTTTGGTTCATATAAACCACGTTCAAACCATAGGTTAATAGATAGTAACTTGCGAGTCCGGTTTATGTTTTGTATTGGACAATATCCGTAGGAACCGTGGCAGTAGGTAGAGAATATAAACCGAAAAATATAGTCGCGAAGCAGTGGGGCCTGAACGCATATTCTTATAATTGAAGCTATTTTAACTACTATATATATATACTGGTTCAAATAACGTAACGTATGGGGTAGTCGGACATACGGGGTAGTCGGACAAAAATGCCCGACTACCAACTCAGAACCTTCATACCTTCCACCATAAACATCCCACAACCATACAGTCGTGCTCAAATTGAAGACAACATCCAAAAGGCTGTCACTGCGCTCCAATTGAAGGAATTCAAATCAATTAGACTTGCTGTAGACCACTTCGAAGTTCCTAAGTCAACTCTTGCTGATAGGATGTCTGGGAAGAAAACGCGTGCTGTAGCTCACGAAATTGAACAAGCTCTCTCAAATGCAGAAGAAAATACACTAGCACGATGGATTACACGTCTCACTGCCACGGGTTTTCCTGCAACTCCTATGTTGATCAAGAAAATGGCTGAAGAAATTCGCATACGACGTGTCCAAATCGCGTCTTCTCAAACCACTCTTCAGACCAATCCTACCCCCATAGGCCATGAATGGATCTATAGATTCTTAAAACGACATCCAAACTTTAAAGGGATCTACTCAAGACAACTAGAGTCTGCACGACATAAAGAAGCCACTCCTATAAAGATTTCAGCTTGGTTTGACGTGTTTAAAGCACGAATTGAAGAGCGAAAGTACAAGCCATGCAACATCTATAATATGGATGAGACAGGTTTTGCAGTTGGAGAGACTCAATCCACGCGAATAATTGTTGATTCTACCTTGAAATCCAATTGTAAGGTCACAGCTGGGAAGCAGGGGTGGATAACTGTACTTGAATGTATTGATGCAGACGGTGGTGCTTTACCACCTATGATTATATTCAAGGCTAAGAATACCAATTCAAGTTGGATTCCAAAGGACACCCCTACAAACTGGCACTTCTCAACAAGTAATAGTGGCTGGACTTCAAACAGTCATGGATTTGAGTGGTTGCGGAAGGTATTTGAGCTTGAGTCACGCAAAAAGTCTGGAAATCACCCGCGAATGTTGATTATGGATGGCCATTCTAGTCACATTACTGGCGATATGATTGCACTGTGCATTGAGAATGATATCGACCTTCTTATTCTACCGCCTCATTGCTCTCATCTACTCCAACCACTTGATGTTGGGGTGTATGGACCTCTTAAGCGATTTCATGCTCAGGAAGTAGATTGGTATACTCAAGCAGGAATAAAGCGAATCCAGCGCTCACACTGGGTTGAAATCTTCCGGTGTATTCGAAAGAAGGGTCTTATACCTCAAAACATTAGAAGTGGGTGGAGGGCAGCGGGTTTAATACCCTTTCTCCCAGAAAGAGTTCTGGCTAACCTTCCACTTCCACCAACCGAACCACCTCGCACTCCTCAAAACTCAACCAATATCACTACTCTGGATCTCTCAATACTCCGAAGTTCTCCTCCAGATGGAACTGAACTAAGGCATGCAAATTTAGTATTTAATTCAAGTATTGCAACTTGTGACTCTCCTGCTTCACCAACTCGACGCTATGCCAAGAGAATGACTAGGCTGGTTGAAAGTCAGAATGCTGAACTCAGCATCCTTCGGAAGGAGGTGAAAGAGTACAAAGAGATACTTGAGACACGAAAGAAAAGAACTACGGGCAAGAGAATTAAGTTGCAAGGCGAATTTGTATTCAGTACTGAGGAAGTGTTGAAAATTGTCCGGGAGGCAGAGTTGAAGTCAACTGAGAAAAGACCACGTGGAAGGCCACGCAAACGGCCAATTGAAGAAGTAGATGAGGAAGTTAAAGAGGAAGAGGTAGAGAACGATTCAAGTGACCCAGAATTGGAATTGGAGGAGTGTGTGGCACGTAGGACTCAGTCAACTAGAGTAGAATAAACTTTTTGTCCGACTACCCCATATGTCCGACTACCCCATATGTTACATTACCATCGTAATGTGACGATTACAGTAAAAATGAGCGACTCGGAATTATCAGATTTGCCATCAGATCATGAGAGCTATTCTCAAATAGAAGAGCTATCGTTACCACATCTTCCACCTCAACCTACCCCTATTCAGCCTTCAGTTGAAGCAGTTGACGTATGGATTAATCTACCTCAACATCCAAGGGTAGTACTACCACCGACATCATCGAAGCTCTTCACAAAGGGCTTATATCGTCGGGAATTACTTGATACTCGGCCTCCGACCATAAAAATGATATGCCTACAACCAGGCTGTGGATATTCACTACCGCCACAAGGATTAAAGCAATCGTCGAGCAGTAATCTATGGAGGCATTATTCCTTAAAGCATCCAACAGTATCATACGCCCTTAAAAATGAGAAGTGACAGCCGTTTAGTGCGTCAAGCAGTACATCATCGTTCTTCAACCCACGCCCATCAGCTCTACTAAAGCAACCTGGTAATCCTTCAAAGTATAAGGAGTTATTACTACAGTTCATTGTGTCGAATAATCTATCGATACGCCTTGTGGAAAGCTATTCATTCCGTGAATTAGTTCAATTCTTAAGCCCAACAACTATGACAATATCAGCTCGTACGCTACACCGAGAACTACAGCGTCAGTTCTTATATCACCGAGGCCAGCTACAACTTGAGCTCCATTCTCATATTAAGAGAGGAGGCCAGATATCAATAACGACAGATGCATGGTCTGCACGGAATTATACAGACTATGCTGCGATTACTGCACACTGGATCAACGATAAATGGCAACAGAAATCTAAACTCATTAAGCTTCTTATGAGCAGTGATACAAGCTAGGCCGATCATTGATGATATACCAACTTCCTTCTGTAAAGCCTCAAGCTTCTTTATCATCTTTAGATACTGAGGAATTGCGAAGTTGAGCGTTGGATATAAGCTTGCTTGTAGCTTTTGCGACGGCTTAACAAATATAAAGAAGAAATTCTAAAGAGCGTGGAGCGTTATCCAATCCTCTGGTGTAAGAGCGATATCTCTCATACTTAGATCCATTTTCTGAGTAGCACAGATCACTGTAATTGGCATCTGTAGCTTAATAGCTGTTGAAACCATTTCGTACGTTGAGTTCCACCAGACTGGCATATCGAGTGATAGTTGTAGCTTCTTAAGACCAGCTGCTATAGTCTGCTTTTGAAGAGCATCTTTCCATTGCCTTCGATTTCTGAATACATAGATATGTCTACGTAGCTTACCAAGAGTATTCTTAACTTCAATATTACTATCGAAGCTTACTCGAATCCACGCAACTCCCTGCTCACACCGATAACTCTCAACTTGCTCAGCAGGGGCTGCTTTTAAAGTCTTAAGAGCATCTTGAACAGCAATATTGATAATATGGGCTATGCATCGTACATCTCCTTCCTTGACTCTAAATGTCCAGGGTTGTTGTGTTGTAACTTCCTGGTCTCTGGCTATTTTCTCATATTCTGCAAGCATAACAGTATTAGCTGAGGCGTTATCCCTTGTACAGGTAAAGACAGCTCCTGTAATACCCATATCGCCCGTTACAATTGCTAATTGTTGAGCTAGTTCGCCGCTATGGATAGGCTCTTGAAGATGTACAACGTCATACTATACGCTTGCTACGAATCAACGATAAAGTCATTCAGGGGTAGCTACAATTTGCGATCCACATATGAATCTTAACGTATTCAACAGTCTTTGGCCAAGCAGTACTGAAGAAGTCAAACAGAATAGGGTTAAGCAGCAGTTCCACGACATCTTTATTCAATATAGAGACCACCAATACTATCTTGAAGAAGAGAAAAGGGAAGCTGAGGCTGATTTACCACAATTACCTACAGAACCTGACTCCGACGACGATTTATATCTCTCTCATAGTATTTACCAAGAACCAGAATGGAAGCGCTGGCTTGTTGAGCTCCGGCCAGGTCCAGCAACAGATATCCTCAAATATTGGGCGGCAAAGCAATATCAATATCCAATTATAGCTGCAATTGCTCGAGACCATTTGGCAATTCCTGCAACATCAGCTCCATCAGAATGGGTCTTTAGTAATGGAGCTGATATTCTTACGAAGAAAAGGAACAGGCTCTCTCCTGAAACGCTTCAATATTTACTCTGTTTACGAGATTGGGGTCATATACTAGAGGTTGAAGAAAGTGAAGCCAAAGATGCTCATGATGAGGGGGAAGAGTAGTTATATAAGTTATTTTATCTATTCTATTTTTATATTTTAAGCCTCATTATCCTGAAGATCCGGATATACTGTCTTCTTCAATATGGCTCTAGGTCTTTCCTCTTTAGGGCCGATGTAGTCAGTCCTTCTGCTAAGAGCGTTGGCTCTTGCGTTCTCAGAGCCCTTGCAATATGTAATCATGAAGTTGTAGGCTGCGAGTTGTCTCTGCCAATCGGACTTGTCTGCGGTTTAAAACCTTGGTTGTGGTGAAGTATATTAGATTCTTATGATCCGTCCATACCTGTACTGGGTAGGTCGATCCTTCAAGATATACTCGCCATTGCTCAAAAGCAACGACAATAGCTATCAGCTCCTTGTCGTAGATGTCGTAGTTGAGCTCCGCAGGTGACAGTTTTCTAGAGTAATATGCAACTAGCTTAAGCTTATCGTCTTTGTCTGGCTGACTTAGACAGGCTCCAATCGCGAAGTCAGAGGAGTCCGTTTCGAGGACAATCCTCTTTGCAGGGTCGAATGTGACTAGGATAGGTGCTTCTGTGAACTTCGTCTTAAGTTCCTGAAAAGCAGCCTCTGCCTTGCTTGTCCATTCGAACATAAGGTCTTTCCTTGTAAGCTCTGTAAGTGGTTGAGCTACCTTGGAATATCCCATAATAAACCTTCAGTAGAAGTTGGCAAAGCCTAAGAAGGCTTGTACTTCTTTGACCGTGGTTGGTGTTGGCCATTCCAACACTGCTGTGACCTTTGCTTGGTCCATTTTGATGCCATGCATTCTGACAATGTAGCCTAAGAATTCTACTTGATCCTTGTGGAATTCGCATTTTTCTGGCTTGAGGAGTAACCGATGCTTCTTTAACTTCTGTAATACCTTCCGAACATGACCAATGTGTTCCGTTGGGTCTCCTGAGTAGACTAACATATTGTCTAGGTAGACAATAACAAACACATCCAAGTATTCATGGAGAGCTGCATTCATGAGCCTCTGCATGGATGCTGGTGCATTTGTTAAACCAAAGGGCATAACTAAGTATTCGAACAAGCCATAGCGGGTGCTGAATGCTGTTTTCCACTCATCCCCTTTCTTGATTCGAATCAGGTTATAGGCGCCTCTGAGGTCCAGCTTGGTAAATATCTTGGCTCCCTGGAACCGGTCGTGTAGTTCGTTTATCAAAGGTAAAGCATATCTATCTTTGATAGTGACATTATTTGTTCCTCGATAGTCCACGCAGAGTCTTAGCTTCTTGTCCTTCTTTGGCACAAATAGTATTGGACTTCCTGCTGGTGATGTTGATGGTCCAATGAACCATTTCGCGAGGTTCTCGTCAATGTATTCCTTCAGTACGTCCAGCTCTGCTGCTGACATCTGATATATTGGTCCGAACGGTGGACTCTTTCCTTCCATGATAGGTATCTCATGATCCCATGGTTGGTGCTTAGGAAGCGCCTCTTCGTTAGGGCCTTCCCGGAATAACTGCTCGTATTCCTTATACTGGTATTTGCTTCAGTGAGGATGCCTGGGCTAGGTCATCAGACTCGGTGGTCGCACATAACTCCTTCCGGTCTTTGGAGGTTTTCTCCTTCTGCGGCATGTCCGTTCATTGTTCACATGCGCATTGGCTCATCACAACTTTCTCATTCCGCCAGTCGATCTGGGGGTTGTATTTCTTGAGCCACGGTACACCAAGTATGCATGCATGATTGTCCATGTGCACGATATCAAACTGTATCGTTTCCTTGTGTCCGCATAGCATGACCATTTCTAATGGGACTGTCTCGTGGGTCACCATTCTGCTGTTAGTTGAGATGGGCTCTCTATCTACAACCATTAATGGGTATGGATCGGTCTTCAGTTGCGTCCTGAACCCGTGTGTGTCTGCTACTTTCTTTGTCATAAAGTTGCCCGTTGCTCCTGAGTCTATCATAGCTCGGAGGTGTTGCTGTTGTATCTTAGCAACCACATATAGCTGCATGCCGCCCATTGTGGCGCATAGCTGGTTTGTACTAGGCCTCTTTGTGTCGCTCGCCAGTGGCCTACTGCTGAGGACTCCTAGTTTTTTGAATCGTCTGAGGAATAACCGTCTGATGAAAATCCATCATGTTCACCATATTATAATGGTCGTAGAACTGGTACCCTTTCTCTTCTTTGTTCTGCTTCACGGCATAGGTGTTCGTGTGCTTCTAACACTCGTGTTACCCTTTCTTCTCTTGGGATGCTTTCCTGGGAAGGATACTTATTTGCATCCCAGATTTCTGCAAGCTGTGATGCTTCATACTCTCCCTCCTCTTCTAGTTGTTGTAATACTCTTAACAGGTTGTTTTGTCGAGCCTCATATACCTCATTCTTAGGATGGTGTATGTCATCGATTCTCCAATCTGCGATAGCATCCCGGACGTTATATTCGCAGAGCTTGTACTGCCATCCTGTGGCTTCCTTCTCCGTGTATTTCGCCCCACGGGGTTCCTGCTGGTGAGGGTATTCTGGTCGGCACATGATTGTGCGAACTGCAACCTCCCAGTCTTGTGTAGTGTCCTGCCAGCTCATTGGTGGCTTGGGCACAGGAATTTCTTGATCGACCGTCTCCTGAAGCATGGCTTCCTTGAAGGTTCTTACTGCTCCTGGCAGTTGTTCCTTAAAGAGAGTCTTACTTGCTGTCTTCTCAAATGCTTGTAACCGGTTGTAATGGTGGGTGCACCAGATGTGAGAATCTAGCCACCCAAGGAAGGGATGATTTTACTAAGACAACACACTGTCTTAGGAAACAGAGCCAAAGGGTCGTAGCTTAGACTATGCCACAACGCATCAATCAGGTGTATGATGTAGTGGAGTGGTTTAGACAAGTTGTAACAAATGTTGAGTCTGAGAACTCAGGGATAAGTCAGAGGTTAGCACCTCACTGACTTTTCAGAAACAAGGAGTAACAAGATCAATGCTTGGAAGCTTGAAAAAGATGTGGAAGTATGTGATAGTCGATTTACTGTATTGTCTGCTTGCCCTTTCTTAAGGAAAGGGCAATCCTATTTATGCTAAAGGAGAGTAGTTCTCTCATTTTCCAAGACTTTCCATGACTAACCAGGCTTGGTAACTGTAGTCAACGTAAGAGAATCCCATAGAACCATCTCCTAGGTTCCTAGCCTATAGGAAGTGAAAGGAGGTCCAAGGTCAGAGTACCCCTATAGACAAATTATGTCATAACTTTACCAATTTTGTGGGTAACTAAGGAGCGATGACGTGTAATGAATCATAGAGGGTTGTAGAAGCTTTGGGAGCTATCGTTCATGTTCCTAGGCCTCTAGTTGATAGAGATATGTCATGTGTAGTATTAGCCCAGTAACTAAGGAGTGATGTCATGTAATGAATCATAGAGGGTTGTAGCAATCGTTGAGTAGTATTGCTCTTGTTGTTGGTGTGACAAGCCAAAATATGTATAGTGACTTGTAGGTTTGAGGAGGAGATTTCTGAGTTTGCTCTTGAGTTTGATAGCAAACTGAGTGCAACGAATGTCAGTATGACACCGGTGCTTTTGAGAACTAGTGAGCTCCTTGTCGTTGTTCTTGTCTTCTCTGTTTGACAAGTGGAATTCCTCGAGATCCTGAGTAGTAATACTCCAGTTCTCTTTTTCCTTCAACATGGCACATAGCTGTCCTCGCGGGGCCTTGCACCCGCCTTGACCTTGCCAAGTAGTGTTAAGCTGTTTGCCATACTTTCGTCCTCCATTCCCTTTCTTTGACTGTCTGCAGTTTCGCGCTGTGTGTCCAGGCTTATTGCAGTTGAAACAGAGCCGTTCTTGGAACTGTTGCTCCTTGTTGGGATTGTGGGGTTTGCCATTAGGCTTGAAAGTAGTGTGGACTTCCATAGGTTGAGGCCAATGACTCTTTGTTTATTTTCTTCTCTGAGTCCAGTGTTGACTAGGTGGTCCCCCTTTCTTCTCGAGTTGCCGTTCATAGTGACGATTGTCAATCTTCTGAGCCAATTCAATCATCTCTCTAAGGTCATCTGGTTTGTCAGACCTTGAGATTTCATCCTTCACATGGTCTTTCAGACCTGCGTAGAATTGGTCACAGATAGCCTCTTCTGCCCAGTTGGTGAGTGTTGCATGCTGTTGAAACTCAGCGGTGTATGCAACTGCTGACCCTCTCTGCTTGAGAGCCTGGAGTGCCCTGACTGCATTCCATGGTTCATCGATGTCTCTGAAGTTTTTCTTAAGCCTTTTAAGGAATCCACCCCAGGATACAAAAATTTCCTTCGTTCCTTGGGTAGCTAAGGTGCTGCATTTTCCTTCAACTGTTCGATGGTTCATGTAGTCGGCGAGGTAGTTGGAGATCCATTCTGAGGCTGGTCCTCGAAAGAGTGCCACAGCCCATAGGACCTGTTCCACTTCTGTCACGGTTCACCAAGGCATAGGGCGCCAGTTGGGTATTATGAATTAAACTCAATCTAGAGAAGAAAGGAAAGAGAAGAGGAGCACTCGAGCAGTGGCTCGATCTATATACAGCTATTGTGGAGTGAATTCTCTTTAGCGAGACCAGTTCTGAGAATTCACTCCACAACTGAAAACTTCGCTCCAACCCCGGAAAGCTCCCCACACCCCTGAACCCCCACTCGAGCTGCAAGGCGCACTTGATATCGTAACAACTTCTTTGTTGAAGTGTTTGGCATTAAACGCCATCCATAGCTCCGTCTGGATGATGAAGCTCTTAAGCTTCTTGCGATCCCCGTGAAAGGTGTCTGGGAATGCAATCTTGAGTTTGTCTGAGTGGTGAGCCGTCGTCGCTTCGATGGTAGGTTCAGTAGCAACCTTCCCCTTTGATCTGACATTTGATCCAGTATCGTCTGCCATGTTGCTTTGTGTGTAAGCCAGTACCTCGTGGAAGTGGTGCTCAAAGTGTAACGCTGACTTCTAAACAATAGAAGACACAGAGGTTTCTTGTGTAAGGTTGACTTGACAGAGGAGGCAGGTATTAGACACAAAGGCTTTTCAAGTAACACGTTACAGTATTGTAAAGAATACTATATTGAGTTGAGCATGAAGCTCCTATCTAAGGAAATACTATCTACTTATATAGTGGCGTCATGCCTCATGGGTAATCTGGATAGTTGGCAGATAGCTAGATATTCAGGATAGTTCGTGGATAGCTCAACTATCCAATATCCACTAGTTTCTGCAACTATCCATTAGCCCCGTCACATGGCAGCCTACCCCGCTTGCCCCCTGTGACTCACACATCACGTTACTAGGCCCTGGTCCTGTAACCATGATGTCACATTACCGTAGCCGTAACACTATCCATCAACTATCTAGACTATCTATAAGGCACGATGCTACTATATAAGTAGATAGTATTCCCTTAGATAGGAGCTTCGTGCTCAACTTAATATAGTATTCCTTACAATACTATAATCTGCTACTAGGAAAGCCTTTGTGTTTAATCCCCTGCCTCCTCTGTTAAGTCAACCTTACACAAGAAATCTCTATGTCTGATTGAGTTCATAAGGAATAGTGGCACGAAGGATGCAGCAGTGTATTTATGGTCCCTTAAGAAGTTTGAGTGAGGGTTAGGGCTTATAGTTGCCAATTCTAAGGCATAGGGAACTTTGGATAGCTGGTTTATGTAAATAGCCTCATTTTATATAAATGTCACATGAAATTCAATATCTCAATATTTACGCTATCTTAATATTATTTACGGGAGCCGAGCTATCGACTTAACAGATTATGACTGTATGTTCATTACGCCACGACTCACGTTACAGTGCGTACAAACGATGCTAACAAGGTAAGATTATGTGTCAATGGTGGTCGGAAATTTACTTAACCCGCCCCATAGTGACTGCCCAAATGACCTATTATAGGTATTGCAAGGCTCACTGTACATACTGCATCTTTCCTGTCTGGGCAACTCGTATATTGTGTTAATTAATACCCCTAAAATCGGGTTCTTTCTTCTTCATAACTAGATCCTTGGGCTCAATCATACTCCATAAAACCCCAGTTGACCCCAAAATTTCATTCTCGACCCCAGTCCCTGACCCCAGGTAGATCCCACGATATCCCTACACCCCTCATCTCCGAGGAGGTTCGCAACCCCATATGGTTTTCAGCTCCCACCCTTACGTCCCAAATCAATACGCTAAGCTAAGGTACTCTACTGTACTCGCTCAACAAAAACAGGGTTGTCTAGGTTATGTGTTGTGTTTGCCATTTCGTGGTGCTCCCTCGAATATCAGTCCGCTAGCCCCGCGACGTAAATCTTGGGACCAAATAACGATCGACTTGGCGTTCGTGATACTAGAGATGCGGAAGGGATCCGACAAAAAGGGTCGGCGGAAGGCTTCCCTCGATAGGCAAACTAGACCGAAGTAACATTTCCCACCAGAGCAAATACGGGTGCTACGGGTCCGATATCCTCATGGTTTGCTAGCTAGCCAATCTCGCGCACAAGCCATTTCCCTCATGCATGCGATCCTCGCACGAGATCCACGCAAGAGAATCCAGAACACGCTCTAACCCACCCAACGCAACCCATAACTCCTGGTGGATTTTGAAATTGGAAGTAACCTACTCTACAGAATCCCACCAGCTAAACCTATAGCTGAACCCTTACGGCTGAGTCCCTACAGCCGAATCCATACAGCGAACTTATGCTCGCATGTTCGTCCAGCAATCGTGGTCGGCTAAATGGGTGATCGTCCTAGGCCGCTGCAACATCCCCGCGCCCGCATGCGCCTCTGAAGCCCCCACCACACCCATCATCCCACACCACAGCCCACTGGCGGTACAACTTCTCCCTTCTGAAAGCCTTGCGCATGCGCAAGCGTCCTGCGCCGCCCTCCGATTCGTTATCAGTGAAATGATTGCACGCATGTTGTACGCATGGACACGGCGAAGAGTGCATTAGGCCAATCAAAAATCTTCCACTAAAAGCAGCCAAACTCCTTACCACGCCGTCGGAACCCGCGGCTTGCGCCATCATCTCATGTGGATAAGAAAAAGTAAGCCAGAACTCCGCTTCCTGTGTGCTCCGGCACTCCCCGACGCCCCTTCTTTAGCTCCATTCCCAATCAAGCTGAAGCCGTGCAAGTAAACCCTTAGCTCGATTTCTGAACCATGCAAACTCCTCCCCCGGTTTTATGCCCGACCTCCCCGCTCTCACCACCATCCATGATAACAGGGTATCGCTCGAATCCCATTCGACAGTAGAATACTTCAGCGCCCTTGTTCTCGCTGGACTTCATGAGATGGATGCCTCGCACCCTGTCTCCCTGAAGTTTAGCCAAGAGTGCTGCTATGAGATTCTTACCTCCACCGTGACCCTGGTACTCGGGTAGGATATCGATATGGAGGTGAGCTGGATAGTCCTCAAGTAGACCGGGCCACTTGCTATGTAGCACCGATTCGTCGGGGTAGTATAGGCGCTGCATGAGGGCGGCGGCCACATCTCCGTTTTTGCCTGTACGCTCGATCTCGTTGCCGGCTACGGCCCTGGGGCAGTGTGGTGGAGGTGGGTAGAGTGAGCGGTCGATGGTGGGGAGGTACTCGGATTTGTAGCGTTCCAGGTAGGTTGCTGAACATGGTGCGGCGACGCAGTAGCCTACGCAGTCGCCATGCCCGTTGTCGAGGACGAAGGTGTATTCAGGATGAAGGATGACATATGGAAGGACAAATATGAGAGGAACGATGGTGTTGGCTGGTTCCTGGGCTGCGGCTGAGTGGGCAGTAACACGGCACTGGAGCGGGTTAGCTTTCTGTGCTCGTTTCATATAGGTTGAAGGTGGCATGGGATTTGAGCTCTGGGAGGGAGCAAACGGGGCCAAAAACTCACAATGTGCATGATAGCTTCGAGATCTGCTGGGCCATAGGCCCGAATAAATGGTCTTCGTGAGCTCTCCTCCATGACGCGCTGAAGCTGCTGTAGTCGAGCAGCAGCGATCTTTGAATTTGAGGGAGCCATACTGGCGCGGCCTTGGGGCAGTTATAGATAGCCGTTGCTGAATGAGCCGTTATATGCATGTAGGTCTGCCCAAAGCGTGGAATGCGGATTCGAAAGAACCCCAGCAGCCGCGATTCCAGGATAGACCCCCAGGCCCCAGATCAGAACCCCAGACACCACGCACACCCCTGGCCGTAAACGGAGCAGCGCGGTGGGACGTGTTGCACTCAAACAACGAACTTGTGCACCATTTCCAACATCGCAATTACGGTCCTTGTGGCGTGTTCTCCGGGCATGAGAAGGCGTAGGTCCCGATTGGCCCGTAACCATGCAGGTATGCAGAAGTCGTACGCACAGAGCAGGTAGCGTGAGGGACGTGCGGCGGGATGGTGGCCGGAGCGAGGGCACGAGCCGAAGTGATCGTCGCCCTTGTGCGGTACCTGCGTTGGCGCCGGGTGATGAGAGGGAGAGCCCAAGGGCGGTTTCAGCACAAAGAACCGCCCGGGGCGCGCAGGAATGACAGCCGGAGGCGGGAAGTGGAGGAGGTCAGATTACGTGCCACGTGATGGTCATTACATTCTGTGACAGTGAGTCTCGCTCTAGTGCTCATCATCGGCTCCTTGTCCTCCATGTCTCGGGCTTTATTGCCATATTAACACATGATATCATAGAAACAGGAAGCTGAGTTTCAACCTCGTAGATCGGCGAACCCAAGACCCTCGACTTGTGCTATTAGTTAGGACGCTTTGTCTCCTTCCGAGCCTTGACGTGTGAGACATTTCGAGATTTCGGCATGGGCGTGGGGGACCTTCCATCACATCGCCTCGCGGACGGAGCATAACAACAGTGTCTCGCAGCACAGTAGTAGCTCCTCCCATAAACAGGCTGGCACAGTGAATACTGGTGATCGCTTTGTAGCCGAACAACATACCTTACCGATATCAGTCATATAGCCGCCCGTGGCTTGTCCTTGAAGTAGGATTCGTCTTCAAGTGGTTTATTTGAACTCATCACATCCCGAAATTCTGCGAGGGAAGCTTCACATGCGGGGTCGCGCGCGTTACTGTCCATGCCTTAATAGAGTGCTTGAAGAGAGGAATTGAGCAGGTTAGGCCAAGAAGATGTTATTTTGTTTCAGTGCCTTTACTCCTTATGCCAGACTCTCAAATACTATCGCCTGGCCTTTTCTGTCCCACTTGAATTGGGCTGTTCATTGGCCTCAATTACAAGGATGCCAGCCCCAGTTTGAGCTCGGGCCCCAACCTCGTCACAGAGCCTAACTACCTGTACCCTGCATCCGACACACGAATCATCAATGTTTTCAAACGGAAACCTGAATCTAACTTGCAGATAATGCCTTGCGAATAGGCCAATTTAGAAGCTGCTTTGCTCCGTTTTGTAGCAGCAAGGGACCCCTGTATAACGTAGTTCAATCTAACTAAATATAGTAATATAAAAATTGATTCTTACTGTACAATTTGAAGCCTAGAACTGGTGATTTGGTGATTCGACTATTGTATAGATGGATTTTGGCTGGATTTCGGTGTATTCTAGCTAAAATTATCACTTTTGGCAACAACAAACAACTAACAACTAACACCCCTTTTCTAAACCAGGATACTCTGCTGACTCACCAGCTTCCGCCCTCATTGTGGCATCAGTATTAAAAGCTCAAAAGAAGATGCCTCCTCATGTAGGTCAAAGGCAGAAGACAGCAATCGCTGAGAAGAGTACTAGATTAGACTGGCCGGCCCGGACCGTAAAGACCGGACTGGACTGGACCGGACCGCTTATATGAGTGTTCCAGTCCTTAAATTTAAGACCGGACCGTGGTTCGGTCCTCCTTTTTTTAAAAAGCCCGGACTGAATTTCAGTCTAGTCTCTAGGGTTAAGACCGGACTGTGGTTCGGTCCTCCTTTTTTTCAAAGCCCAGACTGAACTTCGGTCCAGTCTCTAGGGTTAAGACCGGACCGTGGTTCGGTCCTCCTTTTTTTCAAAGCCCGGACTGAACTTCGGTCCAGTCTCTAGGGTTAAGACCAGACCGTGGTTCGGTCTAGGCTTTTTTACCATCCGAGCTTTTTTTTAAAAAGCCCGAACTGAAGTTTAGTATATTTAGCTTGTAGATCACGATGTTAGTCCTGTGACCAAGAGTAACGGTATATAGTAACGGTATATTGATAGAAATTAGGATAAATTTATCATATAGATAATAAATTATGGTAATTACATTAGAGTTATAAGTGCCGTATGTCTCAGAATGCATCAGCTTACAGTGGCTTCCCTACCATCACCACCACCGCCATCGCACACAGGTTTGTGTCGACTTTGGGAGGCCAGCCTTCCTACCACCTAGCGCAAAGGTTGGTATCTATCGCAGTAGTTAACATAATATATTGTTCAAGCTGGTTCCAAATGCTATATAAGGCTAATTAGTGATATATTCCGTTACTGTGAGCCGTTACTCTAACCCACATCTGAATAGTACCCTCCTCTACCTTCTAAGTCGTTGCGAATGTCGAGGAGTATCAATGGAGGCTTCATCATTCTGAAGGTCCTTATTTAGAACCCCAAAATTTCGCTTCCTCTGAGTTTCCAATCTTCCATTGCGACCTTGTGTAGCTCTATGTGGCGTTGATGGGTCTGGTAGGTCTTGTTCAGCATCCTCCTCGTCAGATGATATTACCATCGTCATAGCAACTTGTCGATCAGAGTCCTCAATTATAGAGTCTGGGTCAGGAGCGCCAAATACATGGTCTATATTATCCCAATGATTATCAAGTTCCCACTTATACCTATGATAGTGTTTAACAATCATCGACTCTCGAACTGTAGCCGTACTCATTTGTGCCCTGTGGTATTCATGGATATCGCGGGCAATATTAAATATGCGCTCAACTCCAGTACCAGTAGCTGTTTAAAGCGATTTGTAAGATATTTGCGTTACTCTTAACCGTTACTGTAGGAGCTTACCTGGTACTGCAAGGATATCCCTTGCCATCTTCGCAACTGAAGGGTAAGAGAGCTCTAAGGTCTTCCACACTAGGAGCACTGGAGTATCTGCATCAGCACTAACCACTGGCGCATTTAAATAACGCTCAGCTTCATTATAGCTGGTACTTGATGGGCTCTGCCACCCTTTATGTAGCTGCCGGTTCATCCGAAATACCGCATTAAGACTTGTTGGTGTATAGGGGCAAGGCGGTACTGCCTCATGCTGGTCCCTCGAATCTTTTTGATAGTAAGCCTTCCAGTAATCTAAGAATATTTGGCGGTACTTCTTTGAGTGGGAACGGTCCCATTCAGGAGCGTTAAAAATGTCCAGTTTCTGAGATGGATCAAGAATTGCAGCAAGAGCATACGTCTGTTCAACAGGACCACCAGTTTCAGTATAATAGTGCCTTAACTTTGCAACACCTGCAGTAATAGCAGCAGTAAACTCGTCTACCCAAGGATTAGATGCTGTATCCTTGTTATATAGCTTTTGATTAATATCATCAAGATGGTCAAATAATGTATTGTATACATTCCATGTATGGTTGATTGTAGTGTCTTTCGTGTTTCCAATAAGATGAGTAAATTCTGCAAAGGGCCGCAGAAGAGCGACTAAGTATTTTAGTTTTTTCCAGTCGGTTGGTGATAATGCGAATTGATCAAGATGAGGCTCCTTAATAATCTGTTCCTCAAGCCAACTTTTAATTGGGATGCGTAGTCTTATCGCTCGGACTATCATGTCATATGTAGAATTCCAGCATATATCAATATCCCGTTTTAGCCGCAGTAGTCTCTTTGCTTCTATATCAGATTGCTTCTGGAGCAATAATTCAGTTTTCTTTGCAGACCTGCTCACAAGATTGCTAAGAGTGCGTATCTGTGTATTTGACGTCAGTTAGCGTTACTATCAAGCGTTACTATCATGGACTAACCTTTCTAATAGCTGATGTGACTGTCGTATCATCAGTAATTGAAACACCAGTAACATCTATAACTTCTTCAGCCATGTCGACATTGAAGGCCTTTAGCATAGCTTTTACAACTAGCTGTATAACATGCGCCATGCATGGTATTTTTGTTGCATCACTACTCCACTCTACTTCTTGTGTAGTACTTCTCATGTAGCTCTCAAGTTCCTTGCGCATTGTTCCATTGTTTGATGCATTATCAGTTGTCACGCAAAAAAGTCGTCCCGTAATATTGAATTGTTCCAGTACATTGTGTACAACAGCTGCCATATTTTGTCCTGAATGGACTCCAGTCATTGGCTCGAAACCAATAAGACACTATAAGATGTATGTTAGTAAGTTAATATATTATTATATAAGTTATAATCTGCTCACCTCTCTCCATTGCCAATCATCAGTGATATAATACACAGTAATTGCTAAGAACGCTAATTTGAACGGACTTTGCCATCCATCAAGGGCAATTGAAACCTTTGCCATAGGCGGTAAATCCAATAGTAGCTTCTCCATGACGTTGTTAAATTGCATTGTTAATTCTTTGCGTATAACTGTCCGGTGTGGAATTTCCAGGTCGGGTTTCAACATGTTTAGAACCTTTCGCACCTCCTTGTTCTCCACTATTCGAAAAGGGAGGCTTGATGAAATTATGGCTATAATCAACTGCTCTCGCCATGCTGTATGTGTGAAAGGCTGTATGGTATTCCTTTCCAAATGCGCACGCGGCAGCTAAAGAAGGTCATTAGCGTTACTCTAGAACATTACTCTAGACCACTGGATAGATAACTTACTAAGTGTAAATGAGTTTGCGATCCATCCTTTCTACTACAAGCGCCAGATTTGGTGTGTCGGGTTAAAGTAGATGTGCTACTCCCACCTTGTCGAAGCTTAGGGTGTGCAAAAGCCCTCCAACACAACTGACATAGTACCTTAGGATTGCCAGTTCGGACCTCAGCTCCTTGGTAGAATTGAGTCTATATTAAGGACCTCTTCGACCTTGTCCAAACCATATGTCGGAATATCTCTCGATTGATGTTGTTTGAAATCTTCGCAGTCCACCATTGATGCCATTCGTTAGCGGTATCCTCCTTCCATATAACATATCGATTATTAGGAGACTTGGGTAGTTTTTCAAGAAGTTCATCAAGAGGAGCTTCAATTCCACTCAGTACATCATCTTGGGAGAAGATAAGTGCTGGCTCGAAAGGCGAGTTGATATCCTCAGTGTCAGAGGTAAGCGGATGCTCAAATTGTGACTGATTCATCATTGTAAATGGGCTTGGGCTCGACATGTTGTTAAGAGGATAGAGAAAATGTACTGTAGTAGGAGTGTAGGTCAATCAGACGAATGATGAATGTTAAGTGAGGCCTTTTGGAAGGACGGCCATTTCTTCATAGTCTTTTGCAACAGAACAAATGGTAGTACAGAATACAAGAATGCCACATTGCAATAGGGTAATATTTGAACTCTTTGTCGTTACTCTTTGCCGTTACTCTTTGCCGTTACTCTTTGCCGTTACGCA